GTCAATACTATGTATTAAAAATTTCTACCTGAACTCTACTAATGATTACATTTAGTTACGGTACATTTCAGTTTTGTCAGTCTGAAGTATCGATGTTTTTTGAACTTAGACAATGGTAATAAACTCCATAGTTTAAAGGATTATCTTTTTCTTGTAGCTAATATCAATATTATATTTAATCAGATATTATCATCAATATCATTAACTAATTTTCGCTTTGTTTTCCAATATATATGTACACTTTCACAGTTACGATGATACTTTGTATTTATGGGATTTACGTATGATTCATTCTTCTGACAAGGTCACCAATACTACCACTACTCCTTTACAGAAATGTCAGTTCAATGGTGGAGTTTGGCGTCATAAATGGGGTCCACAAAATTATGTTATAGTCAGTGCAATACATGATGGTTTCGCTGTTGCACACCTACCATTACGTTCACCTTTTAATCACAAAGCAGATGAAGAGGATTCTGTATATAAATTTCGTTCGACCAATGGACAATTAGCCTATGGTATTGACTGGTCATTCAATCATAAAATTAACCAGTTGGAAAGTAATTTTATGAAATCAACTGTAGTTTGTTGTTCATTTTATGACAATACTATAGAATTCGGTGAACTTATTATTAAATTATAAATCACTAATATTTATCTGAACTCAATCAAATATTGTGTTTGTGTACAAAGTAAACTGATAGCTGGGTATTTGTATTTATATTTCATATTATTCTTTGTGTATAGCTATTTCTTCATGTTAATTAATTGTTTTGTGTTCTGATCTTATACCAAAAGGTATTTTAATTTGTAAGTGTTGGATGACTGTCCAAATTTTATGTGAAGTATAAATGATATTTCATAAGAATTTAGTGAGTGATGGGCTTGGCAATTCTTGAAATAATCGGGACGAATTTTAGCTCGTTTCTAGCTAATCAGTTAACATTTGTTTCAGTTGAATAGTCTATAGGGAAGAACAAGAATGTTAGGAAGATTTTACATAATGAATCTACTGAAGTCTTCCATAGATTTTTAAGAAAAATGACAAAGATGATTGTCTATGGAAAATCTGTCTTCCTGAGTTCTTGTAAGAACACAAAAGAGTTTCCCACATTGTTCTTGGTTAGGGTTACGGATTGGATTTGTGTTTGATTTCTGTCAGTCAGCCATGTGGAACTAGAATTTAACACATCAGTGTATCGGTTCAGGTTGCCACACCACATTAGCACAGCGAGATAAAGTTATCAAGAAAAATTTCAGAGCAGTAGTAGTGGAAAAGATCAGGTATGGAGAAAGGAAGAAAATATATAAGGAAATTTTGGGATTCATGGACTGGAGGAATATAAAGAGTGAACACACCTGTGTCACTTCAAACGATCCTGAACCAAGTCACACGAAGCCTCTAACCATTGGTTACGATAATCACATGAACCACAACCAAGTAGTCTGCATCTACTGACATGGCTCAGTTTGGTTGTCAGTGACGTCATGGACTTGGGTGCACCTGGCTTTCTTTCAGTCTACTCCTGCATCAGATAGCATCCTCCGTCGAGGTTGTGAGGGGGTCAAGCATACGTAATTCGTGTTCCAATCACCTCAGTTAATGAAGATTTACTACCTTCAATCGATTTACCGCCTCTACCTAGTACCATATTCCTAACTTTGGGATTGCTTACTCAGTCGTCTCAAATTATGCGGGCGATGCTTCAAAGACACATGTGATCGAATACTAATAACCTGCGAATATCTACTCTTAATAGCCATGTCTTACATCCATAAAACTGAAATAAAACGAACTGCCGTGCAGTAAACTTTGGTTGGCAGACATGTCTCGTACGCCACGAGTAGTGCATGTTTGCAAAAACCAGTCTAACGTTTTGGATCCGTGCCCTGATTTCGTCAGACTAGACCATCATGACTGATGAAACTCCCAAGATAAGTGGAGTGGTTGACGAACTGAACTATTTCACTCTATCATTAATTCAGGCGCTCAGACCTGAAGTGGAGAATCGCATGTCAGACATGTTAGGACTGCTGCATTTTGTCAGCGTCTTCGCCAAATAGAATTATATCGTCTGAGTATTTTAAATCAATGAGTCTACCGGTAATGGATTAAACCCTGAAAAGCGATATGGGATTTTTCTCTACAACAATACTTGTGACGAAGTTAAATATGAGTGGATACAGCAGTGACGAACACATCTTAAAATAGATAATCCTGATAACAGTTTGCCATAAGCTGTGACCTGGCCAGTACTTTCCATCTGGAGAGTGTACACGTTTGGTGTATATTTTTAGTGAGCCCTAACGGGTTGATGTCTGACGAAATCTGCACGGACTGAAAAAGCTCATTTGGCTTTTGCCAAATTACGTCACCTATGGCGAAGGCGAGATATCCATCTATCAATTAAGGGATGAGCATATTGCGCGGGAAGTTTCCGCCGGAACTCAAAACAACATGTAATCAATATCAAAGTCAGGATCTTCAATACGAACGTAAAGGCAGTTCTACTATACGGAGCTGAAACTTGGAGAACTACCACTACCATCATCAAGAAGGTACAAGTATTTATAAATGGTTGTCTATGCAAGATACTCAACATCCATTGACCGGATACCATCGGTAACAGCCTACTGTGGAAGAGAACAAACCAGCTTCCAGCTGAAGAGGACATCAGGAAAAGACGATGGAAATGGATAGGACATTACGCAAATCATCAAACTGCATCACGAGGCAAACCCTAACTCGGAATCCTTAAGGGAAGCGGAAGACGGGTAGGTCAAAGAACACATTACGTCAGGAAATAGAAGCAGATCTTAAAAGGATGAATAACAAGTGGGAAGGATTGTCCAGGACAGGGTTGGATGGAGAGTACTAGTGAGCGGCCTATGCTCCTCCACGACGAGTAACAACGTAAGCAAAAGGTATACTGCACGGCAATTTGTTCTGTTCTAATCTACGGATGCGAAACGTGGCCATTAAAAGTATAAGATACTCCTAAGTTACTATTATTTGATCAAATATATCTTAGAAGTATTGCCAGCATCAGCTGGTATCAACGTGTAAGTAAAAGTGAGGTTAGACGCAGAGTATTAGGGAACGATGTTAAATCAGTTGATGAGATTGAATCTTCATCGACTGAGATGGTTGGATCACGTTTTACGTATGTCTGAACACTGATTACCACAATGCTGACTAGTGTTGGAGACGGTTGGAAGAAAGTTAGGGGTGGCCAAACCAAAACGTCCAATCAGTACTTGAGGTCACTAACTTCTGGCCTGAGCCATGTTGGTAGATGCACACTACTTGGTTGTGGTCCGCGCGACTATCGTGACCAATGGTTGGAGACTCTTGGTGACATGGCTCAGAATCTATCACAACGGTTTAGGTGTATACACTCTTGTCTTTCATTAAACCGTGAGATTATAATTACTTGGTACCTTTCTTTCTACGAACTAATCCTTTCTGTATTATATCCTTATATGTAATCTTTTTTTATATATTACCACCACTGAAGTAACTACTTCTATGAATTCGGTGTTCATCTTGTGCTAATGAGGTGTGGCAACTTGGGCCGACGTGTATATGTGCCTGGTCCTACTTTGTAGCTGACTGACGTATTTTAGTGACATACACTGCCACACAGTCTCCCGAATAATAGCGTCGATTCGTGCACTAAGGTTAATGAATACAGCAATCATCGGTCGCGAAGTATGCCTATGCCCTGAGATCTGACAAAAAGAGAATATTTGGTATTTGTAAATCATTCAAAGCTTTTGATGGATATAATGATTATCACCTACAGTCGGCTCGTTTAGGGTTAATTCTGGGATCGAACAGATAAAGTTAAATGAAATCTTTAATTATCTAGGCAATACTTCCTTGATTTGTTGCCATTTTGGTGTTACTGAAAATTTTGTATGAATGACCAATATTTATTTTGCAGGATGCTTATAAATGGGGTCCTTTTTGGGTGTTGTTTGCGATTATAACGGTGACTTTTGTGTGACCATCTATACCCATCGGGTATACATATTATACGCTTCCATGTAATTTCTCTAATCTGATCAACAATTCTCCTACCTTTCGATTATTAAGATAAAAATTTGAGGTTCGGGTAATAAAGTTTGTTAGTACATAAACTATTTGTAACTGATGATAATCTTTTGTGTTTATGCTCTTACAGTATGTTAATTTATGCAAAATAATGATTTAGCCAATCATGAAGGAGCACACATTTCATGAAATTATCTACTCGTTTACCTTGTTCATTCGGTGTGAGTTGTAATTGGTGGATCAATCCAACCTCACTTCCATTCATCTCTGTACCTAGTTTAGCTGCCATATCGGGTTGAACTGGAATGCTGTTTAGACTAAATATCTTGTTCATTCTAGATTGTGAATAATCACGAATTCATTTATATGATTCTCCTCTAAGATTGTTTATTATTTTGTTGCAACAAACAAATACTACTCTTTAAATGGGGTAATTGTAAAGTACTGCCAATCTTTTCATTTCCTTTCTTTAAAAGGGATATATCGGTCAGTACATATTAGTAAATTTTAGAATTATCCGAACCATTGTTTCTGGTGCTTTACACCATGAAACGACCTGTCTCTAGCATTATGTTTAAAAATACGTAGTTGGTTCTTGATAGCATTTAAATATTGTTAGAACTAAGTAGTAGTGCAGTCGGCACACTAATGAACTGTAATACGATATCATTTTTATCTTTACGGTACCCTTAGACAAACTTTAGCATTTTCTTAAGAATCCTATATGCACTTGACTAAAGAAGGTATTTTTAGTGTTATGAAATAACTTTAACTAGTCACCAAATAACAGTCATCTGAGTTCTTTCAGTCTTCTAGTCGTTACAGGTTATTTGATCTCTTCCTATGATGTTATAACTGTTTAAAACGAATAAAACATTTATTAGCTTTATTAACAATACTCATATCAGGTAAATAGCAAAAGCAAGTGTCAGTTTATCGTCCACTTATATTTATATATATTCATAGTACACAGTAGAATATGTATACAGAATATAATTAATATTCGTTATTCAATACATATAAACCTATGTTGCACACACAGTGAAATAGAAGAAATATATCTATTAACATACAAATATGTAAAACCGTACATTATAAATAAAAACATAAAAGGTTTCCACTTGTCGTAGGTTCAACGTTCAATAATTTCACATTGAACATTTAGAAAAGTGAATATTCCTAATAATCAAAACAAGCTTTTTACTTTATTTTCTTGATAAAAAAAAACTGAAAAAGAGCAACAAAATTGTCTTAGTAAAAATTCAACACTCCAAAATGAAAATTAGAACAAAGGTAACGCGGAAAATAACAACTAAATTTGGAAATGTTTTATTTTGCACCACTGAATTGTTGTATCGGTTTGTGACAGTAGGAAAAGATCAATGTAAATAGGACAATAAAAACGAGTAACGTAATCATAGTATAGTTGTATTGAATTAGTGTTTACATAAATTATTTCGACGGCAGTCCTTCAACCAGTTTCATAATTCGTAGTAAATAAGACACATTAACAACGAAGAGTATTCATATTAAGGTGAAAAGAAACTGACTAAATGGAGTGATAGTAAGGAATACAGAATAAACAGTAACGAATATGACAAAAACATTATCAAGCCCCATAATATAAACAATTAATAATAATTATAGTATTTATAATCCTGATCACTTTTATTTATTGCTTTTATAAAGACAATTTGAATACTTTTCTAGTTGTACTATTTTTTAAATGTTCATCAGTTTTGATTATTTCTTTAAAGAAAATATGTTTGTGTGTTATATTGACATCGATTGAATAGTTTGAAAACAACTGAACATTCAATTGATCAAGTCCCATGGGATTGGAATGTAACATTTTTTTATTAGACAATAATAATAATGTTCATTATCATGTTTCATTTGTCTAGGGACCATTGTTCGATTGGAACAATTGATTTGTCTCAAAATATTATTTAAAGCTTTGTAAATATGAAAGTTTCTAACTTTTAATCAACTAAAACTTTTCTTATGCTTTAGGTTAGTTTAGTGAGCTTTATAAAATGTTATTGTATATTAATGCTTTCATTTAAACCTAATATAAAATAGAGAATTAATTAAGGTTAAGATAAAATTTTATTTTTGTTTTAATGAATAAATTGAATATGATTGTCTAAAGTTCAATTCAACAAGAAAAGAGGTAGTTTTATGTTTATAATATTTTGTTTTAAATCTAACCATGAATAAATATTTAATTTAATAATGCACTATGAAATCTTCAAAAAAACAATAAAATTTATATGAATCATTTGAGAATAGGAGAAGATAACTATACCCAGCCGGAAAAGTCAATTTTATGAAATAAAGAAAAAAAAGAAACTATATTTTATGCTACCTAATTCATTGTCTTATTTGTTCAAATATATTAATTCATTAAAATAAAACTAGATAGAATGAGAAGAACTTCAACAATATGCAACTAAATAGACAAATGAAATTAGAACTATATTAACTCTTAATCGACAATGAATTTAATGATTATTGATTGCTAATAGTTTTATTTACAATAAAAAAAGGATTCATTTCCTATTCTTGTATCGTTTAAAATATAATTTGTTCATTGAGTTTGTTTATCCCAATGTGGTTTGTTTTCAATGTCCGAAAGCTGCCTAATTTATGAATATTTTTGTCTGTGTGTGTACAAATTATTGAATTATCTTATGAGAATTATCCAGTTGTGCGTACTTCAATGAATAACTTGAGTTTTAATCTGGCTTGACTTCAAGAAATAATCCAGTTTGAGGCCAACATCCTGTACAGTGTCCTCCACAGCGACCATATATTATTTGACCATCCTAAAGCAGAGAACAGAACAAGTATCACGAATATATAAATACAAATGTATGTATGTATGTATATATACGATTACTTCTTATATTACTCAAATATTTTCTTTTATCACAATAGGCTTCACTAGTTGCCCGCAGAACTTAAATTACAATGTTTTCACTAGATATTGACTTTAGTCGAATACTTCTAATTATCATATTGGCGTCACCATGGTGTCAAATCTTGTAGAGTTAGATATTAATTCAAGTGGAAATATCTCCGAACACTGCATGGCGCGGTTCGAAATCTGGTGCATTAACTAGAAAAGATATTAGAGAAGATAAATTTACAGCTAATTTGGTGACATTCATTGGAAAAAAGTGTCTAACTGAAAGAATATGGCTTCTCCAGAGAAACCAATTTCATTGTCTTACAAATCTCTCAAGGAATTACTACTTAGTCATGTCGATTGTGGTAGCTTTGAATGAATAAAGATCTGCGTTTCGTAAGATGATGCGATAGAGTGATCAGAAATTTAAAGACTTTATACTTGAATCATAGAAACAGGCTGCGAAGTACAATTGTGGAGGTCAATTGAAAACTCAACATCGTGATTGGTTGATTGTTGCTACAAGTATTCATCATTTTAGAAAAGAATTTATTCAGAAATTCAAAAGTTCATTTCAGGGAATTAAAACAACATTTATTAACTATGAGGCAGTATATGAGCTTGATTTTCAGTTAGTAAAAGTCTCTAATACTTTGCTTAGTCGTCGTGATGGACTACATTCTCAGGGTCTCTCAAGCTCGAGTTTGTTAAATGAAGGTTCCTATTCTAGTGAAAAATATGAAAAACTACTCAAAAAAGGATTTCAAAGCAGGTTATGTGGTTGAGCACAAATTCGGTAAATGTTTATCCTGTGCTTAATTTCAATTACGTATTTCGTGTGTCTCATCCTGCCGAATGCTTTAAGTGTGATAAAATGGGTCACATAGATTCGGTTTGTAAAACTACTCTTCATTTCGCCAAAAGTAATACTAAACTTTGTAATTCAAATCCTATTAATTTGGGTTATCTAATTATCATATAAAATCCTTATTTACAACATGCAATAGTTCTTTTCATATTCATAAACGATTATATTTGTCTAGTGGTGCTTTTCACGATTTTTTGTTGACACTAGTAGTATCAAATGCATCATGTCAGTTGGTAAGTTAAAACCATTAAATCCCGATGCTGTAATTAGGCCTACTAAAGTTTATATTTCGAGTACTACTGGTCTAGAGAATTTAACAATGATTAGCTTGCAGCATTCCTTATTGATCACTGAGCACGGTTCAAGTGAAGTCCTCGATATCTTGTTAATCGAAGTGCGGAAATTTATGCAAAACTTCAAAGCTCTCTTATACTGATGTTCAAGCAGAAAATGTCAAGACCTTGAAACGAACATCAGTTTTATTATTGCTGTAAAATTCAAAGACCCGGAGAAAAGAAAGGATATTCTTTCAGTACAGTGTCGCTAAACCGTACGAAGAAACACGTTCGTCCAAATATGGAAGGTTTACAGTCTGCTAATGTTACGTACTATCGAGGATCTGATTTCTCACAATCCACGAAACGTCTGCTAAAAAAGGTTGATAAATCAATGATTCATATACTAGTCAATTGGAACAATCGAACACGTTACAATGACCCAGGTGAGTCCGTACCCCCTGTTGTTAATTCTAATGCTAATAATTACATTCTAGAGCGATGGACATCTTTGTTTACTCTAGTATGGTACTTTTCAGCAAGTCACACCCGCGACTCTGTAAGTGGGAGTCTAGTCCACGTACTTCGGTCTCGCTCACGAACGTTTAACCTCTAGACCACTAAACCAGGATCTAACGGTGTTAATGTTTAACTTAAAATTATTGAACAGATTGTTAATTATATATATAGTAGAAGACTATGTGTCCAAGCTTTTAGGTCGTACATTTTCGGACCAGAAAAATGTAGCAATAAAGCTTTTTCTTAAGATTTGTTCTAGCTGGTTAACTGTACATGTTAACCAAATGTATTTAGACGTTCTCTGAGCTGCTCACATATTATTGTTCTAATTACTGGAAAAGTCTTGAGAAATTACCACATTGTTCTGAGAAAATAGTGTCACAGAAGCAGAATGCTTGGAAATGAAGATAAATGGCAGCTAATCACTGTTGAGAAACTTTTTATACATATATTTACAAGATAAGTGTTATAATATAGAATATTTTATATCATGAATTCTTTAGTGCAATGAAATAAATATACATGGTTCTGAGTAAAATGATTATCACTGGATACCTATAGATATTATTGTGCATTTTTAGTAAATGTTATCATTTAAAGCAATATCTTATCAGGTGAACTTTCTTTTATTTTGAACTTAGGTTTAGTAATTATAACAATAATAGTCAAGATCACTTCTTGTGATTAGACGATAACTTTTGATTTGAATTCCTGCGAATCAGTTAACTTCCCAAATATCCTTTTCTGTTCTTGAATAGAAGCTGAACTACTTTAGATTTACGTTATCGATACCGACTTAAGGTGAAAAAAATTGTCTTCTTTCAAAAGAAATCAAACATAAGACTGAAACATTTAACACATAATTTCATCATTTCATATATTTTTTTATATTCAAATGGACGTACTTGTAATCGATGAATATGAGATACACCGTCATTAATTTTATTAATGATCCAACGTGTTTTAACGCTCACCTTGAAATTTGTACCTCTCAAATCGATTTGAAATTGCCCCTGATTAAGATGAATTTATGAAAAAACCAAGTGTTAAATGTTCAAGGGCGCCAGTGTTAACTAGTAATTACAAATCAGCATTTATTAATAATGAATTTTCAATAACTGATCTCACAATTTACAATATTCTTTTTTGAAATGTGACACACATTAAAAACGCTGTTGATGAACATTGATTTAAAATGGCTAAACTGGTCACTATACTGTTTTCCTTTAGTTATTTATTGATACAAATTGGTCGTTTATTAATGTATATTGTCAATTTTTCTGTTTTATGCTAACTGTTAACTGAATTCAATCATTTCAAGTGAAATATAGCCATTATTCTTTCGGTTAAACATGTAATGATACACTTGTTGGAAACAATTGTCTGGATGCTCTGTTTCAACCGGCATTAATAATTCGTAACTAAAAGTCAGGGGATGTAACTCAACTGCGACTTATCCGTGACAATTAGATATGATAGTACTTTATCATAGTTTTTTATGATGATTACAAATAAATTATAATCAAATAATGGTATTTAATTAATTTTCTCATAGTAGAATACTTTTCCAAACCTTAATACTACCTCCAACAAGAGTAATATGTTGCTTTTCTAATGTAAAACTATGTCTAAAGTGTTGGGGAAATGGAATGCTCCGACTTCAAGGACTAGGGATGAATAGTAATAAAAATTTCATGGATTAACTAAAGTATATTTCTGAACTAATAGTTTGTATCAGTTCATTAGAAACGTTATATCACTTGGAGTTTCAGTGAAATCATGAATCGATCAGTGTTAGATCATCATTGAAAATCTGGAAGCACTGAAGTCCCGTACTGGGACGAAACGGGTGTCTGGCGCTTCCAGGTTTTTAATGATGGTCTAAAATTGATCGGTTCATGATTTCAGTGAAAATCAGCAATCTCCACAGCCCTATACTGATAAATAATTTTGAGTTGGTCTTACAACATGAACTGACCTCGGGAAAGTGCCGAAAATTGTCTGAAGTGAAAAGTGTGAAATATTAGATTTATAATCAGTGATCTGGATGGCAATACGGTCACCAGGATACCCGGGGGTCCTGTATTCCATTTCTGACGATGTTGTGTTGGGTACTACTGAGGAGTCTCAGATTAAAACGAAACATCAATCCAATGCTTTCTAGTTTTCAACGGTCCTCAAGCCTTATTAAGCGAATGATAAAAATAACCTCAAAATTGAATTACTCTCCTAAATTAATCAACAAAACATTAAATTATTCTGTGAATAAATGCCTACATACATTTGAGATTTACATAACATCGCCCAATTGGTTTGTTGAATTGGTTGAGGAGTGAGTTAAGAGATGATGACTAAAAAGGATATCTTCGATAAAATATGGTCTGCCTAACTAACAGAACAGTGTATGTGATATTATAGTACACTAAACTGATGGCAATCGGGTAATGAAAATGTTATATAGCATATACCTGATACTATTATCATTAGAGGATTTGGTCAGATTGTAGAACTTCTATTGTTTAAATCACGAATTGATATTGGCCAGACTACCATTAAAAATCTGGAGCCACTGAAGACACAGTTCGTCCCAGTGTGGGATCCCTCAGCAATGTATATCGACGACCTCACCACATGGAGTCAAACCGAGGACCTAAGGTTTCTCACGAGAACAACTGACCTTTAAACCTATAGGCCAGTATCCAACGGTGTTAATGTCTAACTTCAACCAACGTGTAATATTTCACAATCCACATCTATTGACCGAAGTGCATAACTATCTCAATTTTGACGTGGCTTAACTTCACTGATCATGGCCCCTCAGTAGAACTCCAGGAGTCTCATGTTGAAGCTGTTCATTAATGAGTACATGATGATTATTGTTATAGAAGTTCAGTGTTTGTGCGCGAGACCGAGGGTCCCGAATTCGATTCCCAGGTATGGAATCGTGAATGGGCACGGGTGAGGAGTCTGATGCTCGGAAGAAACGGGCACCCAGTGCTACCAGGTTTTCAATAGTAGTTCAGCCGAGATCAATTTGTAATCTGAATTATGAGAATATATCTGATATCTAAATAACCTTGGAAAGATCATTGAGTGAGCTCACAGAGTGGAGAAAACCACTATGAAGTTCTACCTGGAATTCAGTGATAAATTTTATATAACATCAAAAAAACCATTTTGTAGTGCTTAAAATATTAAAAACGGTCGTCTTCAAGTCAAAATAGTCCAACGAATAATTGGCGAGCTGGTAAACTAGAAATACTAAGACTGATGCGATTTAAATGGATGACTTATCTACATCGTTATCTTAACAGTCCATTTATCCAACTGTTTAGCTAGTTTCCTATAAATCTAATTAAAGCCTAAAAACGATTTTACAAAGACTTTATTTAATATGAATATATTCACCCTCAGATAAATGAGGTTGTGTAGAGACATCTCCAAGATATTTAAATTGGAAAAGTGATGGTAAGGATTGGAAAATTAGACTTCTTTAAGACATTAAACTCTATCAGCCACTGTTATTTCAGTGGTAAAATACTTTTGATTTCTAAACTTTCTACTTACGGGCTGAAAATTAGCTTCAAAATCAAATGGTCTTTAAAAAATCACTGTTGGTTCGTTTCTGTCACGTAGTTACACTAAATGATTATTTTTCATAACCGTAAATACCTACCGTTATAGCCTTTGTTTCAAGTAATTCAGAGTCTTTCTCATAGTGTGTTTATAATCATATAGTTTATCAAGAGTGAATATGAAATCATGATTTTAAACAGATTTATCACGATATTGTTCATAGCTAGTTAATAAATATTACACTTCTAACCTGAGGACAAACGGTTGATGAGAAACAATCTTTTGCAGTCCCGTACGGCATCACTGATGAACCGAGAGTATGCGAAAATCGTCCATCATCAACTAAAATGGTTAAGAAAATTTAAATCATCAAACGAATCAGTTTTATTATGTGCAACAACTCAGAAAAAAGACATAGTTCAAGTGGTAGATGATATTTTTACTGATTTAATTCTACGTAATATGATTTTATGAAAGAATCTCCGACTGTTAAAACGAAATAAAAGAATCGACAGACATTATGCAATACTACGATTTGGTCGGATGATGGTCAGTCAAGAGATTGAATAATTGATATATCCTCTGCTTAGCTGAAATACTGCCAGGAAACAAAACAGCTGCCTTGTAGAATAGGTCATTTTTCTAATCAAAAATAACATGCGTATCTTACAAAATATTAACATAAAGGAAACATGATTGAATATCATAGGCAAATAGAGAAAATCAGTATCATAGGTCACTCCCATTCCGACCAATCAGAACCTTGCCTATCATGTCAGTCAACAAAATGTGATCAAATAATAATAGAAGTGGTTGTTGATGTCAAACATTTAAAATTATCTTTCATGGAGTAGTGCTTTGGTATTTAAACATAAGAAAAGTCTAGTGAGACGATCCGCCTAGATTTGATGATCCACTTAATTTAGCTCAGAAAGCGAAAATATCATGTACGTGATTATGTGTGCACATTGAGCATATAAAAACAACTATTTCATGCCCCTTGTCTATTTATTTCAGCTATCCTTCATTGTGTCACAATATTTTTTGTTATTACCACTTTTAAAGAATTGTCTTTTATTTGACGGGCTTCAGATATTGCGTTTAAAATTTCCTCTTAAAAGTTTCTACAACAAAATCCTGCAGAAATTCTTAAGACATACTTTTGGTTATTTTTCTCAGCTATATTTGCCTTAAATACATATTCACAGTTGACATCACGAATAAGTCTAAGATAGACCACCACTGAAAACCTGGATCGTGGATGTGCACTGGTGAAGCGTCTCCATACTAGAATGGAAAACTTGTCCGGTGCTTCCATGATGGTTTATGATGGTCTCCACACTGATAAACATCTGTTTAATGAATAACCAGTAATCGAACTGTAATTGAAAGAAAAACTTTAATTCTTGAAAAACTGCAAATTTGGAAGGGCTTTCTTTCTCAAAAAATAATGAACACTGCTATTGTTGAATGGAATCTGCATTTATGTATAAAACACAAAACTTAGATGGCCCAAATTCATCAACCTTTATAAGAGTGGTGGAGAATAGATTGTTATAAAATTTCATATACGACTATTTGTAATGTTTAGTAAGCAGCAGAAAGGAATCTATTTTTGTGATAATCTCAACTGTTGTAATTAAAAAGTGACCTCCATGTATTGCTCGGGAGTCTGTCCCGAGCATTTTCAAGAAAATCATCAGAAATCAAAATTATCAAAAATTTAAATAGGTTCATGAAGCAACCAGTCATTTTCAGAATATTGAATTTTAAGTATCATTACCAATGTTTGATTTGATAATTTTGAATAAGTTGAGCATTCGGTAGATTGTTATAAATGAATAAATAAATAATATATTTGTAATATCCCAGTGAGTAGAAAAATTAGATTTTCTGACGTTTCGTGACTTAGTGTAAGTCACTTCTTCCAAGTTTAAACTTGGATTAATTTTAATTTGGTTATTTATTCTCTGAAGAATTGACTTACACTAAGTCACGAAACGTCAGAAAATCTAATTTTTCTACTCATTGGGATATTACAAATATATTACTTATTTATTGAATTTTAAGTCTATTCAAATGCGTGTAAAAATGAGTCATTGGTGTGGAATGCGTCGTGGCAAGAGAAGAGATTCGATATCTTAAAAAGAATTGAAAAGCATTTTATTACAAACTTTTTGTTTTATGAAAGCATCGAGTTGTTCTTCGTGCAATTCATCAGAAGTACTTACTTACTAACTTACTTACGCCTGTTACTCATCGTGGAGGAGCAAAGGTCACCCTGAATGACATGGCTCAAAATCGTTTGCAATGGCGCAGGTGCATCCACTCTTTGTGTTCTCCCAGATTCTAATCTTCTGAATTCTCCATGTCCCTTTTTTCCTCTTTCCAAATTTATTTCACTGGATTATACTGTTTAAATAACATCTCCAAACCCTAATCTTCCCTATTACTGCTTATACTCTTGCTACTTCTACCACTACGGGATTTGAATCGACAACTGCATCTCTGTGCTAAGCTGGTGTGATAACCCGAACTGATGTACGTACGTACGAAGTTCTCCGTTGTTACTGACTGACTGACTACCCCGGGCAATCCTTTCCAGTTCTTCCAGTTGCTATTCATCTTTTTCATGTCTGCTTCTTATTCTCGGCGCACTGTGTACTTTGGCTTTCCTCATTTCCGTTTCTCTTCAGGATTCCAAGTTAGCGCTTGCTTCATGATGCAGTTTGATGATTTCCTCAATATGTGTTCTATCCACTTCCATTGTCTTTCTTAATTTCCTCTTCAAGTGGAAGCTAGTTTGTTCTCTTCCACAGTAGGCTGTTGCGGATTGTATCCGGCCAACGGACATTGAGTATCTTGTTAAAACAATTATTTATGAACGCTTGTACGTGTTTGTTGATGGTTGTGGTAGTTCTCCAAGTTTCAGCTCCGTACAGTAGAACTGTTTTGATATTCGTATAGAAGATTCTCTCTTTAATATTGGTTGACAGTTGTTTTTAGTTCCAATTGTTCTTCAGCTGTAGGAATGAGGTCCTCGCCTTCACATCTGCATCAGGTCCTTCTTGTTTATCGACGATGCTGTCCAGGTGCGTGAAAGATTCCACTTCTTTCAGAGTTTCTCCATCAAGTGTGATTAGGTTGTTGTTCTCTGTGTTGTATTTGAGAATATTGCTTTTTCCCTTATGTATGTTGAGGCCTTCAGTTGCAGAGGCTGTTGCTACACTTTTTTCTTGACCTGCATTTGTTGATGTGTTTGGGATAGAAAGGTCAGATCATTTGCGGAGTTCAAATCGTCTAGATGCATCCAGGCAGTCCATTGTATTCCGTGCCTTCCGTCAGATGTGGAGGTCTTCATAATCCAGTCAACCAACAAAAGAGAAAGGGGGAGAGTAAGCAGCCTTGTCTGACTCCTGTCTTCTTCTATCCACACTGTCAAATGCTTTCTCATAACCAAGGAAGTTGGTGTATAGAAAGAAGTTCCATTCAATTGATTTGGTATGTGCATAACCGATCCTTACGGAATCCAGCCTGTCGATCTCGAAGTTGTGCGTCTACTGAGTTTTTCAACCGGTTTGGCAACACTCTGTTGAAAACCTTTCCTGGTATTGATAGTAGTGTGATACCTCTGTAGTTCTCACAATTGCTCAGATCTCCTTTCTTTGGTATCTTAATGAGATGTCCTTTTTCCAGTCCATCGGCACTTTTTCTTTTTCCCAAATCTTCCTGAATAGAACGCGAAGAATGTTTGTATTTACTTCTATGTCCCACTTTAGTGTTTCGGCTGGTATATTGTCAGGTCCTGCTGCTTTCCCATTTTTGATATGTTTGATGGCCATCCTGATTTCTTCGATCGTTGGTGTAGTTACATCTATAGGAAGGCCTGTAGGTAATGATTTGATATTCGGAGGATTCAATGGAGCTGGCCGATTCAAGAGTTCCTCAAAGTATTCTACCCATCAGTTTTTCTGTTCACGAATCTCAGTGACTGACTGGTCCCTCTGGCTTACTATATTTCCCTGTTAGTTTCTCCGTCGAGTCATATGATCGTCTCATGTTTCCTTATCTTGAAACTTTTCCCACTGTCGTTGCTATGTCTTCCACATATTTCTGCTTATCAGCTCTAATATTCTTCTTCACTTGCCTGTTTGCTTTCGTGTATTGGGCTTGTGACTTGACTTTGTCTGTTCTTGTTCGGCTGTTGTTCATTGCTGTTTACTTGTTCTTTCTTTTTTGAATCCTGCCCAGGGTTTCCATAGAGATCCATTTGCTGTGATGATGCTTCTAGGGGTCCGTTATCTCCTGGCACGACGAAGGTAATGTTTCTTTGATCCCGTTTCAGTTGTCCTCCATATTAGTGTTTTGTTCTTTCAGTAAATCCTGTAAGGCTTGGAACCTGTTATTGAGAGTTATCTTGAAGTGGTTGAGTTTGTCAGTCTGTTGAAGGAAGACTGTGTTGAACATTCATAATGCTGTTTGTTCAGCTGTCCAATGCTTCTTTAGCCTGTTTCATCTTGGAAACCATGTGAAGTTTTTACTAATGCAAATATGATTGATCTGGTTCTTTGTAGTGTGATCTGGTGAGACCCATGTAGCTTAGTTTATGCGTTTGGGGGAGAATATTGTGCCACCTATAACCATTTTGTTGGATGCACATAAATTGGTAAATCTCTCACCATTCTCGTTCGTTTCTCTCAGTCAGTCCATGTCGTCTCATGATATTTTCTTACCCGATGTTATCCATCTCGACTTTGGCGTTTAGATCTCCCATCAGGATTGTCAGTTTTTTTCCTGGGCACTTTGCTATGATCGATTGCAGCCTCTCGCAGAACTGATCTTTGACGTCGTTGTTTCTATCATTGGTGAGTGCATAACACGGGACAACATTCATTGTGATCCCCTCCTTCTTTGTTTTGAATGGTGCTTTGATAATTCTGGATCCACGAGATGCCCATCCTTTAAATGTGTTTCGTGCATATTTGGACAGCGTCAGAGCAACTGCCTGAGTTTGCGCAGTATCTTCCTCTTTGTGACTAGAGTACAGCAGCATCTTTCTCGTACCTAACCTTTGCTGTCCAGATTGGGTCCAATGAGTTTCAATTATTCTGAGTACTGCTTAGTTGTATCTACTCATTTTCGTTGATATTTGACTGGTCCTCCCGGTCTCCCACATTGTTTGGACATTCCATTTACCCATATAAGTTGTTGCTCTAGTTGTTATATGGGGTGACGGCCTCATGACTTTGGGAGAATCTCGAATTTTATCATGAGGCGTCATAATTCTTCTTTCAACTCGGGGGAGGGGCAGAGTTTAAATTGTTCAATTTGTTTAATCTGATTAGCGTTTTTTAGCAAGGTTGTTTTCTACGGGACCGGATGGCCGACCACCCACCCAACTCTACTCATTTCCCGGGTTTGGGACTGGCAGTAGCTCTAGAAGAGCTACAGGTGGAGTTCAAACATAGTAAGTCTTTTATTTATTTATTTATACATCTATGTATCTCCAAACATAATTAAAGTAAGAAAATAGTGTATCAACTAACTTTTTACTTCTAAACTGTATATATCCAATCGGATTTTGTTATAGAATGTTTTTGATGCTAAATTCGACACTGTTGGACAATTCGGACAGTTGACGTGGTTAACTTCCATACTAGTTAGAAGTGATTCAGGAATATCTTTTGATGAATCAAAATTTGAATTTGGTTGGTAAATATTTTTAGATATATTGAACATTGAGGTGTTTTGGTTGACTGAGGGACACCATTTTAAATCAGGATACCTTTGTATATAAATAAGAAATCAAATTATGCGTCAACCATTTTAAAATAATACTATTATCATCAATATATCTATATGAGACGAATGTCAATTCTCATTACAGAATAAATATAAATTACTAATATTTCTGTTGGGGACGATAGATCCCCAAAACTCACATTTTGTAATTTCATCTTATCGATTAACTTATCGATTAAATGTTTGAATGGCAGTCAATTGATGAACCTATCGATTAAATGTGCAAATAGGTCAATTGATGAACTTATTGATTAATGTTTAAAAATTTTCCATGACAATATCGATTGTAAATATTTGTATAAATACGCTTGATTTGTATGCTTGGCTTGACTTGTTATCTGCTGTTTGTCTGTAGAATACACTTTCTATACCTTACCCAGACTTCTTGATCGAGTTAGCAGAGTTGTGGACAACGGACCAGGATAGCTATCGAGTCTCTGAATCATTGATCCTTCGTTCTGTTCGAGTAAGACGCATCAGTAGTAGCATTCAAGTTAACGAAACATAACAATTTAGTACTTATGATATGGCGTTCTGTAACAAATAGGTTGCGGAATTAGCTGTTTGAGGTGTGATGAGACTCATTCGAGTTAGGCGTGCAAGAGATCAGTAGTTAATTACTCGATAGTTTATAGATCACCTTCACTGACTCTTTTATATGATAAATGCAGCTGAGTTTACCGCTTGATTTAAGTATTTGTACGATGAGTCTTGATATTTATGGTGGCAACATTCATCATTATAGACACACTGTTTTGAAAGAAATCCTTAATTTGCTTTAAAAATTGCTTAGGTAGTCTAAACCTTTAATATTAGTTTGGCGTGAAGACAGGAGAAAAATCTTTGTAATAGTTTTTGAAAATTATATTTTCAAGAAGTGAGTTACTGTATATAATCCAAATTAAGCCAAGTTTAAGATGTGTAAGTGAAAAAAGTGTAAATATTTGTAGGCTGAATAATCACAATATACAAAAGGCAATTTTTAATTCTTGTAAAATAAAAACTTTAAGATTCACAGCAAAATCGATGGAATACAATTCCCAGTTTTCATGTGATAAGTAATCTGAGTATGAACCGAAAGCTTTTCACATTAAATATGTTTATTTTTTTTCTTTTTTTCAATAATTTAATACGTGAGGCTAAACATCTTTTTCTCCGATATTCAACAAAAATCCAATATTTAGCAATTTTGAGGAGTTTTTCTCTCATTTAGTCGATGAGTGCTGCATACAGTAGTGTAATTTTCATCGGAGTTATTCACATTTGTCATCATTTTATTAAGGTTTCTGAACTAGTAATTCGACGTTACTGACGAACTATCACTAACACACCATTCTCATCAGTCAATTGATGAACTGCAATCGACACTATTCTTACAGTTATCTTTCATTATAACATAGGTATATACCGTTCCTTATATTAGTGCTAATGTTTAAAACAGACCTATAAATAGCCAGTTTGTGTCAGAATATGATTCTTCAGTAGTGGTCACTCACAACCCTAACAGGGATTAAACTCAGATTCTTCATTACAAAACCATTGAGTTGAGGTCCAGCGGCACATATTTTAAGCTTCAATCGATTCACCGTATAGAGGGGCAATTACCAAACGCCATCAATAACGACAGTAATGACTTCTTACTGGAACTTCAGGAACTCACCACAAATAAAATCACTAGTGAGGTTGCGAGAATTATTACTTGAACTGGAATTACTTATTCATTCATCGAATCCAATGGTTGATGTTTCAAAGTAGTGGTTGGTTATCCTATTACACACGATTTTCAATAGTATTCTAACAATATATATCGTAAAAATATCCTAAACATAAGCGAAAATTTCAATCGAAATCAGGATAGGAGTGCAAAGTGTTGGAATTTTACTGTATAATTTATTTGAAATGTTTTAAAGTAATTTATTTTCAGTTTCACTGATCAATAATACGGGTAACCACAGTTTTAATTCAAACATTAAAGCAAAGTTAGAAGATTAATTGAAAATTATAAGGGAAAATATATTCGTACTTCTAATACACAGTGTACAAATGAATATGGTTCCATCAGCTATCATGAATTTATTTTGAAAATAAACTAGTCAATTTTCCGTAAATTACATAAGGATTATAACGACTGTACAGTTATGATTTTGTACTCTGTTCTAGCATGTGGATTATCGACGTTTTCCAATTTATTTGTTTTCACATCAGTAAGAATTTAGTTGAGTGAATTATGTACATTGTTTAGTATGATGGAGGCTTTAGTCACCAATTGATATTAACTAATTATCAATTGAAAACCATTGACCAGTGACACAGTTATTTCGCTGGAGTACGGAACTCATGAGTTGTCCAAATTTACAATTTAACCACCAGACAGCACAAACGTGTTAAGTATAGGCTACTAAGTCGAAATTCAGAAATTTAGATTTTGGTCTTGAAAGCCCTTAGGCCTTGAGCCTAGCTCTGGATGGAAGGGAATAAATTATGGTTCTTCGCTGGTCAGAAATCCGATTATAGGTTTAAACGGTTATTCAGTTCTCTCATCAATTCATATAGTATATTCTTGAGGAGTATCATTTTATAAATGTAAGTTAACTGTGAAATATGCTTTAGGTTTTATTTGTTGTATAAATATCTTGAATATCAGATTATTTTTATTTAAATTTCATTTTTGGTTGAAAAACATCGAAATGTGATTATAGCTCTTCTTTAAATATTGAAACTATTCACTATATATAGTAACAGGATACAAAAAACCGAAAATCACAACACCAGTCAGTCGAAAATGATTGCAAAGATTCTCAGCTTAGGTGGATGATTTTAGTGGTGTCGTGTAGGGAATGTAGGCCTTCATAATGACGTTCAAAACGAATGTGAAAGCTCTTCAATTACACTGCATAGCTCAGAAAATACACCACTAAATCCTACCAATTCATCCAGACAGTTGATTCCAGGATGTTCGTTCCTTCCTGTTTGGGACTAGTCAGCTAGGTGCTTGAATATCTGTGTTGATGTCCATATTATGGTTCAAACTCAGTATCTTTATTTTCAAACGTTCAACGCCTTATCCGTTTAGCTTCTGAACCCGTTTGACAAACCATTGGTTATCTAGGCTCAGTAGCTAAGAGTATAATTGTTGAGGGTTTGAAATGGAAGGTGATGGGTTTGAGTCTTGATGTGAAGATCAACACTGAGATGCTTGTACATCCAACTGGTCAGTCTCAAATAGGACGGGATGGGTGTCCTGGTTCCAGTTACTTTGTGAAGATAGGCATGACAAATTTATTCTGTAATTTTTCTTAGCCTGTAGATTTATCATTAAACGGTTGTACGTGTTATTCAAGTGTATGACCTTGAACACACTTTCTTCCGTCGTGTTACACTCATAGCATGACACACGCTGTTACCTACTAACATATACACTACTATACACATACTTCTTGTTCTCCATTGTTCGTGATTGTGATAACTGAGCTCTAAATCACCTACTGTCTAGATTTATAGACTACAGCCAAATTATACTATATTCTACGTTTGGCTATATCACTGGAAGGAAAACAATCTTACTGGAACCATCAATCATCTATAATTGTAGATTCTGGTACCAAACTCAACCTGAACACGCACAAACCTGCTGAATTAAGTAATGTCCCTAATTTTCATTGTGTTTATAACGTTTAACTGATATATATTAACATTACTGTTTGTACTCAATAACAATGTTATTATTTTTGAGTTCATGTATTGTTTAGTCCTCTACGCAACTCTACTTAAAATGCTTTGGATTAATGGCAGTAATAAGACAATGTTCTCAGGAAGCACATACTCCAAAAGAAATCTATCATTTGTAGCCCTTAGCATCAACGACCATTACAAATGAACAAATTATCCAATATATACATAAGAGAACCTGTGTGAAACACGAAATTGTCATTTTTTCCTAAAAGTAAAACATTTCATCATGGAGTTTATTTCTAAAATGTTTCATTTTAATTTTTGTATAGTTTTTACTTCAATTTACAAATTCAGCTGCTCCTGTCGAGATGTCGAATGAGTGAACATCTATCAGCTTGGTTTATAAATGGCCAGATAATACAATATGCAGTTCTATCTTGGCACATCTTATCGATAGCGGTTATACTGTAAATAAATCGTAAGCATTTCGAGTGATCTATCGTATAGCTCCATCATTTCACAACGGAGTCCGATCCCTCCTCCTACATGTCGCCGAAGCCATAGGAATTAGTACATATAACCCCAGGTTATGTGTACAGAAGAAATTCGTAACCCCCGTATCCTTTCCATGGCCAGTTATAACTTAACAAACGACCTATTTTATTATTATTTATTTGAAGGGGTTTCGTGGAGATTTGCTTGGAAATTTCAATAGTTGGAATCATGAGTCAATTGAAGCTAGGCCACCATGGAAAACCTGGAAGCACTGGAAGGCCGTTTCGTCCTATCGTGGGACTCCTCAGCAGTGCGCATTTACGACCTCGCCCCCCTGGGAGATTTACCCACGTTTGACCTTCTATTTCCAATGTTTAACTATTGATAAGACTTATCGTATTTTATTATTCTTACTACTATCAGTACACCTGTCTCCCTACTATTTTTACGTATTATGTGTGGTGACCTATTCTGTTTCATTATGATTATTAACCCGAATTGCCTTGATTGGTTTAACATTTTCGCATAAATACTCATGTATATTAGAATAAAGCCTGATGACGATCTAATTGAAAACAATTGTTCGCCTATATGTGTTGTTCTAATATAATTATTTGTCGCAAATTACTACTTTTATAACAACACTACAGAGGGTAAATTATATATCAATCCAATAACAAATTTCAATAATATATTTAGAGGAAGAGTAACACACAGTTACATTAAATAGTATTCAGATTCTCTAATTGTGAGTTTTCCATTTCTGAAACCATCCGGGTGCACGCTCATTCATAATTTTATGTAAATCACTACTAATCCTCTCCATATAATGCATATCATTACACACATCATCATGTAAATTGCTAAACAAAGTCTGATGTAAGGCAGTATTTTACAAATAAACCCCAGTAAAAAATTAAGAACAGTTAGTAAACACTCTTTCTACTCTAATGTTAAATATGTATTTAAAACGGGTCAAAGGATTAATCTGAATCCAATTTGCATTATTATTAGTAGTAGTTTGAGTTATCCCGTAGTTGATATTCAGAATTGAATTTCGATCAGCCTTCTCTAACATACTGCCTCCTGTTAGAAGTGCCTCGATATTTCAACTCTATCACGAGATTTATAGAGTTGATGAATTTTGGCTAAAACTGGAATACAATATATGCGTTTTGTTCTAACTGGAACTCCTCAGCTTGACACACCTCAGTCTCAGTGTAGAGGTCCGCAATGGGAATCGTCTCAAATTCCCAACTTAAACTTCCACTAATAAACCTAGAGTCATTGAAAAAATATTCCAAGGATTTTTCTCTTAAAAAATATAAATAAGAATTTATTACTTACGGTTGTAAGAATTCTGATGATGCAGCATAGTTAATCTGACGTAAAGTGATGTATTCAGATGGATTTGAAGATTCCATGTTTGCACAATAAATCTACAAAATATGTAGAAAAACATTGAATTTCAATAAATTTCAGTAAAAGACTATGAAATTCTGTTATTAAAAATCAACCGTTGGTGGTCTTCACTAGTTCAGTTGTTTTTAAAAAAATACATTTTCTGTATTGATATTCAATATTTCAACTGTATGATATAGCAATCAGTCAGTCTATATTGCGAATACACATTTATACTAGTAAAATCACTAATATGGTTTTAATTGTTTGATTTATTAAAAAATAAGTTCTCGGTTGTAAATTGAATTTATATATATGTCAATGAAATATAGCTTTAATATATAATGTGAATTAAGGCTATTTACTCAGGATGTACGTATGGCAACAGAGACTGATCAACAGGAGTCATGAATATCAGCAACGAGAAATTGCAGACTTTTGAACGAGTTATTGATTATCTGGACTTAATAATTCACTAGATCACACAAAGGAGGTTTGTTGCTAAAACCACTATTTTCAAGCCTCTATGTGAAAATCAACACTAAGATCAAAGCTGAAATCGTTACAAACCGATGTTAGTGGGTGATTCATTATGAAGTAGGGAGTACTAAATATTTCTTTCTTCTTATAACCCGTAACTCTTCAACGACATAAATCCATGACAACATTAGGGACTAGCCTAAGACCTTTAAATTTCTTTGTAAGAGGATAAATATTGATACGCTGAGTCGGAATTCAATCAATTTGTGATATTTCGCAAAACTCGTCCACCATTATTGACAACATTTGTCTCGCAGTTGAACTTTATTGGTCATAATTTCTTACTTAAACTTCGAAAAAATTTCCGAAACTAATCATTGGTCGTAAATGGGGATTTATTCTTTTTTTTAGACTAACTCCTCAAATACTCATCATCTGTGATTCTTGCGAATTTTATCGATTCGAGATAAATTCCGTAATGAAAATAAATTATGCATAATACATTAAACAACATGTGTGAGATACACTTATAAGAAAAGTATACTTAGTTATATGACCTTGACAAATAGTTGGAGTCATGTTTACTGGGTGTTCTCTGAAATTTGACTACAACTGTTTGCCAGTAGATCAAATCGTTTACCGGTTTCGATCATTTCTAGTTGTCCCCATATCTCATATATTTATATTTAGTACTGAGTAAATGTAAGTAATTTCTCTTCACTGGCTGATCGTCCGGTTCTGATTTTAATAAATGTCCACTTATTAGCTTTGTCATAAAAATTTGATTTTCTATAAGCTAATATCACTCAGATACATTTCAAAGCTCTTTAGGCAGTCGACTGGATAATATTTCTCGTCTATAGAGTACCAGTTCCCTAAAGATTAGAGGTACACCTGACTGATAAATGTTGACCAGAACGAAACACAGATTCAGAGTTTTCTATGGACTGTGCTAAATTACATTCCATTTCACACAATGAGTGCAAGAAAATTCGAGTGATGTAGATTGATGGTTACACTGAAACCTGAGGCACCAAAAGACTAGACAAATATGACGTTGGTCACTATTCAGTGACCGGTCAATCATAAACGAATCATATTAGTTAAAATAAATGAAAATAATTCAGTGTTATACCATTATTATACAGAATTTGAGATTCATTATAATCTGTGTATTAATAGATTTTTAGTCTTAGTCCTAGTAAAGAGTACGATATACATACAGATTGATAAATTAAAGAAGTAAATATTAATCAAATTAAACGTACCAAAACTTATCATTTTAAACATTCAATTAACAAATGAAAAAGTATACTAAAATTATGTAGGAATCTATACATATTACAAACACGCATTGACAATAAGGGAAAGATTCAGCTTACATAAACTAAGGATTGTTCAATTAATAATTGATATGTGCCATCATCAGCTGAAGGATAACGATATTTTAACTCACGACAACTTTTAGGGACATCTGTATTAATAAGAGAAAAAATGAGTACAAAACAGTTTCTTTCTTAAGCTTTCTAAACATTAAATGAGTAAACTCATAAAATTGTAATAAGTTATTCACCACATTTATTAGAAGTGATATATAAATCTTCTTTACGAACTTGTAAACTTTTATTAAGGTAACCTGTGCAAAATTAACTAAATAACTTGATATTAATTAAAAGTAATGATTAATTCCCTTAGAGATATAATAAGTTGGGTGTTTTGAACAGTAATAAAAATCCTTTTCATTAAAATTGAATATTGGTAAGAAATGGGATATAGGATGTACGTTTTATTCTATTAGGAACTCTTTAAGTAGGGATACCTTCATTTCGGTGCTGATGTTATGCGTATGTCAGTAAATACCGATCAGCGGAAAGACTCAAACCCTTACAAATAATGAAGATGGTCTGTTTAAAGCCATTTTTTGACTATTTACACAAATCAAATTGTTCTATCACCTATAGGTTTACATGCATCCAATATGATGTGAAAATTTTAACATTTCGTGTCTAGAAACTCAAACACTGCTTTGTGTTTGATTGCTTGATGTGTGATTGAATAATTCATAAGTCATTAATGTAATTTTACTAGAATGGTAATTTTGTAAGGATTGAACAGTTCTTAGACAGTTTCTGTTACGAATCAAATTTAACTGAGACAAACAATGAACACTATAGAAAGTTGGTCTACGGTTTTGTCTAAGAATCTATCGCAGCCTTCCTGCAATCAATTTCGATTATTTTTAATTTTTGTTAAGCCCTTTTATTAACTTAACAGACAATTTTATTTGAGCAATAACAACTCATTTATTTCTTTGTACTATTATGATCACTATCTTGTCCGTGCAAACGTGTACGCTTGATCACATGACAGCCTATGCATGTGTCTCTCAAGTTTAAATGTTTATAGCTTAAATATCGCTCGATGAGCCATTCTCTTCTCTCTCTATATATATACTCGAATTCTATTATTAGCCTTTCCCTTACTGTGCCCTTATTCGATTTGACCATAAATTCGGCTCTGCATTTGCTCGCATACACCTATTCGCCTCTCTGATTCAAACTCGCTCGGCGTGCTTATAGCTTTGTAATCTGTGCTATCCGCTAATAAATTGTAGTCGCCGCTTCTTATTGATTTCTGATATCGAACACCGTTGAAGTTTATATAATAACGGTTATCAAGGTGATTGACTAGCGAAGCTAAGCTACTACAAATCCTTTGTTTCAAGCCTGAAGATTCTGGGCTCTCCCTATGACAGGATTAAGGACGAGCATTGTTGTGAAGCTCCAAACTATGACAAAATAGCTATCCAAACACTCTCTGGTTTTTGATTCTTATCTAACTAGAATCAATTCGTGTTATCAATTATTTTCAAAGTAGATTTAAGTTTCTTAGTTTATCAATATCAACTATAAATATTCAAATTATCTGTACACATACCTGCACATAAATTTGGACATACACCACGATTACTGGGTTTCAGATTCGCTGGACATAAAGTCTCTGAATATTCATTACCTAAATCATCTACACATTTTACTTGACGAGATCTCATTCTTGATTCACAAGTATCTGGACACTAAGATTAAAAAATGAAACAAAATAAAAAGAGGAAAAATGATTAGCTTTAAAAATGTTGTAAGTTAGACGAACTTGGTAAAGTTTGGTTATTTTAGCTAACTGATTGAAAAAAGACGGTGGTAAAAGTATAGATAGGGATGAGCTTAAAAAGAATTCCAACTGGTTTCTAGCCAACAAGAAAACAGCTTTTGTAAATAGATAGTTTTTAAAAAGGAAACGATAAAATTGGACGGAGTAAACCGATTTTACGTAATTAGTAATCCCGTCAATGTTTTCTGCAAGTTACTCTACCTGTAAACCAAAGCACCAACGATAATGTAAACTCATTCTTATGGATGTAGATTGTCTATATTCTCGAACCTATATAAGCACTCGATCAGGTTTGTGGGTCTTTATACTGTTCCTTATTAAAGTTAGATATTTAGGGAAAAATTAAGGATTGATGGTTTAGGTTTTCATCCCGTAATGACATCAGCTATAGTGTAAAAATGCTTGGTAGCCATATGAATGAATGAGAATTAGGGTTTATTTCAAGATTAAGGGTTTAGGATTTAATGGTTTTGACTTGCCTGTTATATGCAATCTACAACGACACTAACATTTTTACTCTGTTGTTACAAACCGTAATGTTTTCCTATTATTTTGAACGTTTTACGATCATAAAAATATTTCTATCACTCGTTGAACATGATACTTAAATTGAGCTCAAAAGCTTAAAAGTTGCGTTCTCTTTTCTAATTGGCTTGTTCGTTTATTATACTTTTACCTGTTCTGTTATTCCCTAATTGAAACGGAATTGTAACTACAAATTTTTTAAATTGCTTCGTATTTATAAGTAAATTCTATTTCCAAGTTAACATCATGTTTGCGTATATGATACTTTTAATGTTTCATGACAGTTAATAACGATATATTTGTTCAAGTGCTATGAACATTGTAGCAATTACTTATCATATTTACATAGACATATGAACTGTGAGGACTAGAGCAGTAGTAGAATTGTATTCAGATACCTAGTTAGCAATTCAACCAGACAAATATTACAATCAGTTATAAGTAACTAAAAGTTAAATATATATTTAGAAATTTAGTGAGTCTTATTAGGTTAAATAAAAATATTGTATAGTTTGCAAGGAACTATTAATTAGTACCATTTTCCTATGACGCAATACCTTTATTTAGACCAAGTCAACATAAAACAATTAAGTACTACATAGAAGAGTTGATTTTCTGACTTACTAAACTCCAAGATCCTGTACTCCATTCAAATCGTTTGCATTTGAACAATTCACAAATGGTCCAGTTCAATGGTTTTTCTAAATGATTACAAACCGCATCATGAACTGGACCACGTCTTGGACTGATACATTTGATTATTCTTTCACGTTTGGTCAATTCGCATCCCGTTATATTGCACTGAAAGATAGAAAAATTGATTTGAAGATCATATGAGATCAACACGGAACTTCTTAAAAGTCAGAAAAGTTATTAGTAATTTTCAGTTGTAAAACTAAAGGTTTTCACACTTCAACTTCAGCAAGTATATTTCAAGTGCTTACTAAATTAAAAGACTTTCTGGTCAGACGATTCGTTATCTATGCTTCTGATGGACGGATTATTTTCACGTAAAGCATATTATCTCACCTATTTTTCTAAGGGCTAATGGGAGAGTTTCAAACAACTCACGCAGAGTAATCAACCAATTTATCGAAGGACAAATCGGTTTCAGCTTATGAATTTATTCATAAAAGTTAATAACTATCAAAAAACCATCATTGAAAGTGATGGTTACCGTATAAATTATGTTTCGACGACATTTTCTAATGAAATGATAAAGAATACGCTTGTCAATTTATCCAGAATGACGTTAGATGATCAAAATTCAAGGACAGGACTTTAGAAGTTTAGTAGTTCTAATATGGGTCTATCATTTGTTGAATAATTTCGGATTTATTTTACACATCAGTATACCATGTGAGGTAAAAGCAAGCAATAATTCAAATACATCATACCGAAAAATGCAAAATTATTCATCACGGCAGTATAACAGTGAAGAGTGACCGTTATTTATGATCAATATACTGAGAAATTCTGAATTTATTTTTTATCGATGCAACAATTAATTTCAGATCAAATTTAAAGGCGATTTAAGTAAATATCCTTCCATAGAATATATTTTATTTTAATATTAACATTTTCTAGCCTACTAATAAAACTCCACCTGGAGCCCCTCTGAGACTACTGCCGGTCCCAAGCCCGGATAAAGGAGGAGGGTTGGACATGCGGTTAGCAGCCCCATCCGGTAGAAAACTAACTCGATAAAAAACGCTAACCAGAAAAAGTAATTCAAACCATTTAAACTCTGCCCTGGGAGTTACAAGTTCTTCATTCAGAAGAGTCATGACATCTCACATTGAAAGCCGAGTTCCTCCGGAATTCACGAGGCTGATACCCCTTCTGACAACCATAGTAGCCATTAATTTAGGTACATAGAATGCTCGTACAATTTGGGAGACCGGGAGGCTTATCCAAATTGCTGGAGCCTACTAATAAATATCTAGTGATCTGTTATATTTAGTTACTATGGCCAACTACAATCACTCATATGAAATCTTCATAGTGAACAAGTTTCATTGATGCACTATATTAATAATAAACATGTATTCACTAATAATTATCTTTGAGATAAATATCATCGGTGATAGTGACTAATAACTGATCAGTATTGTAAGAATTTATTTGCATTAGAAACTTAGATAATTGAATTGAGATCATGTGGTGCTACAATAATATATTATTCTCTACAACGAAATATTCTGTTTTATCTCGGATGTGGTCGTGGTTAATAGCTGCCGCGTAGTCTCGAAATAGAATGAAACAAATGTCAATTGGTTCTTCATTTCCAATGGTTGTCTTACTTAAGTTAGTTAATTATATTTACTATCTTCAACCTTAGTAATCTCCTCAAACCACAAATCTTAATTATATGAAAAGTGTTATTAGATATCACTTGACAAATGATTATTGTATACAGATTCATGAAATTAGATAGGATAAATATTTCTTATACGAGACTTCTTCTTACGTAAACAACAATGATAACCGATTCCCAAAAATCTCACTACTCATAATATACACTTACAAGTCAATTGTTTTGAGTTTTAATATGAAAGACATATTTTGATGATCATAGTTCATTGCTGAAGAAGTTGCTTTCTCTAGTTGCCTAAACTCTGTTGGTTTATTTATAAAAAAGAACAAACCAGTTTGTCTAAGCGATTCAAATTTTAGTATTTTGTATTACCGGATTATTTGAAGAACGAAGTGTTAAATATATTGTGACCCACTATATTGGTAGAACCTGTTGTACTATATTTAGTAAGTAGTATAATCAGTACTTAATCACTGAGTTCTCATAAACTAACAATAAGAAATATGAATATCCATTCAAAAATATGTCATGTAATTTTCTGACAATTAGTATTTGTTCGATTTATACCAGTGAAATGTGTTAGTCTATTGTCAATAAAGAGTTCTCGTTTTTGAATTAACACATTTGAAAATAGACATGAAACTAAAAAAAATTTCACATGTTTATAAAGTCGTAGAAAAATAAAAATTATGGCCAGAATTATTATAGAGAATAGCTTCGGATGATTTTTATTATGTAGATTTTTTAAATATTCATGTCCACCTTACATTTTTGATATGATCACTGGCGTATGTGAGGGAATTCAACAATCAAACAATATTCTTATTCGACAGCTGAATGTTAGTTCTATAGTTTAGTCAATCTCGGACGCTAAACTAAATAATATGCAAACACATGGTGCTTGAATAAAGAGCTCAAAACTCAAACATGTTTAAATTTTACTCAACTAATGATCTTGTTAGTTTGTAGCTTACATCAGCTATTGGTCTCAGCTAGACGATCATTGGAAAGGAGGGATTACTAAAAAGTTGATTCATTCTAGCATAGAACTCCTCAACACTACGCATCCACGGCACAATAAGGGATTGGAACTAGGGCTTTTGGGTCGCAGGAGAACGCTTAACTGTTAGAACCACTGGGTTGGCTTTCAGTAGTCCAATACCATATTTAATGAATCAATGTCATTGGTGAAAAGTGTTACATACGTGATGTTTCCGAACTCTCACAGTCGAGATTTTTTACTAGAACATGAGGTACATTTTTGAATTAAGTCACTAGTATGCTAGCTATTATATTTGAATATTAGTCTATTTTCAGTGCCTGAAATATTGCAATTAGACCAGTATAGGGTTGAATAAAGACAGTTTATTTAGCATCCCCTATACATTGAAATAAAGAAATAAATTAGAATAAGGTATCAATTGAAATCAAAAGTTGGTAAAAAGTAATCAAATAGTTTCAGATTTCTGTTTAGCTGAATGTATGTTTAGGTCTGACATACCTCAGATGATGTAACGGGCCACCAGAATACTTCTGATCCTGTACATGGACGCGTTCTGCATGAAACTTTATCAATAGGACGTGGACTTAGACATTTGCGTCTTGTTGTGGCACTCTTTTTTATAGTCTGTATGGCATATTGAAGTGAATTTACATGAGATGTCTCTGTGTTGTAATAAAATACCTGTTTATCATCTGTTGTCTCAACATTAATTACAGTCCCATTTGAAGATCGGCAAACAACTTGACGTGATCGTACTCCCATGCCACAATTTACTGAACACTGAAATAAAAGTGTTTATATACTACTAGTACAAATGTTAATGAAGGATTATAACAAATTCTAATTCTAAAATATTAATGAACAGTTGAACTCATGAGTAGATCTAATTTATGGAAACAATTTTGAGATAAATTGTATGAGGAATAACTTTATTCTTACTTAGTAGCTTGTGAATAACTAGGTTTCACCAGTGAAAGTAAACCATGCTACTGCCTCAGCGTAAAAATAAGATTTTTAATACTCCGTATCAGCTAACGAATATCTATCAGTAATACTCAGACTTTACTGTAAATCACTTAGGAAAATAAAAATTGTACGGTGTTTTTATATAAATATTATCGTGTTCACAGTTAATTCCTCACGTTAAGGCTAACAAAGCAGTGACACAGGAACCAGTCCATTTTCATTTCAGTCCTATCTTTCTCTTGATACCTTATAGTTGAAGTTAATTTACAGAATGACTTCATAAAGCTACTTCGCTGTTTTGTGTATACATGAAAAATGGGTCATTGAAATAGCTTTATTCAGGAGGAAGGATTTTTGAATACATGAAAAACTGTTAAGATATCCATACTCCACAAGAATGTCTACTACACAATGAATTACTTATATTATCAACTGTGTAAAATTAAACTATGAGCAAACGAAAATCAAATAACTCTTTATTAACTGACGCTTTAAACATAATTTTTGACTCCAATATATTTGGATTTATGTAATATCATCTCTTTTTTCAATCACACAAATGAATGATTCCTATCAATTCAGTGTATTGTGAATACACTCTTTACTCAAAAGTTCACATTCTGTATTATGATCCGAATCGACAGTATAGTACACTTCAAAAATACAGTCAATACTCGGTAATCAGTGTAAGTCTATTTATCAAAGTGTGAAGTGACGATTTATATACAAAGGTTAAATATTGTACTTGGATATCTAAATACAAGTAGATCCACTGTAGTTTCAGAATTACAATCTGATAGTTTTAAATTCACTGCATAAACTAATGCATCTCAGCTGAGTTACATAACTAAGTGAATCAGAATACACAATTGACAGTGAGTAATTTTCAACGTAATTGAACGATTGTTAGTTAAGTTTTTTTTTTAAAGAACTGAACTTACTTTTGACCATTCACTTTTGTACCAATAAGGACAACTTAGGTTTATTAAACATGGTCTTTCTGATATTGGTTTGGCACCGGCATTTCGACAACGTTCATGATCAACATCCATTACATTTGTTGAACGTGATCGACGAATTAAAGAAGAATCAAGATGATTTATCGATAGACGTAATGAACTATCATCTTCCGATTTTTGTAAATGATTATTTATTTGTTGTGAAGAGGTCAATTCAATGATACATCTAATTTTTCGATGTTGTATTCCGTACTCACACTCACCTATACACTGGAATAAAAAACATGATAAAATGCGTGTCATTCATTATTGACAAAATCGTCCTGAAAATCAATGGCAGGATCAACCAAAATCTTATTAATAATTATCTAAACCTCATCCCCATTGAACAAGTAAGTGGTTATTCGGTAGCTCAGTGGATAGTGCGCTGGTGTTTGAAGCAAAGTGCAATGGGTTCTAGTCCTGATGTGAGCTTAAAAACTAGGATTTAAGTACGTCCAGCTGTCAAGTTCCACATAAGACAATATACTCCTGCTCAACAATTCATCAATTCTTAAAAACATTTTTCTTGCGATCACAAACCCAATAAAGGTTAGACAGCTGTTGGGAAACTGGATGCACTAGACCACCGAGTGGTTCTAGTATGGGACTCCTCAACAGAGCATATCCACGAATCCATAACCAAGAATGAAACACAGGGTCCTCCATCTCTCAGCGAACGCCTAGTCTCTAAACCACTGAACCGGAATCTAGTGGTGTAGAAGTTTAGCTTCAGTCAATCCATGATAATGGGCGACTTCCTTCTAACTTGGATCAACTCTTGATTTCAATGGAATTCAATCATCTCCACAATCTCATGCTGAAAATATTTTTAGTTTAAATCTCAGTATACATAATTAAAAATAATGGTTGAATATAATTATATTGAAGTCAAGTTGATTCTAGCTCAATGAATATTTATTGAGCAAAAGTATATTTTTTTCTCTGTATACGATCTATTTTAGTTTTCATAAATCAGAGGATTAATACAGAGGAAATAGATGAAATTGCTAAGTATTCTGGTCGAAATACTTTATCGATCCTGCTTTGGAAAGTGGAGGCATGTAAAGTTCACTGTCGTATGGCAATATACCAAAGATATACATATTGAGTATAGCCGAATTACTGAATGAATTACTTTGAGTTCGAACTAAAGTTTTGCTGAAAGAGTAATGATTTAATCAACAAAGTTTCAATAGAGCACTGACTGAAATGTCTGTGACAAATGTCACCTATTTCTAGTCTTAATCTATTCGACGTACTATTTTGTCTAGAATAAGAGCAGATTAAAAAAGTAAAATATTTAACTAGTTCATAAATGTTGACGTTATGAATTTGTTACATATAAAAGTGTCGGGTTCCTACTCGAAGAATTTAGTTATCAGAACTCTTGAATATCAAAGCTGCAGGTAGTTCATTCATAACTTGTCAGCATTTAAACTTTGAACACTTAAGTGATCATCACTTTGTCCTGTTTACAGATTAACAAAATTTTTAAACTGGCTATACCTAATGCTAAATGGTAAGTACTGTGTGATATTACTATGGACTGGTTAATCAGATAGTTCATATTCACTTCATGAAATGAAGTCCATTTGATGTGACTGAACGATTAGAACAGTATTACTATGTAAGGATGAAATTTTCATATACTGACAGACGTATTCTTTCTTGATGTTTCAATTTTTTGCTCTTAGCATTCACAATAACTGAAGGTTTTGTATTGAACTGAAGAATGTGTTGAAGCTAATTATCCCCTCTCTTCTAAATTGGAACAGTGAGATTTTAGAAAACATTTATTCAATTTGTTATTGTGATGTAAACTTACTTCTTGCCATTCTTCAGCATGCCATATAGGGCACGGAGCTTCAAGACACGTTTCTTGTTCCGTTGGCACAGGCAATAATGCATTATAACATATTTGTGAATCAACTACTTCAATATTGGATCGACTCGCCGTAAATATAGAAGTATATGATACTGAATGACGTTTATGTAGATTCGCATTTTGTGTTTCGACTACACACATAACGTTTCTTTGTCTAACACCCAGCCCACAAGAACTGGAGCACTGAAATGTGGTAGAAAGTAAGCACCAATAAAAGTAGATGAATATCGTATTTCAATGTCAAATAATCTAAAATTGTCAATAGAAGAGCTAAGATATGAGCTACATTCAGCAACTATCAATGAAGTAACTCAATTATCCTAAAGTAACTTATACACTGATGTTAAAGGCGGTTGACAAGATGTCACGGGCTGAGATTTATGCAACTCGTTACTTGTCTTCACTCTTGGGGGAACCTTTCATGGGATTCGAACCCGTGTGATTGGGAATCAAAGATATTGCCAGTGAGACATTAAGTCTCATTTATGGGTTTGACACTATTTGAAATGGGTTAATCCAAGTTGTTACAGTGATAAAATTTACACTCGATCTATGAAAATCCGAATGTTTTTGATGTAAACATGCAATTATTTAATGAACATGAACTATCGTATGAGATAAATTTAATGAATGGTATCAACTGTTATATGATTCATCATAAAACAACTTGCAAATCTTTGTACAGAAAGTATTGGGGGTAAATTCCTAAATCTGCAGTAATATTTAGAATAAATGTATTTAAACCTTCTTTAGAAACTTACAAGAATTTGACCAAATAATCTCTATGATAACTCTTTTAGTCTTTTAATATTAGGCTTTCTTATGGATCTATTCATTTCAATATTCTAGTTTGTATTTAAAATATTTTGACAAACAAATCTATAGTCAAATAATTTAAAATATTTTACAAAAATTCAGTACAATCTAAAAAAGAATTTTTTTACCACTTTATACTACTTAAAATGTTATCCGATGCCTACTAAACAATAAGCCCAATCAGATTAAAACTTACTGTGACACGTTTTCGTCAATTATTGATTTTTGCCCTAAAATGTCCTTAGGTATTTTAACTTTTGTGAAGAGTATTATGTATTTATGTAATTTAATCTTTATCTTATCAGTTGATTTGTGAATTTATTTTAACATGGTAAAGAACTTATTGTTAGGAGAATAATATACATTTCAGAAGTTGAATAATACAATAGGACCTGTAATTTATGTTTATACAGTAATCACTAATTTGACGGTGAACTATTGTCTAGTACTTGACACCAGTTTACATAACTTAGTAGTCGGTTTATTTACCAGAACATTAAATGCACTAAAGTAATATGGTACATGTTGATAAATTTACTATTATGTTTTAGAAACATAGATTTAACATCAAAGAATGAGTTTTTATTTTAATATTTCGCTTTATTTTACTGAACTCATTTTCTCTCTATTATCTTCACAAACACTACTATAGTGTACTATGATATATATATATATATATATATATATATATATATATATATATATTCAGTAGTTTGATTTGCTTATTTCTACATCTTTAAGAATTCATACCAACGTTTCGGGTGTTCTTAATTTTGTCAGTTATCTATAGTTTAATTAACTTAAATGGATCGAGATAGTCCACCTGAATATTCCTTTCCAATTTAAAACTATGAAAAATAAACAACTTAAAGTCGGCATAAAATGATTTAGAAAATCATTCAAGTTAGGCAAAATAACAAATGTATACTAACTGCACTCCATGATGTTGTTCTCCAAGCTGGTACACGCAAATCACATGGAGCTTCATTGCAAGTCAGCACAACAGGCTCGTTTATATTGTCAACTTTTATAGGTATCATCTCTTGATCATTATTTATTCGTCGTTCAACGGTTTCCACAAATATAGTATCGTTTGTTTTATCAGTAAATAAACGTGGCATATACTGAAGATTTTGCAAACACTTATCATTGTCAACAATATGTATTCCTTGTAAAACAACATTTTTTTCATTAGAGCTTGTATCCAAATCATCTTTTAATATAACACTTTCACATGATATTCGAGTTTGTTTCACTCCGCTTCCGCAATTTACAGAACACTAAAGAAGCAGACGTAAAAGGAATCAAAATATGTGTTATATTTAAAAAAGTAGATAAAACATAAAGATTGAGGGGAATCTTAAGGACATTTATCGATCGAAATCTTGTGAAACTAATAATTTCAGGTTAACATACTTTATAGATTGATTAATAAATGTCAATAGTGTATTAAATTAAAGTGATTTTGACAAACATTAGGTAGTTAAATGTAATCGATGGGAAATCTAGGGCTTTGATTTTATTCTAATCGGCACACGTTATAAAGGCGTACCCTTAATCTCGAAGGAACTGACTAGCATTGTGAGACTTGAGACTATATCACCTAGCCTCACGGACTAAAGCTTATATGACATTTTGGGGCGACGATTATTCTCTTGTAGGATGAAGATATATATATATATATGGATGATTATTCACTGAGTATTGATAAATGTCATGTCTGTTTACTTCTCTGGTGCTGATTAAATTCCTCCAATCAAGAAATAAATATGATTACTAGTCAAAGTGACTGAAGATCGAGTACACTATGTTGAAATCTTTTGATTGTGAGAAGACTAGATAAGAGGATGACATTAATTAGGTCAGTGTTTTGTTATGAATTTCGGCCAGGTTGACAGGTGTGAACATTTTTCAGTGTGACATTTTCAGGTCAATATTTCCTTGTATCAATGCAGTATAAACTCTGCTCTATATGACAAATATGACCTATTACTCAATGCGGCAATTATGTTTCTTTTACCACTACAGGTGAATGAACTGAACAAAGTTGATACTAACGTAGCGGAGATGTCTCTTTCAGATATAGCAGATGGCAATGTGCATAAAACAGTGGTGAGGCAGATATAACAATCGACTTATCAGTTAAAACACGTTAAACTGGGGATTAATATTATAGGCGTACTACCTATATGAAAATCTTTTAATTAAATTTAGATCCTAATAAACGGAAAATAACTGCGTATTTAATTATAACCTTTCTAGGGTATCTGTTCTCCCTGAGAGTATAACACAAGGTGTTCAGCTCTTCTTCAACTATGTCCATAGAACATACTCTGTGTATTCAGTAACTAAGAGTTTTAATTACTGCCCTGTCCAGGTATTTTTTCTGTTTAAATTCCTTTTTACTGATTCATCCGCTCTCTTAGTCAAAAGAACGTCCAAAAAGGCTATTCTACCACCACTCTTTTTCAGATGGAAAAAGAATGGCTAGATGTACTTCATTAAACTGCTTGAGGACCTCTTACTGTGATGCGTTATCTTTACGGAGGATGAACGTATGATCCATATATCGATAGTAAAATGTGAATTTTTGAATAATTTTTCTGAGTGGACCATTTTTCAGTTTGGCTCGAAAAAATGTCAGCTAGCATAGGGCTCAATGGTGAACCCATTGCAACATCATCCGTTTGTCTATAGATTTCTCCGTTGAACTTGAATTTCATATTCATTCTGCATTTCAGTAAAAACTCTTTTACGACCTTGATAGGAACTGTAGTTTCAATTTCTTTTTCACTCAGCTGTTCACATATATATATACTACTGTCCCTATGAGTGGAACATTTGTGAGTAATGAAGTTACATCTTAAATTTTCACTTAACAAGTTAACATTCCATTCGAGTTATATCAACATTAGCATTTTATTCTATTTTGTTTGGCAATCCTAAATTCACATGCTTTAACTTTAAACGATGCACTGTGCCCTTAGCATGGCCATTTTTCGGATAAATAATTTGGATATGAAATTGTAGAACCTGAAGAAAATTTATCGAAAAGAATATTCTTTGTTCAAATATTAGTCTTTGAAGATCAGTGACATACAAATTACCAATTCTTGAAAGTTTGGTGAACTTAGCTCATCCCACCCAGATTTTATATTAATTTAAGGTCTTCTGATGAGTAACATCTTTAACGCCTGAAACGTTAGTGATAAATATATAGTATATCCTCAATATTTAACTCCTTTTACTAACATAGGTATTTTTAATTTGCTGACACATTCTTTAAATGTCCCTTTCTACTATGGTAGTGTAAAGTGTAATATTTTATGGTGAGAAACATTTGTTTCCGATCCTACGCTGATTATAATCAACTGGTTTGCTAGCATATGTCAATTAGCTTGGAATTAGTATTTAAATATTCTTTCCTCATTTAAACAAATGTAAGTTAATTCATTCTGAAAATTATAGATCAGTACAATACGCAGTTATTTTCTGTTTATTAAGATTTATAATATATCAAACTTTATCAATAGTTTACAATTAAATGCTAATTATTTTATGTAAAGGTACCATTTTAATGTTTATTGTTTTGACAGAGTGAGATATACTGTGAAATGTAGTTTTTAAAATGATCTAAAATGATATATACTTGTTTGTGTTATGAGATTTTACTAATTAGTGTTATTTAAGTTAAAAAATTATAACATTAACGTTGATTTATGAATTCATCATAAGATGATAAAACCATGGGTTACATGCTCACACCTTGGTTTATAAAAACTTAGTTCCTCTTTTTTTTACTTGTCATTATCGTCCCATATATAAAAAATAGCAATCAGTATCCAGGACACTGTAATAACACGTAATTAGAAAGACAGCAATAGGAACAATATCACGGTGTAAGCATCAACGCTGGAGTGCAGGTACATCCTGCCTACGAGTCTCAAATAGGAACAAAAACGCACATTCTGGATTCTGCTGTTATCTACTACCTAATTTTAATAAAAAATGTCAACATAGTTTGATAATTTGTTACAGCTTTGACTGACTCAATATCAATTTATCCCATACCTACTTTATGTACTTTCCCAAGTAAATTGATGATTTTGTTCATTCTAGTACTTTAAATTAACCATAAGTTAGTAGTATATTATTAACTCTATCATAATAATTATGTTATAACTGTAATTTATCTAGATGCTCTACATGTAATTAGACAAGACTTTATAAACTGCAGACATTGAGATCATAATTTATTTCTTGAAGCTTGTATTCCAAGAATCCAGAAAAGGTTAATTACTGTTCTATGTACTCATATCCACTGATCTCGCTTATTGCGGATCGTTATCTTTAGAAGTATTTTATTTTATCCTTAAGTTATTTTAACCATCCATCTTTACTTAAAAAGCTTGTCACGTAAGGCTATATCGAGGCAATTCGCACAGGACGCACATATGCCAACAAGAGACTGATCAATTGCAGTCCTAAATAACGATTGGAAGATACAGGTAAAACAACACCAAGTGAATTTAAAGTGCATAGTAGTTGAAAAATAGCTAAATTTGCTTTATTTACCGCTGACAATTGTCCATTTCCCCATCTGTAACATTTTGGTTGAGTACAGGCTTCTCTACCATGTGGTTCTTCCACTAGCTCCCCAAGCATACTAGCTTTACGACAAAAATTTAAATCTAATTGTATTCTTTTCATAAAATAACTCGACGTCAGTTGATCAGGCATTATATATTTGTTTAGTGAATTATGATAATTATCATTATTATCAATGATACATGAAACATTCCGGTAACGAACACCAATAATTTTATTGATTAAATCTTTTCGATCCGTAATGTTATCAACTAGACGACAATTGGACTTCATCTGTTCATCCAACGGTTCACATTCGGACCATTTAGTTGTAGACCAATTAATATCATTTCGACATTCAGATAAAGAAAAGCATTCATCATATTGTTCAATATATAAATTGTGTTCAAGCGATAGTTGGAAATTGTTATTTTGTTGATAAAGTAGAAAGATTTCTTGAGCTGAATGAATGGTGACAGATTGTTTTGGAGCTTTTGAATGGTGAATCATTGATTCACCGTAAGTCATACATTCATTGAGAGGCCAATTTTGCCCAATTTCATCTTGACAGTAAAGAATTCTTTTACGTTTTCCATCTCCACAAGAACTGTTGCACTAAAACAAATAAAAAGTTATTTAGGATAATTGACACTTCAATACAGTGTTTGCTCATATATTTTAGCCGAAAGCTTTTATAGAAATGTTGTATAATAATAAGCTGAGTTAGGAACTTTGTAAAGTGGCAATGTAGTTGGTCAGCTAGACACAAAGTAGAACATGGCACACGTGTATATTAGTTTGGGCTGTCATGCTCCATTAGCACAGGACGATGAAATTGTCGCGATTCATCATTGCACATTTATAAAACCATTCAGTGATATTTCCTTACCAAATATCATGAAGTTAATTAGAAACCAGCCTGAGTTTATGAACAAGCAACTGAACATCAACATTCATATCATAAATTGGCTGTGGAACGAAGACTTCTTATAAACAATAACTAGTATAGGGAGGTAGAATAGCTAAACTCCATTTGTGTAGTAAGAGCGATTGGACTAATATTTTCATAGAAGGGCTTGCTAAGTGGGCAAAATGTAGACAGTCTTACTAAAAAAATCTAATGATCAAACGACCTAAAGTTTAGTTGGAAAGTTAGTCTGATGAAGTTGTAAACTAAGCTTACTTCTGTCCAATTCGATAAAATCCAATACACAGGATAACATGAACCTTTACATGTAACATAAGCTGGTTGTGGTGGAGCTTTTCCCAAGCCTGCTTTGTGGCATACAAGTTCTCCTAGTTGAGCAACTCTCCAAATTCCTTTTGACTTATCTTTTTGTTCAGCAGGTACAATATATTCTTCACACACATACTCGACAGCTTCATGACCCTCATTACATCGTGCTGAACAGCTACTAGTATAAAAGTCATGAATACCATTTGATGTTTTTCCTGTTAGAACTGGTTTAGCTGACCATCGTACACCACAATAGTCGGAACAACGTCTGAAAACTGATGGAGGCTTTGGCATAGAGGCGCATAGATAATCAGCTACTGGTCGCAATAGATCAAACTGTGAAAATTGACTTTGCTCAGTATCTTTCGGAACTAATGGATAACATTCTGCAGGTGTTGTGACGTTTCCTGTGAAAGCAAAAAAATTATGTTATTTGTGATGTGAATTTGTGAATAAAATAATTTTTCAGGCAAATCCTTTTGGTGCTTAATTTCTGTGCAGCACACACAGTGAACGGCCAGACTCAACAATTCTTAGAAAAGTAATCTAAAACTCAGTGTAATAACGTAGATTAAAACGGGAATATTGTGGTGTTTACTACTTAAGTCTGTCACTATAAGTATTATGTAACACCAGTCGGAAGTGGAAGCCCTGTCAGCAGAAGGCTAAGAAGATCAAGTTGAAGAGAATAGAATGGGAAATGGAAAGGAATTGTAAATAGGAAGAAGGATACAGAATATGAAAGACAAATGATGGAAATTTGCAAATGAAGTATTCAATGTTTAGTTCTCATATTTTATTAAGGCACTCCGTAATTTTGTGATAAAATCGGTTGTTCCAACCTGTGTTCTGGTTCATCACAATATTATAGTTGATGTGAATGGGCGTGACTTACTGAGTGGTCTTCCCTTTCATATAATCCCTCATTAGTCACTGTTCCTTGACTTTCGCAGTTTAACTAAGTACTAGTTTCACTGTTCATCATATGAATTAGAACGAAAGTCGAAGATGGTATGAATCTGATAACCTTCTGCATTTCTGTAACGTATTTTTGTTTGCTTATTGATATCATTCACAAAAGTAACTGATATTATTTAAGTATAATATAACTCAAACTCTTTCAAATGATAAGTGATTATAATTTCGTCATATATTATGTCTTCTGATCGAAAACCAATCTAATGGTGCATACATACCAGGTTGTTAAAAATTGAACCATGGACCTCAAAATTTATTCCTTATCCTGTAGAGCAATGTGTTATGTCATCCAACCTTCCTCACTTTCTATTTCAATCAATCGGTCTTACAGAACATTAGTCATCTAACACCATTCTAAGGTAATTCCCTAACCTGCAACAATTCTAGACTTGATCAGTTACTAATTTTAATCAAAGTTCTAGGAATCCTTCTAGAAGAGAGTTCATAATGAGTACGTGATTCCTGCTTGGCTAATAGATTTGTCGAAATTATTTTAATTATTGAGGTGGTTTACTTTATGTATTGAAATCAGCTAGAGAATCGTTAGAAATCACAGAACATTAAACAGCTGTGTTGACCTAGTATAGGTCCCCACAGATGATGTCAGTGACAAGTGCAGTCTTAAAAATCAAATCGTTGTCTACAAATTTTTCAACTAAATCAATATTTGTGGTGTATCTTTTCTAAAGATGATCATTTGTCTTATAAACATGACATCTTTGTTGTCTTAGTAATTGAAATTTGCTAATTTACATTATTATAATCTTAATAGTTGAGATTATGAGTCAGTTGGAGTTAAACCACCATGGAAAACCTGGAAGCACTGGACGGCAGTTTCGTCTTAGCATTGGACTCCTCAGCAGTGCGCATTGACGATCCCACCCACGGGATTCGAACTCGGGAACTACCAGTCTCGTGCGCGAACACAATCGCTAGAACACTACTACAATCTCCAGAAAACCCCTTCTGATATTATTATAATTGTTTTGGTAGGGAATGTGATATATATGTATAATGTATTACCTTATTTAAGTAGACATATGGACTAGATCAATAAAGAGAAAATAAGTCACTAAGTAAAGGAAGCAAGAATAATTTGATTAACGTTTTCTAGTTTTAAATCACAAAAATACTTGAATTGTGAACATAAAACAGAAATGTTTATGTAAAAATCGAAGAAAAACAAAACAACAAAATGTATGAATGAGTGAACGAACGACAGAACCGGACTACAGGTGTTTAAATCATTCAGTATAATTGTCTTGGATTTGTTAACACTACATTTTATTATCCACACCCAGTTAATGATTGAAAGTGTCACCTTGCCTAATATACAGAAACAAACAATATATATAGTCAGCAAATAACATCTGATAATCTGGTAATTTTATGTATACGAATAGTTTAAATCCAAATGTTTTGAGACTTTCAGTTGCTTAGAATAAGTAAACAATGAGAGTTAGTTAATATTCAAAGTAATTGATAAAATGAGTGAATATTATGGATTGAAGGATTTTCTGCTTTTTTTCGTTCTACTCATATGAAGCTGAAAGAAGACAAAATAACTTAGTTTTATCATAGAATATCAGTTGTACTAACTGTAGTTATGTGATACGGTTATAAGAGATAACAAATGAATGGTGTAAATGTCCTGTTGCTAATATTGTATGAGTTTGGGAGTAAACACAGTTTAATAGTTCGAACCAATAATAGTATTGTCTAAAAATGAGTGAGTTTTTCGTACAGTCAGTTTATTGATTAAAAGAACATAAAAATATTTAGGTCATCTTCCTAATGAAAACTAGATGTATGTTTATTGGCTAAACTACTTTCGGTGTTGTTCATACAGAGTTAGTAGAATGTCTATACTTTTACTACAGAAGGTATATGTACTCCTGCGGAATCCCATGGTTTGTCGAAACCTCTGTGCCACACTTTCACTTTCTCTAGCCAAATTTAATCTGTTATGTAAACTATAAATTTAACAATCTCCACAAATCTCCTATACTAAAGTCAATCTGGTTGTTGAAGATTAATATACAATATTTATTAACTAAAGAAATGGTAATCTTCACAATAAATATGAATTATTTTATTTCCATATAAAAAAATCTCCTAACTTATGTATCCTTTAGTGTTTTAATAAATTTATATTTAAAATGTCTAATATTTACTAAATCTTCCGTAATCAGAATTTAAAAAAAAATTATTGACATCAGTTACCTGCACATGTAGTACAACCTGTGGGTAGTTCACTAATTCTCCAGACGAAATATATTTTTGGTTTCTCATTCTTAATTTTACGATTATCCAATTCACTTGGTTTATGTTGTACAGGATTAATTAATTTATCAACTGTTTCATATGATGAGTGAGTATCTTGTGATCTTCCAGTACGACGATTAATTCTGTCTTCAGCTAATCGTGCTTCACTTTCCGCAATGAAATATAGTGAATTATTTTTTTGTGATTTATCAATAAAGTAACTGTATTCTACTCTTGGTAAAGATTGAGTTGTATGCGAGTTTTCGACACGAATCTAATAAAATATAATAAGTAAAATTAGAAAATTATTTATGATAATCTTGCAACATTTCTGAAGAATGAAGTCGTTCGTTGTATACAACTAATGATGTCTTATTAGCTAACACAAGGATATTTACATGGCTTTGATAGACTATTGAAATCATAATACTGTATTTGGTTACAACGAAAGATATTTCAGAGAAATTCCGTTCGTCTAACGGTGAAAGTATGCTTGAAGACCAACCAACCAGTATTAGGAAAAAGACTATCAGGCTTTCTGTTATAGAAAACGATAGTGTGAACCATATGAAGTAAAAATGTAAATAGCATGTAGGGAATAGCAACTGGAAAAGACTGCCCACGACAGAGTTCGATGGAGAATGCTGGTTTGTAGTCTATGCTCCTCCATGGGGGTAACGGGTGTAAGTAAGTGAGTAAGTAGTGAATCGTTGTATGTTGAGGTTTCTTGGGATAAATGTTCCATATGTCTTACAAGTGCCTACCTCGACGGACAATGTTAATTGGTGTAAGGTTAAGTCAGATGATTTCTAAAAGCGTCCAAATTAAAACGTGGCATTAGTCTGTAAAACTATTGGCGGGTGGTCTGAGATTTGTTGGCAGATGCAAATCATCTGGTAGGAGTCGGCTTAATAGCAATGATCAATGGTTCAAGACGTTGGGTGATATGACCCAGATCGGCAGGAATGGTACAAATGAACTCGTACTCTATATCTCGAATTTCAGCATTCCTTCACACATAAACTTTCATTCTGTTTTTCCAACTGCATTCTCAATAATTAATCTCTCATCATTATAACTACTACATTATTTCAATTCTTTAGTTATTCATCTCATTGTGCTAATACGTTATAATTATTTGGCTCGATACTAATTTGTGCTAAACTCTAATGTTCGTTATGATTAACTCACTGACTGTGCATGAATGTATAATTTGATTATGATTTCATTGAAAAGACTACATTCACTGAATTACATGTGACTGACATTGTATTCTTAAATAAGTAAATAACTAGTTTTAAATGCGTACAAAGTCATTACCTCATTTAGTCATCATGTTAAAAACGTTTTTATCAACTGACATAAGAAATTTTTGGGACTACCATTAACGTTATGAAAGTCAGATTAATTATTCCTTATTTATAGTATGGTGGAATTTATGGAGACTATAGAATTTTCGTTGTTTGAATCCTGAAGTGATCGTAGCTAGACCACTATTAGAAAACCTTGAAACTCTAAAGACAATTAATAATCATGTGCTTGTTAGTGGGCAGCTTCTAGATGTAAATTTTTGATGGGGTTTCGTTCTCTGAGCTGAATGGTTTGGTCGCGGAGCTTTCATCGTTATTCTGAACGACATCATCAGCACAAAATTCAGATAACAGTGAAGTGTTCGAATTTCTCCATATGTGTTTCACAGCTTGTTCTGTACACTTCGACGTTGATTGGTTCTTATTGACCTTAAATTTGTCATTGCTTACTCCTTTGTTTTGGGTATGTCTCCCATTCCTTTGATTTTTGTTCCTATATTTGTGCATAATTTTCCTGATTGGTTGATAAATTGGATCGATTTCACTGTGCCTGTTGATTGTTGGTTGACCTGAGTGCCAGGCTTTTAAAAATTCTCAAGCGTTTGTGCTGGTGATGTCGTTTAGAAGAACGACGAAAGCTCCACGACCAAACTATCCAACTCAGAGAACAAAACTCCATCAAAATCATCCACCTGAGCTATAAATCTTCTCCACCATCTAGATGCAACTCTTGAAGTTCTAGTGAAGAGCCATGACCAATGGAATTCAGCTATGTAGGATGTGAGGCAGTTATTTGCCACAGACAATGGAATGCGGTCGCGCAGTATAGTAAGTTAATTGAAGTTATTCTTGTAAATCATTGGATACCAGCTCAATGGTATACAGTTTTGGCATTCGTGCTCGAAACCGAATATCTTGAGTTCAATTCCTGGGTGCAAGGTCGCCGATGCTAACCTCTGAGGAGTTCTATGGTAGGAAAAAACGGCTATTCAGTACTGTCAGGTTTTCAGAAGTGGTCATGATCTAAACTAAGATGTTTTGCTTTATGTTTGTATACACAAGGCCAGTTATTTTTTCATCTGGAATGACATTTAACCAGTCTTTCGTCTATTCTCTATACTCCATTGACAGTTGGCATTTTATAGTTAATCTGTTATATTTTTTCAGACTTTATTATCGTTTTGTAATGTTTACTTGTTGTAAAATATATGATATTTAAAGATGTCGACCCTATGGATATAAATTTATTTTGTAAAAGTTTGGTTATATAGGTTAACTTTTTCTTTTTTAGAGAAACAAATATCCAGAATTGAATTGATTTTAATCGTTGATTTCGACAGCTTAATAAATTAGATAACAAAACTTTTCAATTATGCTGGAACAATAAACGTTTTTTGTTTTAAGCTTGAATCAAACACTATGTAACCATTGAAAACTATGTTGCACAGTTTTATTCGAGTATGGGACTATTTGAAAGTGTTTACTTAATACCCTATCAGGGATCAAAATCAAGACCTTTAGATTTTACTGTTAGCGCTTAATCTTTGGACTAGGGATTCGGAGTTCAGTTGTTTGCATCAGTTTGTGATGAAAGCAACCTATAAATCGCTAATCAGCCAATTATTAGAAATGATTAAAAATGATAACTAATTTTATGACTAGAGTTGGATTTTTGAATACAAACTTCAGGTTTATTTAAATGGATCCATGTGACATTCATTGTGTGTAGTGAACGATATCTGACAAAATAAAGTGAACTGAATAATACAGCGTTTATTCTTTGAATTCCAAATTTTATATTGACGTAATATCCCGTGTTAATTACACTTGAAGCTTCTCAGTATTTTTCTCTGTCCAATGCTCATCCCCCCATTTATTCTTATGTAATCAATCTGGGTAAATAATCGATTTATAAAGTTTCATATTATCCCACCTTTGAAGATATTTAAAACTGATTCTTGAATCCAAACTTAAACTGACGTTTTATACATCTGTCGTGTATAATAGATTGCAATAATTCGTCAGTTTGTATTTCATTTTATCATTATCAATACTATGTTAGTTCATTTCACATAATCTAATTTTAATTTCACATTCAAATGCATTTTTTTTTAAATTTTGAGGTTATGATAATAAAGAGGTCATTGGTAAGCAGTACTTCTCCACTCAGTTCGTATTTTTAATACCTAAATGGGGATATTCGAATCATTTATATTTACTTGTTTTGTTCAAATAACTATTTTCTTCAAAAACTCAATAAATCCTGTCTATAAACCTTATTAATTTAATAAAAGACTGATACAATTTTTTAAGAATATTCAGTGTGATTTTGAAAGCTAAATGAGGATTAGTTGGAGCTCCATTTTTTAAGGGATGACTATCAACTGAGATGCTGTTTTTTGATTGGGAATTATTGAACATATTTTTTCCTAGTTTAATCTACTTCAACCGTTCACACTTACTACTCTACTACTCATCGAATTCTGGATCTTCAGGTATTGCTGAAAAGTCGTTATCATTCGACTAGTGAATCAGAACTCAATAGTTCATTTTATTGAACAAATTTTGCATTTATCTTGTGTGAATGGAGGATAGAGGAAACAGTAAAGTAGTGTTTATATAGTATTGAACGTACCTTGAAACTGTAGCCTGCACAATATTCCTTTCATATATATTAATGAAAAATTCAAGCTAAGAAATCTAACAGTGTTTATGAACTGTTAAATAACTTCTACAAAACTCTGAATATTAATTACTCCGTGACAAAAAACATTAGAATGAAGAGATAGAACTTTTGTATATTTCGGAATAAAAGTTACCTTTTAGTTTATTAACTCTATGATTTCAAACATTTACTAGTTAAACTATGAGAATACTAGAGTACCGATTGATCAATTCTATGATCTCAATAAAGATGTTTTTTGAACTACTAAACTACGATGAAAAATGACGTTACTGTTATACGGTGTATATCTAACAAATTGTAAATTAACATATCCTTATATTAATAAAACCACGAACTGATCTAAGTTACACAACCGTTAAGAACCTGGAAACATTGGGTGGCCGATTTGTCAGCATTGAGAATCCAAGAACATCGGTTGGGCTCGAGAATCCTCAATCTTTAGCCTGTCGTGCCAGTACTCAATAATGCACAAGTCCAACATTCATCAATCCACGATAGCGCGGCCTTCTACTGTCTTTGATCGGCATTCTCTTCACATTCAACAGGGTTGAACTTTAGCTGTCAAGAAACGAGTCTCGCATTCAGTGCTTCCATGTTCTTAAGAGTTGTCTAACTTTGATCAATTCGTGATTTCAATGAAATTCCGCAGTCTCCACAAGCTCATCTTGACAATTTTCTTTAGTACCTAAGTTATTATAAAGCCTTTCTTACCATCAGCAAGACGATATACATATATTGACAGGATTATTTCTCAGACCTATAAACTCAGTTGTATGATAAAAAAATTTATAGTTTAGTAAGTATGATCATTCATCAACAAATTTGAAGATATTGTGTTATTGTACATAATGATCAAACTTAATACAGTCAATAGGATTTGTATTTTGCCGACTAGTTTTAATGATATAAACAAATGGGTGGTTTTTAATTAAACTTTTACTGACGTTGGTTAAACTCTGTAACTCCGCCTGAAGACCCCCTGATGCTACTGTCGGTTCCAAGCCCGGATAATGGAGGAGGGTTGAACATGCGGTTAGCAACCCCATCCGGTAGAAAACTAACTCGATAAAAAAACGCTAACTAGAAAAAATAATTCAAACCATTTAAACTCTGTCCTGGGAGTTACAAGTTCTTCATTCAGAAGAGCTATGACGCCTCACGTTGAAAGCCGAGTTCCTTCGGAATTCACGAGGCTGATACCCCTTCTGACAACCAGAGCAGCCATTAATTTGGATACATGGAATGCTCGTACAATTTGGGAGACCGGGAGAGTCTTCCAAATTGCTGCAGAAATGAAGAGATACAATATGGAGATGTTTGTAATCAGTGAAACACATTGGACGCAGATAAAACAGCAACGAATAGCTTCAGGGGATCCTCTGTTATGCTCCGGCCATGAAGAAGAAAATGCTCAACATATACAAGGAGATGCACTGATGCTATACAAACAAGTACAAAATGCACTTATAGGATGGGAATCTCATGGACCAAGGATCATCAAAGTCTCCTTCAAAACAAAGAAAGAGGGCATTTCAATGAACGTCATTCAATGCTATGCGCCTAACTACGACTACAATGAAGACGCTAAAGATCAATTTTGCGATACGCTGCAGCCAATCGTCAAAAAGTGTCCAACAAATGACTTGACCATTCTGATGGGAGGCCTAAATGCCAAGATTGGAATGGACAACACCGGATATTAAGAAATCATGGGACGACAAGGACTGGGAGAAAGAAACGAGAGCGGCAAGTGATTTGCAAACTTATGTGCCTTCAAAAAACTGGCTATAGGCGGCATTATATTCCCACACAGAGGTTGTATGACTTGTACAGTGCTACGCTAACTAATATCGATGGTATCAAATTTTTTCTTCTGTCATACCGTTCAACATATGATTCAATGGATATGAAGATATATTAGCTTCCTATTTTCTGAAGGTTTCCTGTTCAAAACGGTTTATTTCGGTTGATAAGGTCGTATACGTTTAGTATTGAAGTTCACATTAGTCAGGTTTATGATGAGTTGGGAAATTAGACAAATCTATTACATGTTGAGTTGAATTTTTCTATAAACTAATTTTATAATACATGGCTTCATTAAAAGGGAATTTTTTAGAAATGAAATCCCTCACTTCTTATGTGCTTGAAAGAATGTAAAATGAAGCATTTATCTTGCCTGTGACAGATCGAAAAACTGCCCTGGAATTAGTTGTGGTGATTTAATCATCATGAACAATTTTATTTTCATTTTACTTATTTAACATATGAGGTTTGGACTGGTTTGTTTGATTTTTCTACCGATACAATTTTAGTATGTTGAAAATATGTGCGAAAATTTAAAATTTGTCATGTTGTTATAGACTTGCTTGTTATTGTGCAAATCAATATATCAGAACAAAAGTCAACGCAACTCGAAATACTCTGATACAGAACTTATTTGTAAATTAGAATGGTTAATTTACAATAGATCAGAATGTTTCGTTGTAAGGTGTCTGGTTATAATCGATATGATGATAATAAAATAAATCATGCTAATAAAGTGTAAAGTAGGAGACTTCTGACGGGTTAATGGGGATATCAGTAATGATAACAATGATAATAATAATGTGGGGATATATTATGTAATAGGAGTAGTGTTGTCAAGGTAACTACGCTAATAAATCCATGTAGATTTGGAAAGACTAACATGTAAATTTAGAAAAAGTCAGGGAAGATAAAAACACAAAAAGAATTTTTAACTTATAAAATTATTTAACGTACTAAGAGGTTTTATTTTGAACTTTAAAACACCACACAATAATTAGGGACTTATAACTGTAGAGCCTGGTGACGGAGTTAATAAACACAAATATTTGTTCAAATATTCTTCGTTTCTAAGTATTAATTTATATATATTGTTCTCTAATTGCCTCAAAAGTGGTAGTAGGCTTATCGATGATACTTTTGTAGTTTGTCCCTATAAATACTATTACCTAATTATAAAATAATTGGTTGATATAGGTCGAAATTTTAAGACATTATGCGTTTCCCAACAGAATTCTGGTTCTAGTTCTTTTATTATTGAAAAATGGATGGAATTCAAAATAGATTTGTATTCTTTATGTTTGTCTTGAACTATAGGAGGGATATAAAAATGAGTATGAACATAAACTTTACTTACAACAATATTCACATCTTTATTGAGCCTTCCAGTAATTGAAACGATTTCTTCACGACTACGACTACCACTGTAGTAAAGCTCGGCTCCAGCAAATGGTTCATGTGTTTCACCTCTACGTATTTGAGTTTTTAATTCCTCAAATATCACTTGATTGAAGAGAAATAATGAAATTCGTTTAATGCAAGGAGATAGATTCATTTGTTTTAGAAAGTATAACGCATTTTCATTTCAGTATTTGAATAAATATCTAACGGCTGATCCTTTCTTACGGTTCAGAGACCTGTCTATACAGTTCAATATGAATTATCGATTACTGTCGGGAAAGTGTGGTAAACTTAAATAAGATACTATATAAGATATTAGTTGTAAGTAAATAAAATCAATTTTGTGTTGAATAAGTTAATTAATGATACATGTTGGTAGAAATGGTGAGTAGTTAAATGCTCAAATTGACTTTTCATTGACATATTTTATTGATACCTTTAGTTTTTGTGGTTTCGAAAATCATGGATTGCTAAAGTGTTGATTCTTTCTATTAAGTGTGATAATTATCTAAAAAGTAACATTAGATCTCTTTGATCTAAAATTTTGGCCAACGATCAAATCTTATACATAAGATTAATGGCAAGTTGGTAATCAACATGTGTACACGCGTTTGAAATTTAATCCATGGATAAGAAATCTACACAAATATTAGATCAGGAACCATCTATGAATCACTAAATTGAAATCTAACACTGATGAATTTCATACATTACTTTACATAGTTGATAAAATAGCAATATACCTTAGAAAGTAAAGGAACGAAATGATCTATTTTTTATAAATAGTTAAATTTTTCAACTTACACAACATAAAATCGTCATACGAATCTGAGGAGTAGGGAATAATACGATGAGAAACTTTTCTGACAAACGCATTTGTAACTCCTTTCGGAATACGTACAGCTGTGATTAAGCCTGAAAAAACAATACGATTTAAAAAAAAACAAAATTGATTTTTTATTTTAAACAAATAAAGCTTCTCTGCCTAATTAAATTTGTTAATTTATAAATCAAACATACCACGTGGATAAGTACCAGGTGGAGTTAATGTATTTCCATTGAAAACGCCTTTAATTTCCTCACAAGTACTATTATCTCCACCGCATACACGACAACGATCAAAACGTAATCGAGAGCCCAAAATACCATCACAGCCAGTTTCCTGCAAGAAAATATAATAAAATAATACTTTAATGATATATCTACAGCCTTATGTTCACACAGATGAGAAAGATGAAAACGTAGAAGGTTTTTATTTAAGATTTTGCTTTGCCGATTTTCTCATATAAACATTCATATTCATTATCGAATAAATCTAAAGGGTGTATACATTTTAGTAGTAGACTCAGAGTCACTTATGTCTACAAACTGAAGGATGCAGTGTAACAAACAAAAAGTGGAGAGTTTATATCACAGAATGACCTTAATTAAACAACTATTACAAGGCAGGAAAGATTACGCACCTGTTTCACTCTAGTATTAGACTCTTCAGCCGTGTGTGTCCAGGACCACTGTACCAGGGATCGGAGATTCATCACTTTCAGGCCTTGTATCAACGTGACTGCTAACCTGATATCAAATGATTTACATTTCTAACTGTAATTAATTAACAGTATTACTTAACCGCTACTCAGTCATTCATTAATTTCATAAGTCTTATGTAGATTCTAGAGGTTGAGTGCCCAAAAGCGATGAATTAAGTCCGGGGTTGTGAATGTATATTTCTGAAGAGTCGCACACTAGGACGAAACAACTATCCGGTGCTCCCTGGTTTGCAGTGGTTGTCCAACTGAGATAATTTTTTGGTGTTAACTATATTTGAATGATCCTTGTTTCTTCTTACACCATGATCAAAATATTTCTGTAAAAATAATATAAAGCATTTACACCTGTTTTTAATAATTAATGAAAGTGTTTCTGGATTGTAGGTAACTAAATAAAGTTTCACTTTTAAGATAAGCTACACGATCACTTAAATACAATTTTCACCCTGAAAACACTGTACACTTTATCACTTTTGTTTAATAATGGAGAAAAAACAAAACTACATTTGCAGGTATCTATATCAAGGTTGGAATATAACAAAAATATATTTATTATTAAAAACGATATTTAGTTATAAAAAAATCCTACTATAGATGAAATCGGAAATTTATTTTCTATGCTCAATTATCAACTTACCCAACATTTGCCTTTTATGCATATATCATCTCTTTGTGTATAACATGGTGTTCCATCTGGTAAGCTGAAACCATGGGATACAGAATGGGAATTATACAAACAGATCAAATTGCATGATGTAGGCTCACCCACTACGATGAAGAAAATGAAAGTTGTTAAAGAAAAAAAGAAAATAGATAAAACTTCACTCATCACAGATAATTTAAAAAAGTCTGCTATAAATATTATTTTCATGACCTAGTTGTTTATAATCTAACTTTATGAGTGATCTAAACCAAATTCTCTGTCGTAACGATCATAATAAAAATTGGTTAGATTTGTTAGAGGTAGTGGTTAGGAAACCTTGAACATGGAGTTCGTGAAAGTTGATACTCATCAGCAAGGTATATCAGTGACAATGAGGTAAATGATGGCTAGTAAAGTATTGACATCAGTGTTATTGGGCTTCATAGTACGGGGCATTAACACTGAGTTATTGGGGCTGCGACTGAACAACTGTAGGATTGAAATGTATGTAATTTATCAGTCACTGAGTAGTGACCGACTAACATTCAACGTTTCAAACTTTCCATTGCTTTAGAAATAGTTTACCTCCGGTTAAACTTATGTATTTTGATTACTCCACCTAAAAAACATGTGATTTCAGGACACAGGGCAAAAATACAAGGCTTGTCGGGATAATAGTTAATCGTATGGCAGTTACTTAAGTTGAATTGATTAGTTAATTAGCTGTCTTGGGGAATAAACCCTCATTGTGTTAATGAATAAAGTATCTGAGATGCTTATTAAACCATTTTAGTACTTATCATACAGTCAAGATTGCTCTATTATATTAAATTTTTTAACACCTCAACAATACAATATTATAAAACTCACTGCGTTTGCTGAGAAGCAAAATAATTAATTCTGGACTTTTAAGGCTTATACAGTTTTCTTATTCTAAGTCATGAACTGGTCTTAGTTAGGTTACCACTGAAAACTTGGGGGCAGTTGACATCCATTTCATCCAAATACAGAACTTCTCATCTGTGTGCATACACGACCCACATCCAGAAAGTGAACCTTCTCTCTTGCGGGAAAATGTTTAACCTCTATACCACTGAGCCGGAATTTACTGGTTACAAGAATAACTTCAATCAATTCATGATATTGGACAACCACCCATCAGCCCTTGTTTGTGGTGGATAGCCGTCTCATATCTGACATGGTCGAACTTCACTAGTCATGAATTCTCCCAAGAGTTCCAGGAGTTACATGTTAAAACTAGCCAATAGTTCGCACATTATAAATTTTGGTAAAGCAAGATTTGTCAAGAATGTAGAATCTCCATAGGTTTGACCACAAAGTGGTCCTTATTGAACTACCATGGAAACAACTGTTCAACTTCAATACTTTTTCAAGTCATATGGAGCTCGATAACTCAGTCTATTTATTTCATATACTACCTTGTGGAGTATATTTTATACTTATTTCCTTCACTCTACCATTAAATGTATTTCATTCTTATCCAGTGAATGATTTTATCTAATCAATTAAGGAAATGATGGAATATTAATTTTTGCACAAATATTTTATATACTTTTATTCTGTCAGCTAAATTCCTTCAGAGAAGTTTTAAATAAATTGTTTATCAAATAAAATTACAAAGGACACTGTTTAGATTTGTCATTTCTATGTATTACATAATGATATTTATTTTATAGATAAAAAACATAATATGTTGGTCACAAAATATCCACTGTCCGTTCAGTTGTTATCATCAGATAACATTTTCTCACAATAATCATTGAATAAACCTATAAATTAATTCATTGCGTAATATTACTTACTGTCAATGTATACTTGTATATTTTATGGACACAACCACACAGCATTAATAAATGTCTATCTGAACAATGTATAGTTAGATTAATTAAATATATACATATCTTGTTTTGGTCGCTCGTACCGTTTTTATGCCTCTATCAGCATATTCGTTATTTCATTTCAGTTTCTTATTTTCTACATAGTTTTGGTGCAAAAAGTAATTCAATACCAGGGTCGTCAATATCCACTCTTAGCTTATTGTGCGTTGGATCTGAGAAAGAAAATTGACGAATCCCAGGTTTGAACTATTTTATATACATTCTAACAAATCCTTTATATTGTTTTGCGTTAAATCAAAATACACAATTTTAAATAATTTAGAGACTACGAAGTTATTGCAAGTTTTATTGTATTTATTATAATGTACTTGAAAATTGCTGCTTTATGAATTACATTTGCAGGAGTGATCTGAATTTATAATTGGATGTCTGATTCATCGTAACAACAAGTGATAACAATGTAATTCATTTACCAAAATCAAATTTATATATACAGTTAGATTCTGGTTGCTTGTGAGATAGATAGTAATGAGACGCGGTTGCTTCAATTGAAATAGGAGAAACAAGGTTCGAATGGATACTTTACTCTCATAGTTACTTGTTTTGAAAAGATTGTAACTAAATTTATGTAGACTGTGTCAAGTACTTGAGAAGTTAATTCTGTGAGCTACAGAAATTTAAAAAAGGGCTTCACAAAGAAATAGAAAAAAGTCGAAAACACGAAATTTTTCGTTGTCGATTGCAATTATTTCAAAAATTGTATCATATAGAGAAATCACTCTTTACTAGCAATATGGTGAACAGTAGTTTTTCTACAGGTGATAGAAGACAAGTAAGTAGATTTCGTCACTTTGTAATAATGTATCAACCATTGTGCAACACAACATTTATTCAATTGATTTAGTGATCAAATTACGGATTTAATCAACAAAATGTGTCCAATAACATCGATTAAGTAAGATGATGCTGAGAGACATTCATTGAATGGCTGATTATTAAACTGATTACTAATTTGTTCTACGCTTGCTGTGACATATACTGAGAGTATGACATTTAAAAACTTAACATAGAGGTAGGACTTTGTAACAAAAAAATTAATAATATTTAGATTAGTTTTAGTCATTTGGTATTGAAGATAAAGGCTTAGAGCTTCTGCCCTGATAGTTTTTTTTTAAAATCGTTTCTTAAAACTTGATCTAATATATGCGCTATGTAATACTTTTATTTTTCTTGAAAACGTACTGAATGATAAAACGTATTACTTTCGGATGTTCACGTAACAGGAAAGGCGGTATACTAGATGAGGATAGTGAAGCTGCATCAATTAGATGGTTAGAAATAACGTATATGTGGACTATATTTCTTTTACCGAAATGAGGGTAATGGCAAAGTATTTACTTGTCTTGAGGTGAACTTATCGCTTTTGTACTTAAACCACTTCACCCTAACACACTGATTAACATTTTCTAAATTATTTGAAGAAAAAGTCTGTCGTTGACGAACCTGTACAGTTGTTCATGAAATTATAAATATTGATCAGGATACTTTAACCAATATTATAAGTAAACGTTCCATGAAAGGAATGAGATATATTTATATTTGATAGCTTTTGATTTTTATAATTTACTCCACAGTCTGACCTTAGTTAGAGAACTACTAAAAACAAGGAAAGAGTGGGCTGGCTGTCATTTTTTAGTATGTGACTCTTCAATACTACACATTCAAAACCTCACCTGGGGTCAAACTCACTACCTTTAAGAGCGCTGAGTTTGCTTCCAGTAGTTCATATTCCTAACTTTATTCAACTCATGACATTGGTCAACTTTCTTCCGATGTTGATGAGTAAAATGATTAGTAAATTTTGATCTTTATCACTTTGATTTTTACACTTAACTTTTCCCAAACATGATTTGGTTGACATGTGTGTCTCCAGCACAGTTTTGATACATCAGTTTTCAATTCATTATTTGAGTATGATCAAATGTTTTACTACTCCTGAAACTACTTTTAGTTAAAACAACTAAAAATCGACAATTAAAACATATTATTAGTAAAGAACATAAGTTATTCAATTCCCTAGGAGTAGAAAAGGTGTAAACGAAATCACTCTTATGTCTCAATGTTTACTATTTTTATCGTAAAATCTTACAAGTAAACGACATTTCCAGTAATGTTAAAAGAAATTATATGAAAGCTGTGTATGATATTAATGTGTTATAAATACTAACAAAATACTTAAAGCTTTTCAAATTTAAACTGTCGGTAAACACTTCTAATGAGGAGTTGATTAGTCAATGAATTAAGGGTGAAAATTTAATGTAGTTCATTGCAATATGGCATAATGTTAATAATATAAACAGGCTAAACAACTATTTTGTTGGTTATATTCATCAAGGATTGATTTCAGTCGGAGTACGTTTTAAAACCACGGAGTGTTGGGTCCTTGTATAAGACTTCTAAGAGTTCATAACCAGCCTTGAAGGTCCTGAACTTTATCCCTGGTGGGGTCACAGGTTTCTAGTGCTTTGTGGTTCTACACTATAATGAAACATATGTCCAGTGCTCCCTGGTTTTTAACAGTACCCTTAATGATATCAATTTACAGTGACACACAACTCATATATTATATAGGTTTCCTAAAAACCTTTTCAGCTAGACTATGACGATCATTGTTTTGTTATTTCTGTTCACTAGCAATCAATGGAATCCCATATTTATGTCTAGTTATTATTATTATTAGTTAAAAAAATGTTTATAAAGTAATTTCAAAATAAATGAGTAAGCATTAAAATATCCTTATTAGTGAGGGCTTGAATTATTTATTTGATGAAATCCTATACTGATGTTTTATCACTCACTTTCGGTACATACGCACTACGTTGGCGGGTGTCTGTATAAGGTAGATCAGTGGATGAAAAGTTTGCGTTTAAAGAGAAAGGTACTAGGTTTGAGTCCCAATGGAAGAATCAACTCCGGGATTCAGTTACATCCAACTGAAATAATGGGCGAAACACGAGTCCTGAATTCTACTACTGATAGTTACAATTCATCTACTTTATTGTAATTATCCGTCCTTAAAAAAAAATTTTAACTTACGTTTCGGAAAGTAAGCTCGTAATTGACCTTTGTATTGTCCATCTATTTTATCACATAACGTTTGGCGAATATTAAGTTGCTTCTCACAAGGCTTCATATATTAGCAGTATATATAAAATAAAAGATAACAGGGTAATTGTTATATTGCTGATAACAAAAGCTGTCAATTACAAAACATAGAAAGTTAACTTAATTCCGTAAACGGAAAAACAATTGTAACGAATATCTATACAATAGTAAAGATTCTTTAATATTGTTGAGAAATTATTGTTTAGTTGAGTGTTTTGTGAAGATTTATTTCAACTTCCACATAATCTCTACCACACACGAACATTATCTGGAAAATCGTTGAAAATTAGAGAGCATCGAAAACTGATTGGAACAGTGTACATGCATTATCCCACATACAATCAAAATCATGATTTCGTGTTTCGTAATGAGCACTTATCTTAAGAAATCAATAATTCGTATGTTGAACTTATCGATTTGGTATGTGAAGGAAACCAGCGAAAATAGTATAAAACCGATAAAATTTGGCTAAGAGTTAAAACTGGAATGTGCGTTTCGACCTATTTGGGACTTGTCAGGATGTACCTGATTCTCAGTACTAATGTTCACACAAAGATTTAAATCAAATGCTTTTCGTTTCAAGTACCTTGTGAATTATCCACTAGCCTACTGAGTTCATGTATCCATCTAATTGTGCAACGGGTATGAATTCAATTTGATTTACAAAAGCATTGGAGTTTTCTTGTTATTGATATTCCCCATCAAATTTCGATCAGTCGAGACCTTAATATACATCAACTAGAAGATATAAGTACATTCAGTTGACAAGCCCCAAACGATACGAAATACTTATGATAAATTCCCCTACTAGCCATAATTTATCTCTTCTATAAAAGTTGCGACAAAACGGCCATATTAAGTTGGGTAACACAGAATGCACATATACCAACAACGATTGATAGAAATTGATTCAAGGAGACGAACAACAGGAAAACTCGAAACCATTACTATTTCTTATTTCTATGTTAAATTCTAATACATATTTGGTTGTAAGCAGCTGAAAAAATCCCACGAAATATAATGAATTCATATTATTTTCCATCGATATTCGTTCTGGTTTTATTTAAATTCATAAACGGTACTAACTGCATGAGACAAATTAAACTGTTTGTTCGTTTATTTGCCACCAAAGAATTTTCCATTTCATTGCCTATATTATACCAAGTCAGGCAATTAAAAGACAAATAGTTTGGGTAGGTAGTTTAATTATTGAAGGAATTGATTCTAAGTTCGTTTTCTTCAAATCTAAAACCCATATTTCCCAAACTTTGCCTTATGTTAAGTTTATTTATACAAAAGGTACAATTGTACCATACTGCTGAAGATGAATGACTCACTGAGTATGATTCCCTTGTATATTTTCTTAACTAATGATCATGTAGATAGATTGAACAAATAATATGGTAATAATGAATGATGAGTATAGAATACTTACAACATTTTACATGGGTTTTTAATTGTTCAAACTTTACCACAGATTTGTTTCATAATAACAAATAGATTTCGAGGATCTTTACATTGGTCCAATGTCAGTTATACTGTATGATGGTACAATTAGCTGATTCTCATTAGTTCACAGAGTTTTATTGACTGCAAGAAGATATTGTTTTTGAAATCACTCAAAAATTGAATGATAACCAGTACTGTTTTATAAAACCTCCGGAAAAACCCCAAGTCATGTTCTTAAATCTGATTGGTTCAGAGCTCTTTGAAAGCCTAACCTCTCAATGGATTATATAATATTGAAAACATTTTATTCGACAAACTTTTATAGGATTTTAAATTTGGATTGGATATTCTCCCTTTGTTTTATTTGATTTACTTCATAGACCATTTAATTTCCTCTCTAGAATGTTTTTACCATTATCAAAAATGATATCTGACAAGAATAACATGTTTCAAAAAGGGTGATTCTTTGAGTTTTTATAGTATTTTAAATACAGCATCCTTTTCATGAAAAAAATCTATAATTTTTTAATCCTTTGTTTTAGTTATTGAGACTGGTAATATAGTTTATCAATGTTTAGTCATTTTATTCTGATTTCAACATGGTAAACTACTTAAATATCATATGATGCACTTTTAGAGCAAAGTGCGATTCATAGTTTACATCACGAAATGACTTGACGTAAAAAAACTACTTAACATAAGAAAGCGTTGGTCTGATGTTTTGCTTTGGTTTTCTTCTCAATGGTATGTGTCTACGATCTCTACAGAGATGGAACGCGAGACTTTCCGGTTTCATGTAGAGTGCTTAGTCCCTAGACCACTAACACGGCACTCACCATCGTGCATATCTAACTTCAGTCATTTAGCGTTATTACGCAATAATATTACAAATGCACTGGTGAATAACTGTTTCATAGCTGATAAGGTTGAACTCTATTGGTCACAGCTCCTCACTAGAACTTCTGAAATCGAATCTCGAAGTTATTCATTAGTTAGCGATTGGTTACCAATAGTGCAATCGTTTTGAGGATATTTTCGAATTTTCATTGTTTACATGACTAACTGACCTGAGTTAAACAACTGTTGAAAATCAAGAAGCGCTAAATTTCAATAACTGTCTGAGTATGGTCACTTTATAATGTAAACTACGAAACTCGATAACCTCAAACCTGTTACACCAAGGATACTATGAATTCTGTAAAAAGTCAAAATCTGTGTAATACATGCATAAAATCAGTGAATTAGCATAAACTTTACCTCAGTTTCACATGACCTCATTCGAATTCGTGTTCCATGACAAAAATTACCACCATTCTGAGGTCTAGAATAGGACGTATAGAAGAATGTATGGTAAAAAAAGCAAATTTGATGAATTAAATGTTCTTAGTGATTAGGTACCAGTTAATTATAACGAAATATCATGTTTAATGTTGGAGTTCATTGATACACATTTCATTGATGAATGTCAAAATAACAGTAGTGATGAAAATGTACTCATGCGTATTAGTTCCAACTAATTACATTTCTAATTTGAAAACCTCCTGACATGATGGAGTTTTCACTGAGTCCACTAAGAAAATTTTACTTACAACCGTATAGTAGATAAGAAAATGTTTTAACAAAATTTTTTAAATTATGTTTCTTGTATTAAAGCTCATAATTTAATACTGGTTGCCTAGGTAATTATTTCTTCTTCCATACTGCATAATCTTAATCAACCATAAAAACCATCATTTATAGTCAGTGAATTCATATTTCGACTAACGAATTCATTGATTAATAAGAAATAAAGTTGTGATAAATGTAAATCATACAGAAATCGCTTCTTTTTCAACAGTTTAAAGTTGTATAATCTTTAGAATAGACTTGAATTATCCGGTTGTTAATATTCAGGATTTAATTCTGATCAGTTTTTGATATGTGGAACATGTATGAATAGAATAGATATGGTCATTTTATAACAAGTATTTTAGAATAGATGGATTGTGGCTAGCATCCACAGAAATACCATATCAACGCGATTGATATAAACCGGCGAAGACCAATCAAAATTCAGTCCAGAATATCAACAACAAGGTAATTCAAATCGCTACTTATAATGACATAAACATTATACCCGTTAGATAGTTTACTGGTTGTCTAGACTTGATAGATCAACGCATAACACGTTAGCATTTCATGACAAAAGTATTAGATTTTAGTCTCAGAATAAATATCAACACCGAAAACAAGGTTTGCCCAGCTGACGATTCCTGGACCGTATGAAACGCATACTCCACTACAACCGGAAGGTTGTCTAATCTGGACTTGATTTTTATGAGTCTAAAGTCAGTTCAAGAACTATTGGAAAGTCAGGGAGCACTGAATAACTGTTGGTCCTATTTCAGAACTCTTCAGTGTTGTGCATTTATAATTCACCTTTGGGCTTAATGCTTTCAACATTACCAGTCCATCTAAACAATTAATTATAATATGACAACAATGGTCTCTAGTTTTTAGGGTTGTGCATAGTGCTTCAAATATTTGACCTGTAAATTTTAAAGTAACTATTAGAAAATGCAGATCGATCTGAATTAGAGGTTTGCTGACACTTATTAAAATAAATGTATTCATACTTATGCAAATGTTTAGTCATCTAAAAGTAAAAGCCTACACCATCGCAAATCATGTCGCCAATGATAAGTAGATTTCGTGTATTCGTCAATATAAAGTTTCAGGCTAGACAAGAAAATGATTTTCTGAAGTAAACTTTGATCTTCAGTTATCCTTAATCAGTGATAGTTATCATTTGTTTGTGGAAAAAGTTTATAACTTCATTTCAAAATGTCTGTTACATGAACACTTGTTGCAGACTGACGGTTTTCTAGATGTCTCTGAGAATCTTTTATTCACTCGTGATTGGATAAAATGTTTTCATTATTTGTCTGAGCCTATAGAGACTTGGTGAAGAAATATTCATTAAACCATAACATATTGAAGCGCAAATATTTAATTATTTCCTCAACGATGTTTGTGTAAACATTATTCATAGACGTGAGAATAAATAGCTTATCGAATTTAGAAATTTTTTAGTCATACTCATTATAGTTATAAGGTAAATTCTAACATAAATTGGGAAAAATATTACTGTCTTACTCAGGATTATTGCATTCACGCTCGGAAAATTGTACTCCACCACCACAACTACGTGAACACTTTGACCATGATCCCCATTCACCCCAATTTCCATGTAATGGAGTTGGATTTTCATTAGTTGATACACATCGTCCCTGAATACACCACTAAAAATGAAAAAAAACGTATTGCTGATAATAATCTGGAGAAATTGGTAAATTCTACGTATGACAAGAACTTAAATGTTTAGACAAAATAACTTAAAATCTGAAGTAATTTTTATTGTAAAGTTACTTTGAAAAAATGATTAGAAAAAGCGATTAGTATTTGGCACCGTCACTGTGTTTTATACAATGATACTTGGCTGAAGTCATTCAAAAACGATCATCCTTTTGCAATTTTATGGTTTCGTGATGAAAAGAATGATACGTTACTTTAAACTATAGCAATTTGTATTTGGTTGAAATTCTTAGCATGTTACGTTTCGCAACTTAAGATAAAGATATGTAAATTTCAGTCCTGATTCTCAATACTTTTGACAATAAGAAATATCAACTAATCTCAACCCTCGATATCGGATATCATCTAGTTATTAAAGGGGATTTTTTTGTCTTAAAATAATAAGTGATCAACGACTAAATACAGAATTATCCATTATATAAATATACGTTAACAATTTTAAGATTAAACTTTGATGGAAATTACAATAATCTAAATTCATTATGAAGTCTGAGGAATTTCAATGTCATTTAAACAAATTATTTACGAATTTTAGGAGTAAACATCGACTATACAGTTTTTAATAATCAGCATTTTATATCAACGGATATTGACTGCATGAGATAATTAAAATAAAAATAGACTGACCAAATTATGTTTGTGCTCGTTTACTACTCAGTGTTTGGGATAATACTTTAAAATAAGAGACCCTCATTAACAATCTAGTTCCGTTTTGTTGAAATTTGAACAGGATATAATAATCATGGGGCTTAGAATTGACCTTTATCATAAATACTTCAACAATTAACCTTAAGTTACTTAGGTAACATAAATGAATACTGATTATTAATCTTATTCATTGTTCATTAATCTTTAAATTTTCGAGTGGCTAAGTTTTCCATAATCTCAAGGATTGGACCTTAACAACTCCTTTACAACTTTTTAAGAACTGTGTTGGTGTCAATTCGATGGTCTGTAATGATTGTGTGTTAATGATACAGGGCTTACTACTTCCCATTTTTATCAGAGCATTTTATACTATTTGAATCTCAAGGTATATTAAGGTATATGTTCTATACACTTTGATTGTATTGTTGGATTACTCTTACCTATATACCCATGCTTGTAAACGCAATTAATCGAATTGGTACTTCTTGGTTATAAATAAAAACGCCATTAAAACGTTCGGTTGGGTATAGAATCCACAGTGTTAAGTCATCCAAGTATATCGTAGTCAGCAATTACGGTCGTGTTTTCACTTATTTAGTCACGTAATTTTAGATATTTTGAAGTGTATTTGATTAGAGAGTTAATCAAAGTTATGACCTTTACAATCTTGTAATTTTTCTTCAATCTTAACTGACGGCGCTAAATTTGACAACTCCGTAGTACAATAGAGTGGTAATTTCGTAGTGAGAAACATTACGTTTTTCATGTAAGCAAGCTAAAACGATAAAGAGTGAGACACACCATCATGCGTTACTTGCTTACTTATGCCTGTTACTCCCAATGGAGCATAGGCCGCCGACCAGCATTCTCCAACCCACTCTGTCCTGGGTATTCCTTTCTATTTTTATCCAATTGTTGTTCATTCTTTTCATGTCTGTCTCCATTTGTCGGCGTAATCTGTTCTTTGGTCTTCCTCTTTTCATATCGCCTTGGCGATTCCAGGTGAGGGCTTTCCTTGTGACGTGGTTGGGTGCTTTCCTCAATGTGCGTCCAATCCACTTCCAGCGATTGTTACTGATTTCTTCCTCCGCTGGAATCCGGTTGATGCTGATAGTGTCTAGCCAACATACCCGAAGTATTTTGCGTAGACAGCTGTTAATAAACACCTGTATTTTCTGGATGATGGTTTACGTAGTTCTCCAAGTTTCCGCCACATACAGTAGAAGTGTCTTGACATTTGTATTGAAAATTCTGACCTTGATGTTGGTTGACAGACATTTGTTTTGAGTTCCAGGTGTTCTTCAGTTGTAGGGACACTGCTCTTGCTCCGTCGGTCTGCGCTTTCACATTTGCATCAAATCCACCGTGCTCATCAATGATGCTGCCCAGATATGTAAAGGTTTTTACATCTTCCAGATCTTCTCCTTCAATTGTGATTGAATTGGTGCATTCTGTGTTGTATCGGAGAATCCTGCTTTTCCCTTTGTGTATATTGAGACCTACTGCTGCTGAGGCTGCTGCCACCCTGTTCGTCTTCTCTTGGATTTGTCGTTGCGTTTGGGATAGAAGGGCCAGATCATCTGCGAAGTCTAGATCGTCCAACTGCATCCTAGATGTCCATTGTATCCCGCGCTTCCCTTCAGATGTTGATGTCTTCATGATCCAGTCGATCACCAGGAGAAAGAGAAAGGGTGAGAGTAAGCAACCTTGCCTAACACCGGTCTTCACTTCGAACGAGTCTGTCAACTGTCCTCCATGCACAATTTTGCAGTGTAATCCATCATATGAGTTCTGTATGATATTGACTATCTTCTGGGGCACGCAATAGTGTCGAAGAAGTTTCCATAGTGTTGTTCTGTTCACGCTATCAAATGCCTTTTCGTAGTCAATGAAGTTGATGTAGAGTGATGAATTCCATTTAATTGCTTGTTCCACAATGATCCGTAGAGTTGCGATTCGGTCTGTACACGATCTATCCTTACGGAATCCTGCCTGTTGGTCACGAAGTTGGGCGTCTACGCAGTCCTTCATCTTGTTTAACAATATCCTGTTGAAGACTTTTCCCGGTATTGAGAGAAGAGTGATGCCCCTGTAGTTATCACACTTGCTGAGATCGCATTTCTTTGGTATTTTGACCAGAAGTCCTTCTTTCCAGTCTGTACTTGTTCCTCATCCCAAATTTTGCTGAAGAAAATGTGGAGTATCCTTGCAGTTGCCGCTACGTCTGCTTTTAGTGCCTCTGCTAGAATGTTGTCTGGTCCTGTTGCTTTGCCACTCTTGATTTGTCTGATGGCCACGCTGATTTCTTCAAATGTTGATGGGACAACATTGGTTGGGAGGTCCGTGGGTGCTGCTTCGATGTTGGATGGGTTCAGTGGAGCTGGTCGATTCAAGAGTTCTTTGAAGTGTTCTACCCATCTGTTTTGTTGTTCATCAATGTTGGTGATTACCTCGCCTTCCTTGCTTTTCACTGGTCGTTATGGTTTATGATAACTTCCAGCGAGTTCCTTTGTTGTGCCATAAAGTTGTCTCATGTTTCCTTCTCTTGCAACCATTTCTACTGTCATTTCTAAATCGCCCACATATTAACGTTTGTCGGTTCTGATGCTCCTCTTCACTTGTTTGTTTACTTCTGTGTATTCAGCTTGTGCCTTGTCTTTCTCTACTCTTGTTCGACTGGTATTCATTGCTGCCTTCTTTTTCCTCCTTTCTTGAATCTTATCCAGTGTATCAACAGTGATCCATTCCTTGTGATGGTGCTTCTTGTGGCCCAGAACCTCATGACATGTTGAAGTGATTGCCTCTTTGATCCCCTTCCAGTTGCTCTCCACAGTAGTTCCTTCTCCGTTGAGTAGATCATGAAAGGCCTGGAACTTGTTGCTAAGGACTATCTTGAATTTGTTGAGTTTATCAGTATCCTGAAGAAAGGTCGTATTGAACTTTTGTGATATTGTCCGCCCCATTGCCCAGTGCTTCTTGAGTTTCAATTTCATCTTGGCGACCAGCAAGTGATGATCTGATGCTATATCAGCTCCTCTCTTGGTTCTCAAGTCGTCTATAGTCCTCCTGAACGTTTTGTTGATGCAGATATGGTCGATTTGGTTTTGCGTGGTGTGATCCGGTGAAGTCCATGTGATTTTGTGAATGCGCTTATGTGGGAATATAGTTCCGCTTATGACCAGTTTGTTGAAGGCACATAAGTTTGCAAATCACTTGCCGCTCTCGTTTCTTTCTCCCAGTCCTTGTCGTCCCATGATTTCTTAATATCCGGTGTTGTCCATTCCAATCTTGGCATTTAGGCCTCCCATCAGAATGGTCAAGTCATTTGTTGGACACTTTTTGACGATTGGCTGCAGCGTATCGCAAAATTGATCTTTAGCGTCTTCATTGTAGTCGTAGTTAGGCGCATAGCATTGAATGACGTTCATTGAAATGCCCTCTTTCTTTGTTTTGAAGGAGACTTTGATGATCCTTGGTCCATGAGATTCCCATCCTATAAGTGCATTTTGTACTTGTTTGTATAGCATCAGTGCATCTCCTTGTATATGTTGAGCATTTTCTTCTTCATGGCCGGAGCATAACAGAGGATCCCCTGAAGCTATTCGTTGCTGTTTTATCTGCGTCCAATGTGTTTCACTGATTACAAGCATCTCCATATTGTATCTCTTCATTTCTGCAGCAATTTGGAAGACTCTCCCGGTCTCCCAAATTGTACGAGCATTCCATGTATCCAAATTAATGGCTGCTCTGGTTGTCAGAAGGGGTATCAGCCTCGTGAATTCCGAAGGAACTCGGCTTTCAACGTGAGGCGTCATAGCTCTTCTGAATGAAGAACTTGTAACTCACAGGGCAGAGTTTAAATTGCGCCTGGAGCCTCCTGGGGCTACTATCAGTATTAAGCTCGGATTAGGGAGTAAGGTTGGGCATGGGGTTTACGACCCTATCCCGCAGAAATCTCACTCGCTAAAAGAAGGCTAAGTAGAAAAAATCATGGTTTACATTAGCGTAAATAATAATGCCAACTTCATCCTGGTAGGTTTTCAGGTGTAAGGTCGAAATTGAGAGCAAGTATGTAGTTTATCCTCAGTCAAACATCCAGTTTGATTATATTGCAAAAGAACACACCATCAAAATAATTTGTTCTTCACTAATAAATGGATTATTCACCAAATATTTAAACGTTAATATTTTGAACAGAACAAAACTAATCGTTTGCATGTATTTATATGGAAAAATGAATAAAGTGCCACATGTTCATTGTACTATACATGTCCTGCCCAACTTACCTAAGTTAACTTTCTAAAGAGAACCCAAGATCATGAATTAACACGAAGCTGTTTGGTGAAATCTGTTGCAACTTGAAATATCCATATATATGTATATATCATCTATCTATATACACAGCAGGGAATTATTCCTTTGATATCGAACTTGAAAACAGGTTTGTGTATTGTACGTTAACTATAGTAGTATGCTAAAATCAATTTTTAAAATTAAACTAACAGCTTATGTGTTTGCCCTTTCAAACCTATGTCATAGTCTGTGGTAATATTAGAAAGTGAATCATGTTTACTAAAGACCACCATTGATGCACATGACATTGTGTTTTATAAATAGATTGTTAAACTTTCTTTTTTTCATTTTAGATTTATAAAGATTTAAAAAATTTTTTTTAGAGAATTATCATAGAGTTCTTTGTTTATTAACTTGAATTAATTATTAAAATGCTTGATGAAATGTTTTAGGATTTCAATTTGTAAGGGTTATCAACAACCAAGTGAGTGATGAACCAGAAGTATGATTATGACCTCGAACAAGTTATTATAATTTACATCGCGATCTTGGTTAAATGACCTCTGAAAACCAGTATGTACTGAATGGGCACTGCCAAAGAATCCCAATCTACAGTAAATTAGCTCTACAATGCTTTCCGGTTTACAACGGCTACTTACTTTAGGTTAGTCCTTGATTTTAACTATAAAAAGTTCGACAATCTCTACAAACCCTCCGTATAGTGATCATGATTCATCTATTTCAGGCTGACCATATTGAAGAAGATATTTATGCATCTTAGTCAGGTCTAGTGTGAAAAATGGTATGCCATAAGCAGTCACTTCTCAAATGCTTTATGTTGTCATTTGAATCAATGACCTGAAGCACTGAATACAAAAGAAGCACAGTTAACCTCTTGGAGGCACCACATTTAGTCAGTTGATAATCATTCTTTTGATAAAGTAACTCAATACAATTATATTCATTCTTTTTGGTTATTTTTCTTTCTTACTATGTGCTGGCTTCATTTTCATAATCTGTTACGTGATTCACGTATTAATTAATCGCTATCGTCTCATGTCACTTATTATTCCCATAGTTTTATTTGACTCGTAGCCTATTTCAAGTTGTCAAATATTGTCAAATATATATGAGTGGCGTTTGTTGAGAGTATTGAATTTTTCAGCTAATGTCATGGACTAATCTGAATCAGACAACCACTAAATAACAGGAAGCACTAGACCATTGTTACATTCTAATACTGAACTTTCCAGAAGTTCTCATTCACAACTACAACAGTGTCTAAAATGTCAATCATTCGATACCTACTCAGTAGTTTGAAGTTAAAGTGTCTACCATAAGGCTCGAATGTTTTGTGTTCGATCCCCAATAGGGTCATGAATGTGCATTATTAGAGTCCTATACTAGAACAAAACTGCTATTCAGCAAATGCTGGCTTCAAATATTTATTCAAGGTCAATTCCTAATGTAAGTTGGAAAATAAATGAATAATTGTCACCGACGACAGTCACCAACTTTTGCAGAAAATTGACTTACTATGTAAACAAGAAAGTAAATCATGTGAATTAATATTGTACATAACACTCATAAATAATGGTATAACTAGTTAGTATGTATTTTTGTTTCTATATGAATTATGAATCTTGTTTCTTGGTTTGTGGGGTAGTTTATAACATAATTTTATTATGGGTAACATATTATAAAATATATTTTGGCTTAATTATAGATAATTATATTTTCCCGAAATCTTGTAATTAAATCAAAATAATTGATAAAACTAAACGTATTGAAGCATAAAATAATTTATTCAACGATGGGAACTTCTTCGATAAGTTCAATTTCAATGTCGTACCATTTTACGTATATGTAGTAGATTATAGTCGAACAAATAAATATTATGTCTATAAAAATTTGATTAACTGATTGTTGAAATCTGATTACATTATTTTAAATAAAGGAGGAAATTTATAGAACATAAGAAATAGATAATCAATAAGGTAAAATAATGGAACTGTTAGTATCATGAAGTTGAAGTAAATATATGTGGAAGGTATTGAATCTATTAATATTTTTGATTGAATTCTGTAAGTTATTTTTAATAATGAAGCCGAGGTTTAACATTCTGCGCCTACTACATATTGTAGAATCGATTATGTAAATAACGTGTTCAATTTTGCTGAACTACACAAGTCGATATTTCAGAATGCGATGGAAATGTGGCCTTGACGACCAACTTAAGTACCAAGCCTTCCATTAGCAGCTGAGGTGATATACTATTATTTATGGGACGAGATACCAGAATTCAGATGAATTCGGAGGTAGTAGTAGAAGAAGTTCTATTGAAGTTCTAAGTACCGCATGTAATACACTTTGTAATAATTCTTAAAACTAATTATGTCACGGCCTGACATAAATTTGTGAAAATAGCAATATATTCTAGTATCTTAACACTCTGGAATAAACATATTATGATAATATGCTCATAAACTACGTGTATCATTACGCTTGATTCTTGACACATTCTCATTGTACCAATCAAAAGATAAATGTGTGATAAAATCAGTAAATACATCAACGTAAAAAGTGGATTTGAATTTGTTGGAATGACAGCATATACATACATAGCAGTCAAACATGCGGTGTTTTCTGAAATAACATTATTATTTACTTATATTCTACCGACGGGAAACATTGGCTGCAAATGCAAATAAATAGTATAAAGGAAAATGGATATATCGATGGAAGTAGGCAAAATGAAGCGGCATTTGTTTTAATAGACTTTGAACATATACTTCATGTTTATCAACGAATTTTTTTTTCAAAAACGGATACATAAAAAAATATACTCTTGGTTTGATACTAAGAGGCATGCAACTGGCTAAACTAAAATGAGCCGTCACATGATAAATTAATTTTATGCAATAAATTGGTGAGTTAACTTAAGCATTTAATCACTTTAGCTGACACATATCCCTTATTTTCATTGATACTACTCTTGAGGACAGTTTGTGGAAAATATCTCCGTCAGTTTAAGGTGCTCCTTACAAAATGTTTACAATGATACCACTGATTAAAATTCACCACCTTCAGGTATAATTTTATTTTTTTCACTAGCTGATATAAAGGATACATAGTCACGCATTACTTATGTTCTAAAATCACTGAATCAAATTTCTATATGATACTCGGTAATCAAAAATCATTATCTAAGCGGTTAATAATCAATTTGAAGTTACACAGTGTCTCTATACGACGCAATATACACTAGGTTTGAATCTAATTGGTTTACTCATGCCTTCTAGTTCACAGTTCTCACTTTGTGTTAGCTTATGGAGTAAAATATATAAAGAGTATAACTAAATTTAATATATACTGGTAAAGATTATGTTAATGACTCATGAATAATTTTGACACATCCAGGATGGTTTTAGTAGTTAAGTTGATAAGTGATCTTTTTTATGAAGTTTTCAGCATGTGTTATTCATAAACATATCTTTACCGATTGCTGTAGCCATTTCATATGAAACATAAATCAGTCAGAACTCGTTTCAGTTTCTCTTGGTTAGGGCGACTTCTCTATGATACCATGTTGTTAGTGATGCATGGTATATTAAACAAAACTGTATTATAAAAGCCCTTGATCCCTTTTATGGTCGTGGGTGCTTCTTGTTAAGCAGTTTCATTCTATAGTGAAGTGATTATCGAATGAATACTGGTTTTCAGTTGCTTCAATTCAAAGGCTTAATGTATTCCAAAATTTACAAACAAATGGTTAAGAGACCATTGTGTCACCAGCTTTTTATCAACTTTCAATCAACGTGCATATATTTATTTGTGACAAAAAACATAAGAAAACTTGTTAAACACATAAAGTCACTGTATACACCAATGTTTTCACCATTTCGGCGGTATCACAAGAACTTCAGTGTCGCCTAAGGTGTCATACTTGAGAGGTAGAAAGGATATTTTCATAGCTTAGTTCATTTACAATGAGAAAATCACGTTATTCCTTATGAATTGCAAAATTTAAAAAATAACACTTACTTTACTGCTCCCGCATGGTGTTCCCTCAGCCCAAGCCGTTTCCATTGGTAAACATGATCTATGTTCACTATCTTGACAATATAGCTGGCGACAAGCCGGAAGCTAATTATTAAGATAAAAGTTACTATTAGTACGTAGTCAAGTAAATCATAATTTCCGTACATAGATCAAATCTTTACAAGCCAAGGAAAAAAAAATGAAATCGTGTTTCTTCAAAGTCATCAATAGTCAATAACATTTTCAAGGGTTTACAAAAAGTTCAAAATAATGCAAAATGGAATATCGTCTAACAAACTTTTGAAATCACAAATAAAGTCAAATATTTATGTTGACTGTCATTAAAATTCATGGATTATTATTATTTTTTGTTAGTTCACCATATGAAATTTTAGTGATTTATGGTAGTTTTTGTAATTGAATATAATACAGGTGCTCAACTGAAATATCGGCTAGATATATTCGTATTAATTATACCAGCAATCTTGACTAAGTTGCTTTAAACTGTCGCCTTTGTCATAAAGTTTAAAAGATTCCGTTTTTTATTCTGAGTAAAGTAGTAGGTGGACTTTGTCACTGGAGAGTTTTAAAGTAAGACGAAATAGCTCTTCAGAGTCTCCTGGTTGATGAAATGATTTGTCCGGTAGCGTCGGTTCATACGTGACAAACGATCTCAAAGACAATCACTGCATGGTTTGAATCTTTTCAAATGTCGTTGTTGCATAATATTTAGGTTTGGGTTAGAACAGGATGACTCTACAGTGCTTCTTGATTTCTAATATTTTTTCTAGCTAATGATATGAACTATTTTTGTACAAATCATTTTTTTAGTTTTCATCGACAGATAATTCACTCATATAAATATATTGCGAAAGTAATGGTATTCTCACCGAGTAACATTATTCACTGACTGTGCGAATTTCAAGTTTGTGATATGAAGATATTTATTGGGTTTTCATCTGATTGATTTTAATCATTTGACGTTAAAATGGTTCATTCTTAGTTTCAGTTAGCTAAGTATATTGTATCCGCTCAAGCAAACTTAATCTCCATCTATTTTAAAAGTAAATTCATGAATAGGATTTTTTTGGAATTTAAAGACTAGACCTTTTAAGCATCAAGCAGCAATAGGTTTTTAGATTTTTCCGATTGGTTGTTAGTAAGTAGTTACTAAAAGCTCATAATAGATTTCATCAGTGATGTGTTATATTATATACTGAGATGAGCCTGTTCACTCGTTCAGATCATGGGGAGAAGGCACAGGTTTTTTAACCAGTAGGCATCCTAGACTTTTTGAATACTAATAGGATAGTTAGCTAAGATTGTAAACCAGCCTAAATTTTTCACCTCAGTTTTTGAATCCAGTAATTATAATTGTTAAAAATGACACGGCTCAGCTAGCGCACAAATTTATTGTAACGTATTTAAAATTATTCTGGTACCTATTAATTTGTCATGAAATCATATAAGTAACCGACAAATGCAGACCTAATATTGTGAATGAATGTAGAAGATGCATATTACTTACATTAAAATTGATCATCTTATGTTCTTCAAAATAAAACGTAAATACTGTACAAATGTGGAACATTTTTTTACAAGTATTATTTTTCTGTTTACTATGGTATTCAGTTTATGAATATCAGAATATACTACTTATTAATTGTAAGTGTTGTTTATGTTTTCAAGTTATTATCCTTTTCGGTATTTTGTCATAACAGTTCTGAAAAACATTTGACGTTTATATTTTGTAAACTTTTTATAATAATAGTCAAAAAAGGTTTTTGTAGATATTATAGTAATTTAATAGTTGAATTCGCGAATCAATTGAAGCTAGACCACCATGGAAAACCTAGAAGCACTGGACGGCCGTTTTGTCCTGCTCAAGAGTCCTATACTAGGATGAAACGGCCGTCCAATGTTTCCAGGTATTTTATAATTGTTTAAATTTAGCACATGGTTTATTTTCTCAAAAGTATTTTCACATACGTTGAAAACATTGTGATTATTCGGTCTCAGCAGATAAGTAGATAACGTATTGTTGTTTTAAAAGCGAATAATACTGTGTTTCATTGGAGGTGGAAATACCTACAATGGGGTGCATGCATATCCATTTGTGATAAGTCGAAGAAGAACTGATGCTAATCTTAGCCATAATTGCAAAACTGCTGATATCACAGTAGTTAGTTTTATTGAAGAGGTTTTATGGCGTTCAGTTTAAGTTATAGGTAGCACTTGACCTAGATTTATCTTATTTGAGGTGCCCATGAAACCAAGCGGAATTGGATAGGTATTTTGTTCTAGTATAGGATTCGTTAACAATTGGTACTTGTGAACTAAATGCAGATTGAACTTCAGCTCTCTCCCTTCAGTTGTGTAAATTTTGTAGGCTGGCTTCCTACAGTAAAATTTCAAGCCTGGTCAGTAAGCCATATAGCATTGCGAACACACATTATTAATGATGACAACTATTTTATTCCCGACGTTCTTGAATTTCATTCATTACAACCGTGTAGGCGAACTTGGGGAACATCCCAAAGTAAGTCACTACTAATCTAATCTGTTCAAATAATCTACAATTATTAGGGGTCGTGGATGCTTGCTGCTGATGATTTGCATAGTGGGGTGAAACAGTTGCCCTTAGAATTTAATTAAAACCCATATGAAATCAACCTATGACGAATAGTGCCTACAAAGTAAAGTGGCCTTTACAAAAAACCTCTCAAATAAGCTTCAGCAGTTAGCTCACTAAGATATTCTCAGAGTACCAGTGAGATGTTGTTAATGGTGAAGTTCAAACACGTTTAATATATATGAGTTCCAGAGTGAAAATTAACTCTGAGACTCAGGTACATCCAGCTGACGGGTCGCAAATATGACGAAACGCATATCCTGGATTCCACTGTCACCCATCATCCATATCTGCTTATTATACTTGTGACTTAAGGTAATATCGAGGCAGTCCGCATAAGATGCACATACTCCAATAAGAGATTGGTCATTTGCAGACGTAAACATGAATGGGAAGATTCAAACAACCAGTTTAAAAAATATATGAATATATTTGTTATCACAATCCATTTAGTAGATGCTAAATCTAGTTAAAATTATTAGGTAAAACCCTTGACTTGATATTTGAATAACATATGGAATAACGTTGAAATATCTTACCAAGACAAGGTATATAGAAAGCTGGAAATTTTCAAACTAGATACTGTACTGCCAAATTAAGTTCATATTAAGCTTTAAATAGATTATGAATTGCTTTCAGCCTACGATATCATAATTTTATAACAAAACAATTATATAATTGAAATATCACATTTTTAACTTACCATCTGACCACAGAATAGTGTTCCTTTAATTTTTAACACAAATTCACATTGTTGATTAAGTGAGAATATTTGCCCAGGACGATTATCCATAGATTGACTAGCTAACTTTTCAGCTGAATAAAATGTTGTTTCAGAGTTTAAATGTCTTAAACAATTAGCAGCATTTGATCTAATCATTTTAAAATTTAAAAAAATGACAACAGATATTGTTACCAAAAATGAAAAGTAATTGTCATAATTAAAAGGATGCTGAAAGAATTGTAGATTTCGGAGTTATCTTAATGTTTACATTTTTGTTGGATAGCTATTTGGCACTTGAGTTATTACATGCTTACATATTTTCTTCTTTTGGTTTATAAAGTTTTGTTGTAGAATTTCCCTTGTTTGAGTTATTTTTTTAATTGGTTGCAAACGTTTTGCAACGTTTTCATTGTAATTCCCTATTTATATTAATATGTATTATTGTATGAGTTTGAGTTATAAGAAGCTATTAGCAACGAAATAGAGATCTGCTTTCTGTGATTACTTATGAGACTGAAGACTGGGGTATAGAGAAACGAAATCCCCTTGATCCAATAGGTGTTTGATTATCCAATTCATGTCTCATGGGGAATCTTTTTCAGTCAAATTGTGTGAATGTTTACATGATATGATATTCGTCTATAGATTAAACAGATATATACGGAGTGGTGAATACTAATTCTAATTCTGATTGGTGAATCTTACTGAGTAGTATCAATTAAACCAAAATTATAACAGTAATCAAAATGGAAAATCCCAGAAAGAATTAAAAATAATGGTTACAACACATCATATTCAATAAAGAATTGGTTTAAATTATGACTAAACACTAATCTTTAAAAATGGTTTTTGAAACAAAATGAAGCCAAGGAAAGCAGTCAACAATAACTGAGTACTAAAATAAATTCAACGATTATTTTTCCCTTAGACCTATCCTATCAATGATCAACTCACCGTATCATAAAGTTGCACGCTGGTTTGAAGAAAAGTTAGTACTAGTTCGTTGGAGATTAGCAATATATACGTTAAAAGATTCATTCCAGTTTGCTGAAAGACTAAATCGTACGTATGTTACCGATAAGTTCATTGTTTCTTTTGATGTAACACCCTTGTTCACTAATATACCACTTTTTGAAACTATTGATATAATTTGTCAGAATTATGATCTCTTACCTTTACTAGCCGCAGAATTAAAAAAAACTACTATTAATATGCACAAAAGACGTTCATTTCCAGTTTAATAACACCATATATCGTCAAATCGATGGCGTAGCAATGGGAAGTCCACTAGGTCCAATTCTAGCGGACATTTTTATGGCGTATCTTGAAAAGACAGTGCTTAAACAGGCGATTAACGAAACGACAGAATACTCCAGATATGTTGATGACACGTTTATTGTCTGTGACAATAAACAACATGCAATCCTCCTACTAAAACTCTTCAATAATGCTCATCCTAACATACAATTCACTATGAAACACGAACAGAATGACACGTTCCACTTTCTTGATATTGCTATAAAACGCAGGAGAGACGGGACAGTCCAACGTTTGGTTTATCGAAAAAGTACATGGAATGGCCTTTACCTGAATTTCAATAGTTTTTGTCCACTCAGTTACAAGAAGGCATTAGTTAAAACACTATTTTATAGGGTAGAAAAGATATGTACTACTGACAACCTTGAAGAAGTATTGATGAACGTGGAAAAATGCTTACGAGACAACTTTTACCCACAAAAGTTTATTGACAAATATAAAAAGCCTAAAAAAACAATAATGAAGTAATTAAGGTCAGTAAGAAACCAATAACTATAAATCTTAACTCCAAAGGCGATGACGTTGGAAAAACACAATCAATAGGAGACTGAATACTGCACTAGCCAGAACTTATCTGACGGCCAAACTTCTAATTCTGTACAAAACAACATATTCAGTAACTCAATCAGAGGTTGATAAGCATCTTTTTTATGTTACCTCCAATTGCATTTATAAATTTACGTGTACCTGCCAAAGAATCTGGATTGGCCGAACAGAAAGGAGGCCATATCTTAGATTTTTCGAACATGTTCCAACAAGCCTCAGAACAAGACTCCAAGACTCTAAACAGTGCAATCACCAAACATCTCCTTGATACAGGAAATCGGGTCGATACCCTGCAATCATTCAAGGTAATCAGTAAGCAGCCAAACTCCAGTCTTCTGAAGTTTGCTGAAGCCGTTGTTCTCCGACATCAGAAACTGATTTATGTGTTCAAAAGGAGATGGTTATTAATCATTCCTTGTCTTGATGACAAATATTCCTTCATTGCATCTTAAAACCTTTACTTAACACTATCTTGCATTTATTACGTCATTGTGCTTTAATTTCGATTGTCTTCCACATTAGTAATCTAATTTTATTCGCTGAGCTTTACCAATTTTATTCTTATCAGCGTTTACTCATTATGTAATCACTTGTTTTTGGCCGTTTGAACTGTTGTCACAATCAATGTTGCAGAATGTTCTTTTACATAAGGTATATATTTACAATATTCAGTCTATTAAATTTATTTACACCCTTGATGTACTATACGAATATGTCATCATTATAACTTCCAACCAACCCCTCTCATGTAAGTAATTTAAACCATTTATGTAATTGTGATTTTAAATATTAAAGGTTGTAAGCAGCTGACGAGAACCAATGAAATAAAATGAATTCACGCTAGAATGTTTGTTCTTGCTCTTTTCAAAATGATAAAGGGAACTATGTGTATGAGATTATTTTTTAATCGATTGATAAGCCTTTTCTTTTTAGAATATTTCAGTAATATCATCAAAATAGGTAAAATTATATAATTTTCATTTTAGAAATTATAAGACCGTTTTGATAATGCACACTATCATATATTGATGAGCTTCTTGTATAAGTAATGATTATTAATCAACCTTATCTATCGTACTAGTGCTTGTACAATACTAACTACATTAAACAGTTTTGAAATTATTAAATAAATTTACTTAATTTACATCTGATTGTTCACATGTGATTCACACGAAAGATATGTGACATTGTTTATTCTAATGAAACAGATATTTTCTTTCACAAAAAGGATGAACAAATCACAAAACACATAAATAAAGTTTAGAAACCACTGTAACACGATTATTAAATACAAATGTGTAGGAAAGAAAAAGATTTTATAAAAGTGATTAGTTGTAGATACTTTACATTAATTATGGGAATATGGTAATAAGATCATTTCATCAGTATTAACAAGCTAAATCTGAGTTCTGCTTTACAGTTTCTAAAATCGAAATATAACATTGGAAACGGTAACTTGAAAAAAATAATCATCTTCGTTTCGGTCTCATGGGTTAAATGTAAATGTAAGTAGGGATTTTTAATTTTCAGTTGGTTATATTTAAGACTACAACTACTCCTCATCTGTTGTCATATGGATCGTCTCGAAACAAAATAGATTGATTAATTTTAGTCTTGAGTATTACGAACGGGAAATTACATGCTGCTAGTAGTACCTTCGTACTTGTTGACTAAATTATGGATATTTAGTATCAATAGCTAAGTGGTAAGCGCATCTCAGAGTGAAAATCAAAAGTGAGATAAAGGCCAGAGCAACAGATGAGTTCCATAAAAGAAAAAATCTGACTTCTCGGATTTCACTGCTAACTACATACCAAATATATTTAATATAATTACCTGCCTGTGAATTTCACTTGCTGGTTATATTATCCTGTTTAACATTTTGATTGATTTTCTTCGAATTACTCTCAGTTTGTTATTTGAAAAAAAGAATCACTCGAGTAAATATTCATTTGTATAATTATTTTGACCAATATAGTATGTCTAAAGTGTAAGTGTGCTCAGTTAATATTTCATTCTAATTATTCGTGTGTGTTACAATTGGGGATATATTTATTCTCATATGATTAATAATCATAGTCACATTGTCAAAGCTAATTCACTATGGCATGATAGTGTTTATTTGACAATATTGGTCGTCTGAATTACATTTTCAGTCTATTGCTTCCGCAAACTTTAGAATCCTATTTTTATCTTACCTTAACTGTTATTGGGATCGTTCAGCTTTTATACAAAATGTTTTATTGCACAACTCTAATTATTGTAAGTGCCTAAACACTTTATCGATCGTTGAAATGTGTAATTTACCATCAGACAATGACAAGTTATATCATGGTTTTATCATAATGATCTTCTAAAACAATGTAATAAATATATGATATAACATCCAAAATCACTGAATCTGGAGTGTAAGTTTCATAAACTATTTAAAATGTTGTATATATAAATCAGATTTCGATAAATCAGATTCAATACGATAACGTATTAAGTTTGAAGTTTTAGTGTTGAGTTTAAAAAGGAGAAAAGTACTTACTCGTGATTTTGGAAGAGAACACGTTTCATCATAAATAGATATGTTAATTAAATTTTTATAAAAGCGAACAAAATTCGGAGATACGTTAGGTTGTATCAGATAATAATTAAATATATTGTATGATGGCCTTTATCCAAGAGTAGATGTTCAAGACATTTAATTCAATTTACACAAAAAATGAAAACAACAAAAATGTAGATAAATATTAAAATGAAAGAATTTTCAAAAAATCCATTTGTAACTCACTCTATAAATAAGTGTATAGCTTGTCGACTACATGCAGACCATCTTAAAGGAAATTGATCAAAGTATAATGTACCAGACATGATGGTATCTCGTCGAACAAATTCGTATTGATGAACATCTGAATTACGATAGTCTTCTCTGTAGTTCCATTCATCACCAGATTGATAATAAGGATATGTACCTAATTTTAAATCGTGAGCGCTGCTTCTTGTTTGAGGATCAACCATATGATGATTCTGTTCTTCCAGTCCACAACTAGAGTTTAATTCAAAATCATGTTTGGCTCCAAGCCTAGAAAATCGTGTATAAATATGACGATTGAAATATTCACTATCATTCCATTATTTAATTCAAGAAGTTAATAAATCTTTGAAGGGTTTATTCAGCTAGATCCGAAAATGATACAACCTACTTTATTTTATTAATTTATTACACACAAACATATTTTTGAAAAGATACACAAGAATTAATTTTTTTTGTATGTATTCAGGCCTTCAAATGATCAGTCTCGATTGGTATATGTGTATCCTGAATAGTTTGTCTCAATGCTGCAATCTGATCATTTGTAAAGTGTTAGTCGGTAAAGCAACAACAACAGTGTGATGTAAGCATATTCGACTACCGACCGTCAATTGGTACTAAATGAGCTTGTTGCAGTCTATCGCTAGCAGCAATCCAACGTTGCAATCAAGAATGTCTCAAGCAATCACTTTTTCTATGCTTCAGAATTAAGATCGACCTGACAAGCTTTTGTCGATTTATTGGATTGTAATGGTCGAAATTGAGAGCTATTGAAAAGGATCTGTCCATCGTAGTTAGATAGCCTAATGAATGAAGCATAGGAGTTTAAACTTGCGTCACTTTCCATCCATTTGTATGGATTTATTAAAATTACATTAATTATTTTCTGAATAGCCTTTTTATTGATAAACTTTAAATACAAATAAGTTTTATTATCATCAGAAAATGTTTTGATGCATTTGTTCAAACGGCTATTAAATTCAGTGCTGATAGGTTATTTTTTGTCACGTTTATTATTACTGAAAATTTTAAGTTTCTTATAAAGTAATAATGATATCTTTGGCTAGTAGGTTTATTTAACAGTGTTTCATTTAGTTTGATGAATGAGTCAATTAGCAGCTTGATATATATAACGTCTGATAAATTCAGAAAACTTGTTGTTTTAAATGTTATATTACTAGTAGTGAAACGCATTTATACCTAATTTATATCAATGTACTCTAAGTATATTCTAGCTGTAATAATGAATAGTAAACCGTATTTTAGAAAAGATGTGATGTGGCATGCAGTGAAGTTTAGGACGCGCGTTTCATCCTGCTTGGAACTCGTCAGCTGGATGCATGTGGATTTCGGGATTGATGTTCACTCCGGAAAACGAGTTCTGTACCGTGAGCTTTAATCTCAGCGGCTTATTCACTTAACCACTGAGTTTAGTTAATCACTCGTTTGTGTGACGTGTGTGAGTTTTAGTTCATTTTGAAATGGACTGGATTTTTCGGTTGACCGAAGGTTGGTGCTAAGTAAGATTGATCAACTTTCAGACACAAATATCACTAACGTGATAATACAATCCATTTTAAATCAAACTAAATATACATTGACCCAGCTAATGGCTTGGATTTCTGTGTGCGCATGTATTATCACTTACGAATTTATTCCTATTTAAACCTGTGATTATCCAGTCATTATCACGTTAAACTAAAGCTGTATATTCCTTATAATCCTTGACTTACTGCATTATTGATTGCGTTAAACAGTTATAAGTGATTTAGATCAATGATCAGATTTACTCGCATAAATTTGATTGATTTTAATCTGAATGTAAAAAGCTGTTGTTCCAGTTATGCTCTTCAATTCTATTCAGCCTTTCGCTTTTGGCTGTTTAAGAACCGTCCTGTGAATTCCCTGACCGATGAAAATATCACTGAAAATTGTCAACACCTCACTCATTTTGGTAGTTGAAATACAGCGATTGTTAGTCTTCTTTAAAATACTTTAATTTGTATTTTCATCTCAAAGCTTTAACACTTTACTTCGTTTAGTTTACATAAAGCGAAATTTCGTCAATGGATTATATGAATGATTTTGGTTAGAGTATGACCAGTGCTTGAGATTATAATGATAAATGTTATGATCTTTTTCAATCTGTCTTTACAATTTTTTTAGCCAAAGTAGCTTACTTACGCCTGTTACTCCTATTTGAGGAGCATAGGCTGCCCACCAGCCAATGGATGTTGAGTATGTTGGGTAGACAACTATTTTTAAATACTTGTACCTTCATGATGATGGTTGTAGCAGTTCTTCACGTTTCAGCTCCATACAGTTGGACTGTCTCGACATTCGTATTGAAGATTTTCCCAAAGTAGCTCTAGATTGGTAAACCCTAGTTAAACTTGATATTTATTGCAATCGATTATCTGAGTTTATTTCCGAGTAGCTAGCATCAGTTTTCGATAAATATCAGTAGTAAAACTGATAAAGGTATTCGAAATGGAGTTTGGTCAGCACAGAGGTCTCTTAAAATATTAATAAGAGTAATGCAGTAAACAGTTCCTTCCGAAAGCTAAATACAGTTTTAATAACTATCCGAACATAACTAGTAAATACATTTAAAAGCGTAAGAGAGTGATATATTTCCCTATGAATGTGTGGAAAATATTATCTAAAAGATTAAGAGGGATAGACTTAATATGTCAATTATGTAGTTTGTAATTTTTCATCTGTTGTGACATAGTAACCCATAACATTTGTGCATAATTCCTTAACTAGTCTCTAATTATGTAGTTCATTGTAGATTTGGATGAATGAGTGGTACGGTAGATATGTAGATGTATTTAAGATTAAGGTCACAAAAAGTTAACCTTTCGAAAATAGTTTGGCAAGCAATAGACAATTTTTTAGTATTCGTCGCAGTTATTCTAATAATCTGACTATAATTTCATAACTTGTGTTGTTGAGATCAATCACTCATGCAGAGGTCTTAATTATCATATTTTTCAGCATCTATATCGGCCACTTTGTCTTTCAAAAGTACACGACAGGAGCTATTTTTCATCCTAAATACCCCAAATTATTTCTCTCTTATCTATCCAAGACACAACTGTTTTCTTATAAAATGTTTTAATGGGTGTCAAATTATCACTACATAATATAGTAATAATGACAATATTTTAACTTACTGATGTCCCAGTTCGTGTGCTATTATATATCCTGTTCCAAATCCGCGATCAAGAACAGCTAAACATGAACTTTCTGGGTTACACATTGATCGATAGTGTGCGACTCCTGCATCAATATGTGTGAAGTAATAACGATCAAAATTAAAAACGAAAACCGTACACATTTTTAGGTAATTTGTTGAAAGCAGAAAAATGTTTTAAGTATGGTAAACATACATTTAATGATAGAAGATATTCAACAGGAACTCCTTATATGTAAGTATGCACGTTTAAAGATGTGCACATAAACTGCTATTTTAATGCAACAGTAAATACTTTTAAAAAGTGGTGGAATGGATTTTATTGAGGATTTGTTTAGAGAGCTGGTATAAGTTATTTTCGAACTCAAACAGAATTTCATCATTAGTTAGGAATTCAAAATTGATTGATCACTGAACTGTGACCATTGTTAAGTTTGTCTTGTTCTTTAATGCTGAGTGGATTCTATGGATAACGTTGCTATGTAGCCACTAGTCTAAGTGACTCAGGATCATGTGCACTATGCTGAGATACTGGGTGGTTAAAGGTAACCTAGAGAAAACGCTTAACCTAGTTTTCATGTTAGTTATCGCAGAGTGTACCTAAAATGTCGAGGGAATTCATATTCACTGAAAAGTTCGAACCTGAATCACTCTATTTAACAGACAGAAGCATTATCCATGAGGTATTGGAAGTGTAATTGATCCTTAATAGGAAATTACAGTATAGCTTTGATTGATTTTGCTATGAAAATCGGAACTGTTTATGACAATATTAAGGCTGATAAAATTGACAGTTATTTGTATAGACATTCTTTTGAGTATTTCAAATGTCGCAACTATCCCACGCCTTTCTGATCAATCTCGATCTTTTGTCACATTTCATAGAGCATTTTTCCACGAGCTGATGTCGTTCAAAAATTTTCTTTCAGTGTTAAAAAGTAAATTTAACTGCTACTTTGTTCTGACTTAAGAGGTTCTATAGACAAAAATTATCAAACTTCTAAAAACTCGAATTAAAAGCCTTTTGAATTTAATGTCGGAAAAGTTATCAACAAGTTGCTGAAAATCAGATCATAATAGATTGGATAACCATTTGTCATTAAAAAATTCATGCACAGCTCAACTTACCGAGCGCTGTAGATTTGAAATGTCTAAAATAGAAATTGTAGATTGTTTAGTAAAATTATTTTCGTGTACTAGAGGTAATGGAGGGGTTTTTAGAAAATACGTCTGACATATTTTCTGTCCAACAAGAACAATAATATGCTTCACCCAAGTAAATATTATCGATTGTACTGCGGATTGTGGTCAGCAAATCATTACTATGTAACTGCTAAAATACGTTACCTAAGATACATATTTTATATTCATATGATATTTGGGCTTTATCACCAATTTTTGGATGGTTTATGGAGATTCATACCACTTAAAAATAATTTACGTTACTAAATAACGTCCTCTGAAAACTGAAGGACAAAAACTACAGTGAGGATCGGCTATCCGATATGGTATTAAATTCAAGACAATCGGGCATCTCGGCAGGCAATCTAACTGAATGAGTGATTTGATTTGGTGAGATAATGATTAAGCATCACCTGAGACATAGTCATCACTCTTGTCATCGTTAAAAACCACAATTCACGATAGGTTTTTCGAGCAATATTAAATGATCCTTGTGTTATATGATGATTAGCATAAATCCTAAACTTTGGTAGTTTATTATTACATACATGGTCTGAATAGTAACATTTTCAAGAAAATTTATTTTCAAAACCGAAGTTGTTACGCTAAATACTGTAGTTGTCATTGATTTTCGAAGAAAGAAAATCAAACTTTGGATCAGCATTATAAACCATAAATATAAGCAAAGGTATTCATCATCAATTTGGAATATTCTTCTTCTTGCTGACAGCTAATTAATTAGGTTTGCGTTCAACTATGACACTAAATTTTGTAACATAACTGAAAATAAAATATAACCAATTACAGCGAGTTAATCTAATAATTTTAGTTAGTCAATGAGCTTTGTAATGATTATTTCTCAATTTCACTTTATTTATAATCGGAGAAAAAGAAGTAGGTAAAGACTGTCCTCTATGTAGATTTATAAACTTTAAATCATCATACACATTTTATAGAGCTTGAGATTAGCGCAGCAGACTGCAGTAGATTGCTTTTCCATGAAGATATAAGAAAAGAGAAGTCAGAAACGTGAGCAGGTATTATTCCACCATCTGAAATTAAGATTGATTGACTATTAATTTCTTTCCAAACTATGTCTAAAAAACATTCTAGTTATATATTCTAGTTATATATACAAAGGACTTGGTGCCAATGCGGTGTAAGAAATGTTGATGTATATAGGTTAACTTGACCATTAGACTAATGGATAAGTCCTTAGAGAGGTTTTGAATAGCAATATTTTATACTCAAAATTGAAACTGTCACTGAGATGAAGAAATCATGAGTATCTAATTGTTTGCAAATAAACGTTATTCAGAATAATGTGATAAAAGCATATCGTAAATATTCATCGTAGCCATTCATTAGTGATACATTGCAATAATGTCGTTTATTGTATTAAAATATCATAAAACTTATCATCGTGGCATTACTGTCTAAATTAGTATGAAGTGATAGCGTGTATTCATGTTCTTAACAACATTTGCGAAAAAAATAACTAATTTTCCAAAACCTCACCCAACATTCAATAAAATCGCTGAATCCCAAGTGTACGTCGGCGTTCTTAGTCGATTAACCCATTTGCAAAATCTGGCCATAACTTGTTCTTGTTTGCTGTTTAACCAGTCCTCAAGATTATGTCTGCGCTAAAAAAAAATAATAATAAATTGGGCGGAGCGATAAACTACTAGCAAAATTAATAGCAAGAAATAATATTAAGTAACAAGTTGTACTTTGAGAGACTTTCATTCATAAGAACTGATCAGCCAAAAGTTGACTGCATTATGATGTTGACTGGTATTGGGTTATCTATTAATTTTGAAGTGAATACGACTTTAAATGTGCACGAATCAGACAATTTGGATTAGTAAATGGGGTAATATATCGTTCTATGTGAAAAAATGTATTTTTGCCATAAAAAACGTATCTCTAAATAAGAAAAATAAGCACTCTAACCAAGTAATAAGCGTCTGTCCATTAATGAATTAACCCAAGATCCAATGAAATAAATTACTGTTGGATGTTACGGCCTACAGTTTTAACCACTTTAGCAATAACACGGTGTCACTTGGCAAACATTGAATGCAATCGTATTTGGAATTGAAAATATTCATGATGAGTTCCAACTGTTTATTTCATGGATGTAATTCGAAAATTTAGAATCCTAGACTGCAAGACAGTACTTCAAAGCTTTTTAACTATTTACTCACCAATGCCATTTTGCAATGAAAGTTCACTTTGGGTTATAAAAAAAATTGACAAACCACTGCTTACAGTTCTATTAACAAGGTCAAAATATTGTAATTATTCAGAACTACCTTCTTGAATAATGACATTGAGAAACAATCTGATACCAGACGGGATTATAACTACTAACAGAGTTCGTTTAAAGATTTTCATTTTTTTAAAAGATTTACATGAGCAGTATGTTTAGAAGACTTTTCTGACTACTGCATCCTTTGAAATAATATAAAACCATATGAAACTTGATATGTCTGTGTCATTTCAGTAACAAACGGAAAGTGTTAAAAAAGTAAATACTGAATGTAAAAGTCTCAAGTAAGTCCTCAGACAGTGACACTAGTTTGTAGCTTAGTAGGATGACTTATGTGGTATTAAGTTCATTTAGATAGATGATCTGACTGAAAAGCCTTCATTGTGTTTCTAGACAATATCGCCAAACCCAACTCATGTCAGACGTTTATACTGAACTCAGTGAAATATTCATGATTATATCATCCGGCTCAGCGAATGTCACGTTACTAAAAATCTATAACGAACCCAAATAAATCAAATCGAGGACGAATCTTGATGGTTTTGCCATGAGCTACTAATCATTACCATTGTCTTGAGCGATAAATTCTATATGCCAATAGTTCTATTAATTCGTAAAAATATGTTGGACTTACTGCGTAAACAGGATCCAAAAGTATAATATCCACAACATTTAGCTGTATTGAATTTTTCAAACTTGGATGCCGAAGAAGTGTTGAAACCTAAATAGGAAAGAACAGAAGTCTTAATAAATTTTGTAATATTTAACCTGATTCCATCTAAAAGTTAAAATATATAGCTTTTCATGATATTTTTTGGCAAAGAGGGTAACTACTTGAATTCTATCGAACATTCGATGCTACCATGGAATAATGGTGAAAGGTTTATAGCTTTGTAATGTGACTGGAAACTACTAATCAAATTTTCGTCTTTAAGTCGTTGTGATCTACATCAGGTTGATTTCAAACATAAGAATTTATTTCCTTGGAAAATATGTTGGATACATTATTGCAATATCCATATTTTATATATTCCTATTAGATGACCAGCTGAATAATTAAGGCGTACGAAATATAATTAATTTGTGGCTGTATTACTAGGCTGTTTGTTTTTAACTAAACATCGATAGGTTTGATCAAATTAACCCATCTTTATAAAATGAACCGATAAAAATATTGATAAATAGAAATTTTAACATGATTTGGATTAGTTTACTTCTCTTTAAACCTTTGGTACTTAAGGAATTTAAAAAGTAAGTCAAGTCTGCTATTTTGCTAGGGTCGAGATGACGATTGAGTAGTATTCCAAAATATTTTCCAATATATTCTTATGGTCCAAAGATAGTTTAGAATAAAACAGTAACTCACTGAGAAGACTGAAAGTGGATTGTGATGTACACAAATCAACTATAATTATAGAAATGATACCACAAAGGTTCCAAACTGGATAACTGATGCAGGGTTATCGTTGACAATCCATCAACAAATTCTGATGTAGAATAAAACAGCTGTCAACTTCTTTCGGGTTTTTACCGGCTATTGTCATTTTATGATGAAAATTACCATCAAATTACAACAGAAGGACGATATTCTTTATGGAAAATAGTTATGTTTCATTTAAATGAATCATGTTAAAGAATTATATAGTTTTTGTTTTTGCGATGCAGATCAAACACTAAAGATCACCAACTTGCATCAATAAAATTAATATTGAAACTATTTTACAATACAATCTTCATTGTTAATGATAGAAGTGAATAATATTTGTAAGTAACTCTAATTACTGACTATTCTAGCAGCCTACAATGGTGTAAATTGATTTTTAAGTACTTCTGAGGACGGATTTAAAGGTAATTACAGAAATTTAGACGTTAATAAATCACCATACTGTATGAATAAAAACTTGAGAATAGGACTGTAGTTTATTTACACAGTGTTCGTTTATATTACGGTTTAAATTAAAAAAGACTTTATTTAGACAACCACCGTAGTCCAGGAAGCAATAAACAGACATTTTATTCCAGTACGAAACGTTTTTCAGTAATGTGTATCTATGATCCAACAAATAATTTTACCCAAAACCACCTGATCTAAGGGCGATTCCAACACCATGACAAAAATAGCTGTCTGGTATTTCCTGTTTCTTAACAACTGTCAAACTATAGTTAGTCAGTGATGTAAAATATAAAATTCAATGCACTTACCAAAACCATTCACGTCACCAAGACCATATTACCTAACTTCAAACAAAACTAACACTTTGTCCAACTCAAAGTAAATGAAATAAAATTCAAATCCCTAACTCTTTAATTTAGTAATAGAGAATTTTTAAACAAAATCACTGTACTTATTATTGTTTGTTTAAGTTTTATCAAATCGATTTTGATTCGTATGAAAAAGATATTTCATGGTTGGTTTTACTGATTTCCGTTTTCACAGTCTTGATCTTTCATTAATGTTTAACCTAAATACATGGATTTTTAATTAAAGATAATGAAATATTCATCAACTGTCATGAAATAAGATCAAATAGCTTGTTTATATATTTTCTTCTTGATATATAATATCTATTTCGCATATACTGAAATGCGCAGGTTTTAAGTGTCAACATATATATATATATATTTACATAAAATACACGCATACTGATTTACGTTTGCCCAAGTGTACGATAATGAAAGTATGTACGTAATGAGCGTATATATGTTGTTGCAAGTAGACATACGTGCTGTGCAGATGAATGTATGCAATAAACATAGACTTGTGTATGTGAAAATTATTTGCTTCACTATCATTGTCCTGGAAAAATAAAAATGATAATTGTACGATTTAATACTTGAACTAGTCAGAATAAACTGTGACGTTGAAAGTGTGCATACATTCAAGATCAGAGAATTTATGTTGTCAGAGCTCTTTGTAACATTTAGATATACATTAACTGCTTTACGTTACAGATCAAAGTATCTATATACGTGATTAGCTTCCAATTTATTTGTTAATGAGTATAATATCACTGTTCCAACATGGCGTACTGGTAATAATAATAATAGTACTATTAATGAAGATGGTGATCAGTGTTTAAGCTTACTACTTCGAAAAAGTTTTTTCTAAATCTTGGTCTAAATAAACTGTGGTCAGGGTTATGGATTTATAGTTAAGATGAGGGTAAGGGTTTACAGTTAAAATTGAAAGTCTATAGACAATGAGTGAGGTTGGGGATTTTAGGCTAGAGTCAGTAGTTTAGGCTTGGAAACCCTATGTTCAGATCGCAGCAGAGGATTTACTGCTAGGACTTAGAGTTAGGCACGTTCTGCGAAGAATGTTTTGTTTACTTGATGGACTTAACATCGTTTTGACTGTAAGATGAAAAAAAGATTTTTTTCTTTACCATTTGTAACATTCTGAGCGCTGTATAAGCGTGTTTCGTTTGGGCATTTGACGTGATAAGATTTCTAAGTTATTTCTGTCAAGTTCCTACAAAAACCTGTCTTTCTTATTGTTTTTGACGTTTACCATTTTTTAGATATTAATTATTACTGCAATAACGTATACTTGTCACAGAAGAACGCTGCGGTTCTTGAGACACAAAAGAATACTGAATTGATTATGGAATCACATTTAATTCACCTTTCAACAACAAAACGACTTATTAATTAAATGCATTCTTTTCTAATATAGATCTTACTGATGTTTGACAATTCGTCAATAAAAAGTACTGAACAATCAATACTTTGAATTAGAAAAAGAATAACTGCTTTCCGAGAACCACATGGATTTAATATCTTAATCAAAAAGAATAGAAAAATGATAAGTAGAATGCCCTGTGAAAAGAATCGCAGTTTCAAATGATTGAAATGTTCTATTTGTTTTCTATTTTGTTTTAAAACGCATGATCTTTCAACTGGTTACCACAAACATATTACTACTATTAGGTTTACATTTGAAAAGAAAATGACATTGAATAACTCATTAAAGAGATTCTAAGTTTTTATTGTACTGAATATGACTCAAACTTTTTTCGTCCCTCTGACAATAAGATTGAACGTTTAACTCTAGAATAAAATTACCTCATACACTAATGTGAAAGATTTACCACAAAATCTGAGGAAACGAAAATGAAAAATTGTCTGATATTAAGGACTAGTACCAAATAAAAAAGTGTGTTTGCAAGGTTTTCCGATCAATAAATATTGAGTACAATCACTAAACAACAAGAGATCTCAAATAGTTTAGAATAGTGACTTTATTGCAGTTTGATCAGTACTAAAATCTTGACAAGCATGACGTTGGTTTCTACTTAATAACTAATCGGCGTTAAAAGAATATCATTCCTACACTATGTCAGTCTTCTAACTTGAATAGCTGAGTGATGAAATTTGACTGTGATAGTGAGTAAAACAGGTTCTATACTGACATAGGCCAATGATTGTTGAGGAACTACGATTGCAGCTTGATAGTGACTATCAGCTGGCATGAAATCTAGATCCAATGGTTTATCTCGATTGAATATAACTATGATTTCAGTGGTTACCCAGGAAATGTTGATTTGTGATGTGTAAAGCAGAGAATTCAAAAATATATATAAACTCTCTTTTTACTAACATAAACATTACTTATTTACTAACAAACAATCTGTTAGAGCATAATGGGTATTTGAGGAAGACGAAATATTTTATGGTGAAATATTTTACGTCAACTTTATCGTATAGATATTACATATATGGCCTATTGGTTTTTATACTGTTCTATTTAAAAGCCTTTACTCGACTTGTTAATTGTCACATTCCAGAATTACTGTCAAATATTTATCTACTTATTGCTCCATTTTATACTAGCTACGACTTAAGTGTGTGTATTATGACTTCTTATTGATGTGTTGTAATCACTTAATTATTGTAAATAATTTTATGTGTTTATGGTTATCATAACAGAAATTTTATTGACCTGATGTGTTTGTGATCCGACTCTGGTTATTGAGGTTTGATAAATCAGTGTTTTAAACAAATAGGTATAGTGATTTTTGACATCGTTGCTCATTTGTTTTTAGTTAAGTCATTTTATTGGCCATAGTGAAGGTCACTGGTCTGACGAAGGTTGGGCGAACTTGTGCTTAGTTGAGTATATCTGATGATTTGCCTAAAGGACATATAAGAGGATCAATACAATCGTAGATAAATTCTTCTAGAAAACAAACAATATCATTATGCAATCTTACCGTTGTCATAGTAGAAAGAAGATATTCATTAATTAATGGACCAAATTGTTGTTTCATACTTTCAGTAACAACTACAAGTAACTCGACTGTATGTGGTTCAACATATTGAAAACTTAATATTGGATTATTATTTTGTTGACTGCCTTTCTTCGTTTCATTATTTACTGATAATTCATTTTTTAATGAGTGTGGAACATGATGAATCGACGTGGCCGACCTGTAGATTGTTGTTGGTGATGATACGTTTAACGACGATGATGGACGATCTATAACGAAAATACTTTTTTGATCCACACGAACTGACTGACTATGTCCATATACATTCATTGTGTAATTTGAGATATTGTTATAATTACTAGCAGTACGATTTCTAATCGTTTGCTTACAGTTAGTTTTCTGTAATCTGGTATGTTTATCATGATTGTCTCTGAATTGTTTCAGTTGATGTTTACTAAGATGTGATATGAGCATCATATGACTCTCAGTGTCAACGCGTTCCTCTGGATGATATGCTATATACAGAATATAGATAAAATCTGCGTAAAAAATCAAATCGCTTCAATGATAGTTTTGTAAAATATCACGCATAATGATTTAATAGAAATGTTTAGAATCTATAGCACTGTTCATGGTGTATCAATACATTCATTATACTTGGTACCAATATACACTGAAACAAACATTGGTTTAGAAGACCCATGTTTAAAAACTGCTTATATATATATATATATACGTAGGTTTATTATTGTAAATTGAACTTGGATCAATCTCTTTCGGTATACGTACATAGTGAACGAGTTGTTTCTACATTGCCTTCAATTACGAGTCTTAGGGAAGTTTAATTATGAATAGTAATTGCGTTTGGGACATACATTTTATCCTATTTTGGATTCACTAGCTCTACATACCTGCATCCCTGTGTTGATGTTTCCACTGGGGCTCATTAACAGTACTTTCCACATCTGAGTACCAATATGTTATCAACTGGTCTGTTGAGTCTAGAAAGCCACAAGCATATAAAACGGGTAGAATTTTATACGAAGGGGTTTTAAGTTTTCCAGTTTATGATAAAACTTATGTTAGTTGTTGAAACAGAGTATTTTCTACATGAATAATTATTAGAATATTGGTTGATTTAACTGATATTTTTTTATGTGAATTGTCTCCGGATGCATGCACTATGGAAGTAAGCTTACAACGGTGAGAAAAAAAATGTCAGTAAAATTAGTTAAAACATACTTAATTGTTACAAACTGAGCATTTTCGGTCAGAAAATATGATGTAGTAATTTTCTTTACCTTAGATGACTAAGAAACATGATTGTCAGACAATGTACAAATCAACAGACATTTTTTTTTCAAAAAAGAGTTAGCAGTAATTTAACTTTTCCAAATTAAAATGACAAAGATCCAGGGGAACATTCTTCTTCTTTGAAACTAGATTTTAGTATCCAGGGGCATTATAATTGTTATTACTTATTAACTGTAATAGTTTTTAAAGTTGAAAATGTGTACTTGAAATAATAATACTTGATGATTATTTCATCATAACACATTCTTGCAAACAGCAAGTTTGCCCATGAAAATAAAAAAAATTAAAATAAACTGATTTGTTTTTCAGTGTAATTATATTATTAACTTACATGAATAGGAAGTATAAAATGAATTCATTTGATTAAAATTTTTATTATGAATATGCGGAGTATGTTGTTCTTGATTACTTTCTATAGAAACATTTATAGATTTGTCAGGAGACTAGAAATTAAAAATTAATAAAATAAGAAACATATTATGAGTTGTCTGAGAAAAAAATACAAATTAATTATTATTTGCGTAAATTTATGTTATTTGATTTATTAACTAAATATCCTGATTAGTCGCTGCCTGAATAGCTAAATAATAATTGTCAGGCTGTTTAGCAGTGGATCGAACCTGTAAGAGAATATCACTTTCCTTAAGATTATAAGTGTAAACTGGTAAAACGTTTGAGGTAACCAGGATTTCCTACCAGCTGTTTCCAGCTGCTTAACATCTTAAAACAACTCATGTTTTCTGGAGTCATTATGATTGGTGAATAGATTACAACTAGGTTAATAGAATTCGGTTATAAGGACTCAATAAATGTGACGTTAATCATTAGTTGATCATTCAGATGAGCAACGTTTTTCACAAATTATCCATCCAATATTATATTCATTAGAGACTTACTTCGGGATGGATTACTGGTGTTTTAGTGAAAAGCTTCGGTCTGTGAATTTTAACTATGTATGTGATGTGACATTGACTAATTATGGGAATAGATTGGTATAATGTTGTTTCCTAGATACAGTTAGGTTGGAAATACCATTGGAGGTTTACTTACTTTGAAACTTAGCAAGTACCCATTATTGCAAACTCTCGAGCTAGGATAAAAGTGTCTCTGATGTTAAATTAACGTTACACTGTTATAAATGTTATCTTTAAAAACATTTATTAATGGGATTTTTGATATATATAGTCAAATATGATGCAAAGCATTCCGTAGATCATCAAAAGAAACAGCAGCAGGTAAATCAGGCATTGTGAGCTGAAAAAGACAATTCTATACGTGGTGAAGACATATCTTCCTTACAGTGAGTAAAACGATGTTATTTATAGACAGTTTTCGGGATACAGGTATTGCAATATGTTTGTCAAAGTACAGTTGATTAAAAAAGTTTAACGTCTCACTTCGGTTTCAGGTTTAGGAATTTCAAGCATCTTTTTGTGTACTGAACCGTATAACGAATCAATTTAGCTTGGAAAGATTCAGAAAAAAAAACATCATCAACTAGTATCTTTATATGCAATTATTTTGTCTGCAAACCTCTTACAAAAGGTACAGCTTTCCGTCGGGCGTTTACCCGATGTAGCACAAAAATAGACTTTGTATATGAAAGAAATTTACGGTGAAATTGATCTCATGAACATAGGTTTTCATTATTTCCTACGTAATTTCAAGTAAAAATTAACCACCTATATTTTATCAAAGAACTTCAAAAGAAACAACTTCACCGAAGTTATGGTCATATCAGTACATTACCAGTCGTCTATTTAGAAATTGATAAGTAGGTACAAATATAATCGAACAAAATTTACTTAAGAGATAGTTCACTATAACTTTACTGACTTAAGAGTACATGTATAATGAATCTCTGTTAAAAAGACGTTCTACTAGATAATCAGAACGTTATGGACAAGGATGGAAGTGTATTTCCGAAAGTAGTTTGCTATTGGTTTCTAAACATACAAAATGTCATATGAGTTACTTCTCATCGGCCAAGTTTCGAACGAGAATCAAGAAAAGAATAAAAAAGATAATAGAACTACCACAATTACTTACAATCTATAGCTGTTCAGTTTTTTTAGATTATGGGTTTACCAAGGTAAATGTTTGGTATAGAGACAAGCTCATTAGTCTCGAAATGGTGATTTCGAAGCAGCATATGTGAACTAGTAATGCGTAATTTTGATGAACACTTATAAGCTATAAGCTACTTCATTCAAAGGTATATAATGGGACGGTGAATAATAAATGAATATGGATGTTTTAAGATATCACTGTTATTTGTGGAAGTGATTCACTTAAAACAGGCCTAACTTTAATTGGTTAGAGGCTAAATTTTTGATAAACAATAGTATTAGCAGTAGATCGGCTTATGAATCACTCTATATCAGGTAAATCGGCTCAGTGGATGTAATCAAAATAATTGCAGTTCAGTGGTATCATTATTATCGTTCCAATATACTGTGTGGTTTTCAAGTTTTTCCAAGTGTAGAAATGTTTAGGATATCCATCAGGAAACACAAATACAACCAGAGAAGTAACGTACAAGAGGAACGGGATAGATCACTCGCTAGAACTCACGTTCAAAAAGTGAATAAATCATAAAAGCATATCTATAATTAGGAAAATGATTATACTTGGGACCATCTTTATGCCCTTTGTCGTTTTTTTCTTCATAAACATTTCGTTCAGAATGTGATATCTGATTGATTGACATTAGACTAAAATTTGCTGTGGTTTTTTTAAGTTATTCAACTTTCTCCCCTTAGATTAAATAAAAATTTCACTAAATGAAAAACATTGAGTGCCAACCGTTCTTTTAAGTATTAATTTACGAGTAAGTTGCTTAGGCTATTAGAATAAAAAAAATAATGATTATTTGTATTTGACACTCTTTTGTAATAAAATTTTGAAAAGTAACAACGGCAGACATTGCGAACTGAGGTGAACTCGATCCATCCAATGAGCTCTAAAACCCCTTTACAAATGCACTGATTTGTACGAATAAATAAAATGTTTATCAAATATATCTTTTTTGTATAACATATTCTGTCATTTGGTTCATAAATGAAAAAACAATCATACACATTTTTTCATATTTATACAGGTTCAATTTAAAAATGAAAAAACAAGGGAGAGAGAGGTTATGACGTAACCAAGTACAAAAAATATGTGCAAATTGTTAAGCTTACGATAGACAAAACTGATGAACGGGATAGCAATTACTAAACAACAATCGTAAAGTATACAAAGAATAGATCAGTTAAGAAAATTTTGTTTTCCGACTGCCGTTTAATAAATCTACAAAACGGTTTGTATATGAAAAGCAAAGAAAGTTTTTATTTCACTAACATTTTATCAAAAGTATTTATGAGTGCCGAATATAAGTTTCATAATAAAGGAAATAAAATGAAAATGACATAAGTATAAGAATTTGAGGCAATTAGAGACTAAATGTATAACCTAAACCTAAATCCTAAATGTAAATCATAAATTGTGAATTGTACAGTTTAATCTTTTTGATGGAGTTTTGTTCTCTGAGCTGGATGGTTTAATCTTGAAACATAATATTGATTTTAAACCAAAACCGTATATCTAGCTATATAATTATGATTTCGCTACTGAAACTGATGATCCACATGAGTTAGGTAACGTTCTAATATGATGCATACACCGTGACCTTGAAGTGATTTGGGAGTTCATCAGTGTCTCCCTCTTGAGCTAAGGGATTGGCCTAGAACATACAACTACTTTCGATCTTCTGACGTACCTTAAAAACACTGTTTTGATTGGGATTGAAATACTAACATTAGTAAGACGATATTATATAATTAGTAAGGTAGAACAAAATGGACAGGATTTTCACACTGAACATAAATTACACATTAAATTACAGGATATTTTCTTTTCTACTGTAAATCAATCAGTGTCAATAGTGATGTTGGAAATCTGAGATTTGAAGTGCTAAAGCAATCATGTAAAAAAGTTTCTTAATAGTGTTTCATAATATTTGTAATACTAACAGTAGTGTCATATTTGATTTCACGTAACTTCTAGTTAAATAAACAGTGGGACTGTTAAAATGCAGAAATTTTCATGAAACTGTTTAGGAGAGTAGCATTTTAAAAATTTCATAAAGTACAAAAATAATTTGTTTTATGGGAAAACAAAGCAATCTTCAATGCTCAACATCGTCGTCATTTTAAAAAAAAATGACAATCATCTTGTATAATTAATTAATCTACGTTCAAAGCGTCATTTTGAATTATACATTTGATTTCATTCACTTTGGATTATGGTAGTTATGTATTACTGAAATGCCTCAAATAATTTTACAAAAAACTATAATTCGATGTCTGGATAAAGGCTATTTCATAACTACTTTAATCTGTTTCAAATTAGTTAGTTAATAACTCGTTTCAAAATAAGAGAATATATGGTGTGACTATAAGTTATGGACGAACTTTGAGCAATGCTAGACTGACCTTGAGAGTGTCCACTTAATAACCAGGACCAAATGATTGTTTTAAACCTGTGTGAGGAATTAGAATTATGATTCATAGTTGATGGTTAAGGTTAGGAATTAAATTTATGGTTTTCATCACAAACGGACGTCAGCAATAATACCAAAACTCTATTTAGCCAAATGGATGAGTGCATTTCGCGCCAAAATCCTAGATCTGTTGTCTTATACACCTGATTGGTTCGTCCATAAATTATAGTCTCGCCGAATATGTATAAGCATTGAGCTCTAAACATCAGTTCTTAACAAAGAACAATTTGAGTGAAATGTTTAAGTATGAAAAATATGTTATGTTTAGTGAAAAGCAGATTTGTTGTAAAGTACATGTACTTTACTGGTATTCCATATAGAAATAATTAAAAACAGTAAAGATATTATCATATAAAGGTGACTGCATATTATTGATAAACTATATACACAAAAATTCATTATTTATCATTTTTAAATATCTTGACATTATGATAAGTATGGTATGTTTGTAATAGTGAATAATCTTTTCCTTGATTCTTTTTGTTTTTAATTTTCGCCTAAAAATTTTTTGACTACAGATTTGTGTTTAATTCCAACTTATCGATAATTTTGCGGTGGATCGTGTTTTTCAAATTGAAAACGTTAAAAGTAACAAAAAGTGTCTGAAATGTTTGGTTCATCTTTACACATTTCTATTATTTATCAAATAATATTCTTACATTAATATTTAGATAGAATAATTAACCAACGTGCTAAAATCAATAAGTGAATAAATGTTGTTTTTTTAGTAGTCGATCGATTTAACCTTGAGGATGAAATGAAAAAAAGAAAATTGGGATTTTATTGTATCTTTAGATTATTTAATAAATTATCTTGATCATCTTATAATTTAAAGAATTGTTCTCTATAGAAAATAGAATGCAAAATGATGGTAAAAGATAAACTTCAGTATGTAATATCATTTTGTTTAAATTATTTAATAAGGAATGCTGTACATCCATTCTGATCATAATATAAATATACTGAAAATGAAGTGTGTTATATCCCGATAAGAATAATGAGTGGTAATTTTTGGGATCCATTTGTGAATCAATACTATACGTGTATTTTTATCGTATAATTGTTAATTAACTAACCTATTCATATTCATATCTCTCTTATCCTAAGCTTTATTTTAACCTATGAACTATTATTATACGATTTCCCATTCTTGAATTATTCCCTGTCTATTAATCATTACTTCCCACATTCACAGTGACATTTGGCAAAATCTTGTACAAACGTTGTTTCCTATTTTATGGTACGATGTGGTCTGTTTAATTGGTATATAAACACGGTATGTTTGAAATAAATGATTCATATCACAGAGGCTCGGATTGGTGTTATGAACTTAAGTGGCTGGGCTATACAGGAAGCAGGATCGATAGGTACTCTAGACTGCTCATACGGGTTTACTTGTCACCGGTCCGATCGATAATTCACTGCCCTCTAATTAGCGGTTTTAACACGTTATACATTAACAGGACACGCAGGTCACAAGTTATAACATAGTGCCAAATAAACGACTGACAGTTCATTACCTTCTTAGCTTTGATAGTGATTTACCGTATAACTCCTGATGATGATGAGATGCCATTAGCATCATTATCTAAACAGAAAACTACACAGTTGACGGAATAGTGTGAAATATTACATGGGGATAATCATAGGTTTGAATAATTTAGCAGAAACGCTATGGTATTGACACAGCTACAACATTTCCACTAACACAAATTGTACTAAGATTCCAAAGGCTTTCAGATGAGAATTTTGGCCAGATGGAAAAAGAGGTTTGTATTGATCTCATTATATATTAAGGCTATTTTATTCAAGTAGCATACTCATAAGTATATTGTTGTTTGAAAACAATGTATGAATTATATATTTTCTAAATATATACCTGTTTAAAAAAGCATACTACAAAATATCATAAAGTATTATGAAAATATCTCGAAATTTACTGAGATTTCTGTGCAAAGGAAAAGTTATTGTTGTATTCTTACTAAAATTGTTTATTTGTTTTAACTTAAGTTCAAAAGGTTTCATGCAATAATTGAATTAAGAAAACCCAAACTTTAACGATCAATGTGAACATTTCAATGGTGATTGCCCTTTGTTTATTAAAAAAGTCGTAATCGGTTTTAAAAATGTTATGTCTAGGTATCCATATACATATCATATCACATGTGGTTGCAAAAATTCGTATCTGGAAAATTATTTTAAAACAAAACTACATACAATTCATAGAGTGAAGAAACGAAATTCTGAGAAAAACAAAGTTTCAATTACTTATATAAACGATTGACTGAAGATGATTCATGAAACCTTGACAAAATATACATGCATACATGTAAATTTATAAAATGTCCATCATTAACGAACTGAAAACTTAGCAAGTCAACTGAGAAATAAATATAGAAAAGTTTACGAGTTTAAATGGAACTGGAGAGTTAACATGAACACAAAAAACAACAACAGCAAATTATGAAGTAGTTATCAAAATTATATTCAAACAAAAATATGAAGTAGGAAGGAACGATTAGTGAAAAAGTAAGAAATAAACAACTGTATAGACTTAGAGCGCCAAAGAAAACAGAACAGTAATAAAAATTTACCCATGTTTTTTGCAAGACAGAAGTAGAACTAAACGCCTGCTCGTGTAAATATGCATAAACAAATACAATAATTGGCTGACAGCATAATATTGAATATTTATTACTCTGAGTCATTACATTTCTAATAACTTCACATCGTAATCACACATAAGCTATGTTTATACATACATATATATTGTCAATGTCTAAAATAAAGCTCTTTTTTTGGACAAAAGTTAACTGTAAAATACCAGATTCTGGATATCGGCAAAACAGTTTTGCCATAATATTAGGTGACTGAATATATTTAAATCCTGGTACTAAGGTTGATGTTGTAGCTTCCAGTAACGACAGTACAAGTTTCTAGCAGATTGTTATGACACAGAGAAATGAAGGGTATCTTAATTCAATTCTGTTGCTAATATTTTGAATGGAATCTGGTCAGTCTTGGTTGTCATGTGTGTATACTGTGCGGATCATCTTGATATAACCATTATGATGCAAGTTCTAATAAAATAAGTGGAATCCAGGACCAGCGTTTCGTCTCATTTTAGACTCGTCAGCTGCATATACCTGGAGCCTAGAATTGACAACCTATTAAGATCTCTATCTTAGTGGCAGTCTCTGAAAACTAAATAAAAATTCATAGCCGTTGCACAAGTGAGTAACTATCTGGACAATAGCCAAGCGGGCAACGCATTTGCGTTTTAAGCGAATAGTACCAAGTTATAATTTCAGAGTGAAAATCACCTGTGGGATGAACTTAAGTTCATCTGATGCGATCTAAATTGAATCAAAATGCGTGTCCATGGATCCGATAAGAGAATTGGTATTTACTTGGTGACAATGGTCCCTACTTTTGTTAGGTTATACATTGTGGAATAAATAACAAATTTATTGTTGTGGAAACTGGTAATTCGAATCAATAAAATCTTAGTTGTTCTGAATACTGGTTATCAGTGACTATGAAGCATTCTTATTTTAAACCGTGTTAAACATTTGATACTAATAAGCTTTGAAGAATACTTTCCACCCAAATTAAGGTGTAATTGTCAGCAACTCATTTTTTTCCTCCAATACTTGACGACTGATATGCATTACGTTTTGCAATAAATCAACCAATTTAGAAACGTCTATAAATCAATCAAACAGTGATATCTGTGATACGCAAATAATCCTACCCTGGTCTAGTTTTTAAGGATTTATTTGTGTTTTAGTGCTGATGTTCATGTTAGAACAGAAACAATACATTAGTCAAAGAGTCATAATTGGTTAAAAAGATTATTGTTTATCATGACTCAATATTTTACTGGAACATTATCCCGTGCTTGAATTGATCGGTTCTCGTTGGTGAAGCTGGAAATATTCACTTTTGGATTCTGATACATTGGTCTAGCTGCTAAATGTTCGTGCGTGAAACTGAAATTATATATATATATATACAAAATTCAAAATTACAAATTAATGGAATTTTACTTTATCTCTTTCCATAGAAATTATTCTAGTCTTAGATTAAGTTTATATATCCTGCAAATTCATCACTGGTGGTAACTTTCAAAATCCAAATATTACTGATACCAAACATCTTTTTGTTATTGTTATTCAATGATAATAGGTATTTGGACTTAATCAGCATGATGTTTTAAACCTATCATTTGTGGTAATTAGTACTCGTCACTATGACGGGATCAATAATATTGAACGGACTAACGCTTCTTAAACACGTGTATAATCACTGAAAGTTTTATAGCCGGTTTGATTAAAGGGAATTAGCCTAAATATTCTGTTAACCGACAAACTCATATAATCTACCATGACAACTCATTTAATAAATTGGAGGTGGATTTTTACCCAATTTTACAGTCAAATTACTTGAAGAGCTGTTCAAACATATCGTCTCCAAATCATAGTCCCAATAAACGAAATGAACGTAATTTTTTTAAAGGTAATGGATCTTATTTGTAACTTGTATTTTACATTGAAGTGAAATACGCTAGATAAGTACATCTGTTTATAAGTTCATTTATATTACCACAAATTTTAATACCATGGTAAACAAGAGAGGAACAATTCAAAATGTGTACTTCAGTGATAGATGAAAATCCACACTTGAAGTGCTTTATTGCATTTACTTAAATGAAATTTATTTATAGACTCGTCATCTACAGCAAAAGGTTTTTGGAGGAACTATGTAAAGTATCTTGTGATACACTAACATTGTATATTGATCAATTTAGGGGTTTACTAACCATAATCCTATGAAAAACTTATACAAATAAGTAAAATTCAGACAGTTTGCAATAAATATCAAAATAAATGACATGAGGAAAAATGGATGAAAGGAAATTAGATTTATGACTTTATGTCCTAACTAATGATTTATGTGGTTTAATTGATTTACTCTTGTTTGAATACTAAGACGCTTTTAGAATATTTATCTATCTCTTCTTTTAAGACAAATAGTGAAAAGTTATACATAACATAAATTTTTCCAAGTCTGGAAAATTGGTGCCTGTATATGTATCACTTTTATACAAGTTGTGAGAAGCTTTAGGTGCTAAAACCTGGTGAAAATATTAAAAAAACGCTTCAAGGCTTTTGATTATACTTCTCTTATTATAACAAAAACACGTATTTTAAACTGAAGTGACCTCAGAACGTCAATTTCACATTTATTAAATGAGTAATTGCTACATGGAACTAAACTACTTCATAAGATGAAAATTCCAATCTATCTGAATTCTTATCACACTTAAAAACGAACATTTCATCTAACAGTAATATAAAGTGATTTCATGAATAGATTTACTGTTCTCATATAAGCATTAAAGTAGGAAAGTAAACAAAATTCAGTGAAAAGGGACACCCTCTCTGAATTTAGCGATTGTACAGATAATCTATGATAACATCAAATGTAAGCATTTACTTTAATAAGTTCACACTACATTCTAAGCCAGTGAACACTGATTCTATCACTGATTATTTCTAATTTCTCAGTTTAAATTAAGAATACATGTAAATATATTTAAGCAAAAACAACTTACCATTTTATTGTGATACTCGTTTGAATGTTCAAGTGGTTGACAAACTTGATATATCAGTGATAACAAAGTTGTCATATGTTGATTGTGTGATAATATACTTTGTTTTAATTGATAATCAATTTTAATGTCATAGTGTAGGGAAGATTGTTCATTCCTTATGTAATAATCTGAAATGGAAAATAAATATAAATATATTTATATAAAATGCATTATTTGTTCATTTATTATATATATATAAACTAATCTAGTTAATTCATCATTAGTCGGTTATTACTGAAAAAATGACATTCGGCAATATGTTATAAAATGTAATATTAGACAATAATATCTGAATTGTTGATTTTTCTTCAACTTGTATCGTGAACTGACTTCAAACAGACAATTAGTGGAGAGTACGATACGTAGGACAGATATATATTCCTGATTTGGGGCTCCTTATCAATGCTCGGACTATGTACAAAAATCTTTGGACTGAGATTTAAGACTGTCAGCGGCATTTTCTATGTTGAAACCTCACTGATTATTAAATAATGTTATTGGAAAAGTCCTGAAGCGATTATAAGTTCACTTAATCTGAGAACGGAACAAAGACTCTGTGACATAATGACAGATAAGCTAGCTATTCCAACGCGTCCCAGGCCCGCTAAGTAGAGAGAGAGAAGTCCAAGTTCGGAAGAGGGAAATATAACCCACAATCAGCCAGAAGTATGAACAACCACGACTAGTCTAGTCGAAAATACACTCATTTTTATATTAATTCATCCACACATTTTTTGATAAATAATTACATTAAAATCAGGTATATAAAAAATCCTTATAGTTATAACAAATCATATGCTGAGTATAGTTGATGTTAACTTTTAATAAAAGAATATCGTATATTATACAGAATACAATATCATACGGGAAAGGTAAGGAAATACTACATTGAGTAATCATCGCAAAACGAATGTAATGTTGAGTAAAACTCGTAATAAGTAAATCAATGGAATTTCTTGTCATATTAGTTATTTAGTATAATCTAATTTCTATTGATTTACAATTACTACTCGTAAAATCCAGTAGTAAGTAGCATCTATTTTTATAACGAAATTTTATTTGTTCCTGTTATTTTAAATGATCATTGTTTATTTCTTCATTTGAACTGACAACATTTTAGTTTGGAAGTGAATTACAAATGTTCATTTTTTCGACTTATATGCAATAAACCGTGAAAAAGTTTGTGACTAAATGACATCGTTAACACAATCCGTTCAGGTTGTACATATGCTAATATTAACAACCAAAAATTATACATTCTTAAAAATTAAGTTCATAGTCATTTAAAAAGTTTGTGACTATTTAAACATGGCAATTTAGTGAATAACGCTCTAAGGCGAAAGATACTGATTTCGCGTCCCAATATGAATATCACCACTGGTGAACAGCTAAATCTAGCTCATTAATACAGAACAGGACTAAACGTGCATCCTAGGTTATATTGCTAACCAACATATAACATATAATGTAATATAACTATCGAGGAAGTTCAATAGAATTATATGGATATCAGTACAGACCTGTTAATTACAGACTTTAGCATAAATATGGTAGAATATAAAGGTTTACAAATTAATTAACGTCCTGACACAATTCTAAACAGATAAATCAACAAGTAGAAAACGTAATATGCTCAGATGACCACAAATAATATAATTTTTTGACCATATATGTATTTACATTAATTATTAGTAGTATTATTTAAATAGGTTAGATATATTATCGCTTTTCTAAAAACAAACCAGTTACATGATACTATGATATTCTTCTAGACTAAAATACACCTACTTATTTTACTTTTTTTCAGGAACATTCTGAAGTTCAAAAACAGTTCATTTTGTTATTTATTTCCTCAAATGTTTCTTTCCATGAAATAATCCAAACAGCAGCAAGAAAAAACATCATACCGATATAAAAATATCAATGGAATAAAGAATAACAATAATAATAACCTGTCAAAAATGCACTACTTGTAAACAAAAAATAAATAGACATAACAAGTCAAAAGTTTATAATATTTAAACAATTTGATGAGATATTCATAATATGCATTGAAATCCTTCCTATTGAAAAAGAATTTATTCTACAGTTGATTAGTGACTAACAGAAAGTTTCAGAATGAGCATATCCAGTTTACAACATAGAGACTGTTCAATCACAACCTTTATCATTATCAACAACTGGAAATTCAGAAATTTCTACAATAAATAATCTTGAAATAGATATTTTGATGCATATCTCTGAATTTACTGAACAAAGTTGAAACATTTAGTTTCGCTACATAATAATGAGTTCAGTTGTTTTCGACGTCATTAGTTTAATATTCAGACAATTCCATGTGCTATATTGATTGATACTGAGCAGCCACTTCAATCTTCTGGTAGCACCTAATAGCCAACTGTGTATATAATGCCACAAATTTCCAAATTACGAGCTGTTATAAGAAGACTACAACCTATCACTAAGCTATTTACTTCGAGCATCAAGAAGAACTACTTTGATAGTTGCCTTACATCACCATTTCACTACTTCTTAGTGTAATAACAGCCGCTTGAAAAAGAATTCACATATCAGATATATTTTTCTGTGAAAAAAGTTTAGAAGTGAAACAGGCAGAAAATAATTGCAGAACATGAATGGTATCTAACCACTGTTAAAATGTTGCTTTATACATTGATATTTTTAAATATTCACAGGTTAGCAAAAGATAAAAGATAAATTCGCTGAAACATTGTTTATTTTCTACTGAGCAAACATATGGCATCAAAAAATAGCCTTCATTATTATCATTATTAATGTATGCTGTAAATTAGGACATACACCTTAAAATGTCTACTACCTATCTACTGTTTATCTAAAGTATAATCTTAAAAATAAATTCTCCCTAATAACTAACATGTAATTCATGAATATCTTAGTTTACAACTAAATACACATGACTTATCTAGCACATGCCTTTATAGTATCATTAAGTCACTTAATATATTGAATTGGAATATTTCATAATATTTCTTGTATCCGCCATATCCATACATTGCTTGAATTTATATTCAGCATGTTAATATTTTATACTGTATTTCATATTTAATTCACCATAAAACTGTTGAATTGACATTGGTTACGATGTATGCTAACAAATTGACATACTTTTACGCCTGCATGAAAATGAATCAAGTAGTTCGAAGGAATTATATTAGCTAGAAAACGTGTACTTGACGAAGCATCATGTTTATCTGTTGAAGGACTGTATTGATTTGTGTAGACAGTAAATTAATATTCACCCCAATGGTTAACATTTCAATGACATAAAACTAAATGATCATTAAAACAGAGAATACAAAAATGCTTTCAACTCAAGTTGGTAAAGCTGAGAACTGTAGATGTTAAATGACCAGTAAGCAAATGAAACATAAATGTGCAAATCGCAAATGGTTAATTTGATTAAAGAGAATGATTAAAAGTTTCATATTATTCAATATGTTTATAAGTAGCATAGAATTGCCAGTAGGATAAAACAAGATTGTATGATTTAAGTGTTGACAATCAAATTAGCACAAAACTCCTACTCAAATAAAAATTGACAAATTAAACCTGTGATTTATTGGTGAGAATTGTCAAAATATATAGAGAATTGTCTGATATTCATGGTACAATAAAATTATCAGCTAAGATTTAAAAACCCTATATATATACCGTTTGAATGAATTTATTATACATTTAAATGAACGTGATCTCATGATTTCCTTCAGTAGATTATTATTTGAAACTTCTTTTGTCCTGCAAATTCTATCGGCAAACGTTTTTAATAGTAGTTTAATGAAAATAATTTGTGTTTAGAATGCTACCAACAAAAGTTAATTTATCATTCAGGTTTCTTTTTAATGTGTAGTACATCCAGATCTGATCGCGAATCTGAAAATGTTATTTACATCATTTATTTGAACAGAAATGATTTAATAATATAAATTTCATATTCACCAAGTAAGTTAGTAATGATGTGGCGTCTAATGTGAAAAGTATTTGGTTTGAGTTCCAGCGTGAGCATCAAAACTGGGATGACGGTACATTCATTCGACGAGTATTAAATAAAACGATACGTGAACCGTGAATATAACCGCTGACCACACCCCATATATTCTGTAGATACAACTTATTTGTATGCTTAAAAATTTATATCAACGTTATAAAACTCCAAGAGTATGATATCATTTGCCTACATAATTTCATACGAATTGACAGAGATTGAAAATCAAGCTGTATCTTATATTAACATAGTAAGTAACATGAAATTAAACTTCGGTAAACAGTTAGGTCACATAGTTATCAGGCAATTACTAAGTTTGTAATAATTGCACTTTACTTTTGACCTCATCTGCTATAATTACCCGCTATCAATATCCTATTTACAGTACAATTATTATACATGCACAAACTTTTTTGACCAATAAAGACTTGTAGTAACTTGAAGATATTTTTACTTCCATTTCAACCTGGTATATTTTCCAGTTAATAAATTTTAATTAAACATATGTGTACTGCTTACATCTTCAATATAAAAAAAGATAACACCATGTAAAGTACAATTTGATTCTCTGTGAAATTGATTTTTATCTTATTATATTCAATAAAATTACAGTATCTGTATAATTAAATTGTATAAATGTATTTACAGGTGTTATTGTTATGGTAACAAGTGGGAAATTGTTGCGTAAATGTATATATGTGAATACATGTACATCAGATTAATAAAGTGCAAACTTTTCGTTAGACAGAAAGCTGAATTTTACTATAATGAAATCATAACTGAACAAATTTCCAAAGTCTTAAATAAACACAATTTCGCTCTAGTGTTATCCTCTGATTTCTCAACTGTGATCCGTCAATAAAGAGCTAAACAACAGTTTGATACGTTCCCTTTAATACACTATCAATTCAAAATCTCGTAAAACTTCTAAAATCTTTTTAATTAGAGATAAATGTGAAGTTGTCCATCCGTTTTCCAAGGTTAAATTAATGTACAGTATCCAGTGGCTTTATGAATTTCGCTTTTGGTAATTTTGTGTAATTTTTACTGGAAATTTTATTTTGAGTATCTGAAGTTATTTGCATCTGTCTGCTATTAACAAGTGAGTGTGAAGTATCCCAAAATGCCTGATAATAAGCAGATAAAAATCACATTAAATCCCTGAAAATGATGTACATGGTACATTTGTCGAACCCTGAAGAACGGATGCATAACCACACGCTTATGTACTATGCATACGTTTTCAATTTATTTATATTTTCTACATACTGATTCTAAATTTGAAAAATTCTATTAAGAATCTTGTACTGGAAATTTTTACATCTATTTTATTACACGTTAATAATAGCTAATCATTTTTTATTTTATCAAGTACTTGTAATTTACCTTACTATGGGTGGAATATGTTAGAGTATAATTAAAATGAAATGTTTAATCTTTTGTTAGTCAGTTGCACTAACAACTGAATTTTATTTTGACTCAGCTTTTGCATATCACATACTAGTGACAATGATAACTGTATCGAATGATGAACTTGGAATGTAATTTTATTCAATTTCATTACAGCTACGAGAAGGCTTTTGTTTACATTCATTTCTAAAGTTTAAGAAAAGTATCAGCCAGAGAATGCCGACTGAATATGGATTTTCAGGGAGATATTAACCATTACAACGTTAAGTTTGTAACCGGCATATTTGTATAAGATTAATGTCAATCCAAATTGTATTCATATGAAAACAAAATCACATTCATTTGTTAAGTTCGTAATGAAAATCCATCATATTCATTCATATATATATATATATATATATATATATATATATATATATATATATATATATATATATATATTAATTGAATAACTAATAGATCATTAAACCGATGATCTTTTAATGTAATTTACTATCAAGAATAAAACATATTGATTAAGGGTTTTGAAAAATCAAGTCTATTTCTGATCTCATTAAATGTATATTTACAGTTTTGTGGCCTACTAATCTGACTCCGATTTGGATAAACGTCGGAATATTTTATAAACATAAATCTTCTATTTAACTACGTTTATTACATAGGCTAATCTCGTTCGTGTGACGACGTTAATAAGAAGCCAAATACAAGTTTCGTTTGAAGACATTCATAATAAGAAGCGAAGCCAAGCAGAGTTGGTTTACTCACCATCGTGATAAATTAACTAGGACTAAAAATGTAAACTTTTCAATCATGACTCAATAATTTTAATCATGTTTGTATGTATCTTCAGATTGCGGGATTCCTAAAAGTAAACATCTGGTCACCATAAAAATGGTTTTCATGGTTATAATAATGTGAATTTAATTTTTACAACACATTCAGTAATTTAGTTCTCTTTCGCAACATAAATAGATATGCGGTGATGGTGGCTAGCAGTGGAATCCAGGACGTGAGTCTTTTCCTATTTGAAACATGTAAGCTGGATGTATCTGCATCTCAGATTTGATGTTCACTCCTAGACTCGAAGTCAGTATCTTTCACTTTAAACTCCATAGTGTTATCCACCTAGCTACTATGTTCAGATAGGTACCAGCTTTTGCAGTGGATTAAATGTGGATAGAATAAATGAAGGGGTATTAAAAATTGAATATAGTGTGTATAAAAGTTATCATTGATTGAACTATCATATAATTTATTCAAGCCTCTTTCTCAAACAAAATAAAAATTGTTAACAACAAAATTGGCACTAAAACTTCTACGTTTTCATGTAATATCACATAATTTATTCAGTTTTTAGGGGCTGAAAGTAAACGCACTTTGAAAACAAGAGATTCTATAATGTAAAACTAGTATTACGTTTGTTATTTGTAATAGTTCATCAAAAAAACAAATTACGATGCAATGAAATATATATTGTCTCAGTGGTCTAGAAGTTGAACGTTCGCAAACAAGAGGAGTAAGATACTGAATTTGATCAAAGTTATGGTTGTGTACTAGAAAAGAGTCTGAAGCTAGGCGTAAATGGATGTACAGCCCTTTCCGGTCTTAAATAATTACCAAATTTAGCTCGATGAATGATCTAAATAAAATTCATGTCTGATTAATTAGTTTTTACAGAACTTATTTAGAATATTTCATTCTTATAATATTGATTGTAATAATAATGATAGAAATAATAAATATTTTTGGAATTTTTTTCGTTTAGGTTATTAATGATATAAATAAGCATTTGACCTTTTCGTTATTTGACTTATAAATTTAAGGTACATTCTATTGATGGAAAAAAGTAGTTAGAAACTGTTACATGTTATAGCAGTCGTTATGATGTTAATCATTTATCATGCGAATTGCTTTTTATTCAATAAGAAGAATGTTTAAATCGATGAGTGGGTTTGTAGAATGTTTGTGTCATATATTGAGATCCATTGGAATAGAAATTAAAAAAAACAGGGTTTCGAAAACATCGTTTCATTTTAGAACGAAATACTTGAACAATATGCACTCACATGGCTTTGACAATTTTTCTGAACCCAGAATAACGAGATTTTGTTGTAAACGGTTCAACTGATTTGGCATTCACTGGGATATCCAGTGCTCCTTAGTTTTCAATTGTACTGTAGACAATGTTAGCTGGTGATAAAGGACGCTTATAAATGAAACCTCCAACAAAAGTAATAATAAAGTGTCAGGGAATTCACTTTTTGTATAATTGCTGGGATTCAGTACACTATAGTGATATCTAATAACCATGAATGGATACTAATTGTGTGAAATGCACCGAAGGTTCTGAAGGAATTAGAAACTTCATAGGTAAATTTACTCAAAGCATCGTCTTCATGTTTATCATAATATTACTTTTTAGTTATCAGTGCACTGCTGTTTAAATGTGAAAGGTGGGAGCAATATAAATATTGGCATGATTTTCATACTGCATCATTGTAGATATATTTCAATTACACTATTCTTTTTAGAATTATCTTACTGTTTCGCAGCTAGTTTTTCATGAGGGATGATCGATTTCCAAATATTTCATAGGTATAATTGGCAGAACAAATTCACACACATCAAAAATACATGAAGCAATAGCTTTTTATTCTTTCTACGTCAGAAAACATTTCGTACACACAAAGTGATCTGATCATATTTTACTGATATCCAGGATTACATTTTTCGGTTCATACTGGATTGTAAGGTTCTGAAGTGAATATTTAAATATTATTTCTCGTTTCTGGATAGACGTTTTCAAAATTAAAATTATTTTTAATCTTAGAAAAGATGGTTTACAATTTGTCTCTTTCGAAACCCGGTTTAGTGTACTTGGATTCCGGCGTTTATGGTTTTACAAAAACCACTATTTGAAATGTATGTGATTCGGATTATCACTCTTAATTTTGGGATAATCGAAACCAGTACAGATAAAACTAGAATTCATATCCGTTGCACAAATAAATTGTTATCTGGATTCAGTAGCTAAGTAGATAACTCACTGATATGTGAAGTGACAGCCACCCCATTCAAATACCGTAATAAAAATCAACACTATGATACAGCCACACCCAGCTGACGAGACCCGAATGAGACGAAATGAGCACCCTGCTTTCTGACCCTAACCATATTCCATTTATTATATAAAAACTTGTCATAATGTCTATATCAAGGCAATCGGCACAGCTTCCACATATTCTAACAAAGACTGATCAAAATTCAGTCAAAATATCAATAACAGTATTATCAAAATCATCACAAGTCGGATTAAAATTTCGTATGAAAAACCGATTTCCATTCTTTATAAATTTAATTAGCTTTCTCAACAGAGTCGCAATGCATTAACTTTGCATAATTTTTTAAAGTTAACATCATACATTGACTATAAATTAACTTATGATATTTTTGATAGTTTGTACGCAAGGTAATTTTCTGTATGTTTCATGTACATTTTTTCTAGTTTGCATTTTTCTATATGTTTATGCTTGTAAAATAACGTATCGCAAAAGCCTACATGATTTTATTTAAGCATACCTACTTGTCTTTGCATATATTTTCAAATAATTAGTAACTATATAGAAATATATTCATATTCATATCTAGGTTTTTTCCAGGGTGATGATTAAATTTAAAATAAAGGAAACTGACTAGATAAACTAATGCATGCAACAAACTAGTTCATGTAATTGTAAAATAATCAATAAGGGTTATTCACTTTATATTCTTTTAGATTATACGCAAATATAAACATCTGGTTATGTGTGTAAGAATAAAATGGATATTTATATAGAAATAGATGTGTACTTCTGCTATTCGAATACGATTGCGTAATAAATAACTAGGTCTTTTTCACAAATGCAGTCAATCAATTCTGATTTAAATGAATCTACATACGACGGATACATATATAAAAGCAATATATATATATATATATATATATATATATATATATATGTAACATTCGATTAGTAGTTTGATGCACTTAATTGCTTTCGGACGGATTAATATCAAACCTCATTATTCAACATTTAAGTGAATTTTGTTAGAATCACTGGTTAATATTGTAATAAATTGATCTAAAATTTTAGGTTTGAACAAACGCATGATCATACAATAGTTAACAATGAATCCGCAACCAAATAAATATCACAACATCAGTTTCAACTCGGCCTCCATTGTTAGCTGCAAATAAAGATAACCGTTCTGGCTGCTCATAAAATGTTTCGGCTTGCAAACCTAATTTCGGCAAATAAAGTATATTACAGTTAAGCACTGTCATTAATTGTTTAACAAATAAAACGATGACAATACTGAATAGTGTGAGCGACCAACAATAAGTAAAGAATTTGAGTACGAATGCATTTGATTCAAATAGATATAAATTTTAACCACAGTGTAGTGAATTGATAAAACACATATATTTAGCTGCACCGTGCTCTAGAAAATTGTAGTACATATTATCTAGATAGCATCATTAACATAGAAATATGAGTTGCTACATACTACTATACTTCATAATATTGAGCAATGATGGGATATTTAACACAAACAAATAACTTACCTTGGAAATTATTGCAATCATAATTTGAATTAATTAAGTAATTATTTTGTGAAAGTAAATATTGAGTATTCCTCCATTTAGTCGCATTATCGATACCTTCAGTTTTACATATAATATCAGAATGCTCTAATTGAAAATATTCTACTACTTTTACAGGATTTATACAAAATTCTACCATGTTATACGATTGTGACAGATTGATGATTTGATCGCTTTTGTAAAATGGATATTGAAATGTTTTGAAATCTCTACGTAAATATTCTAAATGTATACAGTTATTGGTTAGTGTCAACACCGTGTACATTAGGAGGGTAGTGATAGATGCAATTTTTGTGGATAATTGCGAAAAACGAAAGAAATGTAAAATATTCCTATAAAGCCAACAGTACTTCATCATAATGTTAAAAAAAACAAATATTCTCAGCTCAAATTAGACGTTTTCTTCTCAACAGTTATGATAATGAATTGTAAAACTGATGGAGGTAATAGTTAGTAAAAAATGCCAATGTATTTCTTGAACTGATTCTATGCATCCATATGATGGAAGGAGAAATCAAAAAAGCTCAAAATAATTAGATGATTAGCTGTAAGTAATTTGACTGTTTATTTTCTAAGTAACCAATTAATTAATAAATTGTCCTTAAGCATAGTAGTATTTATACACGGTTATATTTTTATTTCCGGAAAGATTGTTCACAATACGTGTGAATAACATTGTTTTTACATTCAAAAAGAAATAAACAAATAATTTCAGTGTTAAAAATGAATGGTACTTTCAAATGGATGATTAATGGCAATACAACTATGCAAATTATAATTAGAGATTGTTAATAAAGTTGTAAGAAGTAACCTGAGAATTTGAAGTAATTGATAGACAGATTGATAAGTCTCCATGTGATTTAGTCATGTGCATGAATTTCATTCACTTGTATTTTATTTATAGAAAAAGGTTTCTATGATCATTCTATAGTTTTACGTATTTCATCAACTCATTTTTTGTTTTGTTTTCTTGTTTTTTTTGTGTATAGCCAGCTGTACGTAATTATTCATTTGTTTTTAATGGTGATTTTCTTAAAATGTGGCGAAGAGATAATATTTTTGTTTACTATAATATTACAGATTCTAGATAATTCATATAGAATAATAATCTAAAGATCGTTTACAAAGATTATTAATAGTTTGGTGAAATTTTTTAATTTTGAGTAATTATTCTTTAGTTATCATTGAACATCGATATCAACGGAATGCTTCAAGCGTTGAATATTGAAATGTATCCTTTGTGACTGCAATACATAGATGTTCGTCCTTATTTGCTTAAAAATCAAAAAGAAGGTTATCAAATATATTTGTAATTAAATGATTATAAAGAAAACAAGTTCTTGTTAGCAATAAATTTCACTCGTTCCTTTAAATAATCCGTGACAGACTTATATCAGAAAATAAGCAGACATTTAGGCAACCTCTGCCTGTAAATAGTGATCATATCTAACCGGTAAACGAAAGCAACCGGCCGGCCGGCCGGCTTCTTGTTAGACGATCATGTTTACTTTAGTGTATTAAATCTAGACATGTACATATTTACGTACAGGCAATAGCGTAACCTATATAAAGTAAGCCAACACAGGTACAGTCATCAAAACAGCTTATTACTTGCCATTTGTACACAGACATTCATTGGCTAATACGTGTGTGCATTGATTTCTTACAGCCATGCACAATCGTTAGCAAATACAGGTATAAAAGTTTGTATACCTATTCTACAGATTACTACTATATATTATACGTATATATATTACATATTACATATAAACCCTATGGATTAAATTTAATCCAATCCAGTTCAGACTAAAAATAATTCTGTTTACACAAACTTAATCAAAACAACATACTTCAAGGAGATCTTATTTGTTTTCATATTGTGTTACCAGTACAAATGAGGATTATTTAGAGTACAATCAAGGAATACTGAATACTTGCTTTATATCTCAAGGTGTAAACCTTGACCATTTATCTCCAGGATTATTTGGATTAAATAACGTGTTTTTTCCTAAACTTTACCGTTAGCTCGTCATAATTCAACTTTTTTAAAAACTGGACGGTTAGTTCTAGTTTATAGTCATTGGTTTCCGGTCAAAACGACATAGGTTTGAACTTTGATATGCAAAGTTTGGTTCACTATTATCGTTAGTTCGTATACAATTGGTGGTTCATAAAAGTGTATATGAATTCACAGTATGTGGATTATTATGTTTTTATTCAACTCACCCGTTTTTATAGACAATATTAGGCAGGTAGGATGTTTAAATAATTGCATAAAATCAATATTAAATGAATATACTTTGAGCTTAACTACTGCAAAATATTCAGCCTGAAAGAACATTGAAACCATTTCAGCAAAAATTTACAACCGTTGAAAGATTCCAGTTATGTAGAAACTAAAGTATAGGTTCTCTTGTCACCAATGAGCTAAACTTTATTTTGTATAGCAACCTTCTATGAATAATTTTCCAATACATTTCCGTTCTTTGATTTAAATTGGAGTATCTGTATAATTCTCCCATTATTAATTTGATTTCAATAAGCCATATTTATAACACTTCTAGTATTGCTTTTAATTTGATTTAAATTTCAACAAATAAAAAATCATAGTTTCAACATAGGGATGTTGTCAAATGGCGTGAATTGTTCGTGATTGGATTTGGAGAAAAACTTCAGCAATATTATTTTTTCACTATATACCACATTCAAGTATGCGATAATAAATTAAAGACGCAGTATTTGCATCATTAAATGACTTGAAGTTGACAATTACAGAACACCAGAATAAACTGCATAGCTGATTTGTTCTAAAATGATGCTTTTCAAATGTGCAAATCAGTTGCACTACCAGATTTCAAGATCTAGTTGCACGTTACACCTTTGCGACGATGTTAGCATCCAATGGTTTGTGTGTATGATTTCAGCCAGTTCGCCATAATTTGCAACCTTCATCCATTACCATTGGTAATACATGTCTGAGACCTAAATCAACCGAACTTTATTGAATACTGCTGCAAATTCTAAAGTGGTTAACCATTCCGAATGTTCTGTATTGATAAAAAGCTATTATGTTCCACTAAAATATGTACAAAACATAGGATATCCAAGATTTTTGATGAGATTCAGATGTTTAAAGCACGAATATCGGATATACTTTTATTTATTCTTCAAAATATAGTGGTTATATCATGGCAGATGCCGTTCTCAGATACCATACATGGTGAATAAAGATAAAAATACCATCCACCCCCTTAGTTATTTGACATTTTTGCTCGTGACATATTTTGTACACAATAACTGAATTACAGTAACAGCTAGAAAGAAGTTCCTTTCCGCTTTATTATACTTGACTTCTGGAACTTAAAAGCCGTTTGATCAATCATCCACATGTTAAATATTTTCTAGTGTAACTGCGGATGTTTGTATCCTATAGCGCATATTTTGAAATAATGAATATCACGAACTGATCTTTTTAAGAAAACCGCAGGAAACCAAGAAGCATTAGATAGAAGACTTGTCTTAATGTGGAACTCCTGAACAAATTGACCACTGAGTGGATCATGTATGACTGATACTGTTTTGTTTTAATTACTGATTCATGGAGGCCTTCACTGACACATTCATTCATTCTGCAATCATTTTCTAACTCTGTACGCGATTTAGAAATTAATTCACTAAGTTCCGTCACATCTTCAACGCATGAATGATTCAGCAACCGTGTGTGTAATTTGTCTATAAATTTTAACCGATTCTTTTTAAAACGCTGCTGTTGTCGCTGAAATAACAATTGGAATTGTTCGGAAAGGAGAGCCATTTTCTGTTTCTGAATGAATCAGCACGGTTACAGAAAATACTGTATGACTATTTGACAAACAATGTCGTTCGAAGACACAGACGAAATTTCCGTTTGCTGATTGTTCGTAATAATTACAGTAATCTTCATCCGATTACTGGCTGACCTTAGTTCTTTATTTTGTAGATTGAGGCCTCAGAATTTTTTTGCCCCGTTAGATAGGTGAGACGATTGAACGTTAAGTATCATATAGACAATGAAACGTCTTTTAAAATAATTTACACAATAATTATATTTTATTTTGAAATTCTGAGAACAATGAATGACTGTTTCGTCCTAACTATTTGAAAGATATGCATCTACTATGTAACTAGGGATCAAACATTGGACCATTATTGATAGATGCGGAGGGTTGTCTTTGGTCACTGATTAGTCATTGGTCATTGTTTCGTATTTAAAGCTAATATTTTTTCCTAATCAAGAGTCTTTTTTCAAGTTACATATTACTTTGATTACAGAATAAGGTCTAACAATGAATATTTTAAGTACGGAAGATATTTTTTTATCTATTCTCAATTCAGATTAATGACAAGTTAGTTCATGGTTTACAAATATTTATTAGAATTAGCTCTTTTTTAAATGAACTTATATTATCATGATACACAAACAGTTTTTCTGTGTAGATGACATTTTAAACCCAAGTTCTGTGAAGAAATACAAGCAGTAAATAATCATGGTGGCGTAATAAAAAACATTTAAATACTAGATTAATGGTGTAAATGAAGGAATGCCCATGCTAAGACGAAAAGACCGTCCAATGCTTCCAGGTTTTCCATAATGGTCAAGAAAACTGAGAAAATCCTAAAATCTCCAAAAATCCTCTACACTAATATTTATTCTTATCAAGAAATTCTTAAGAAAACGACACTCTATGGAAACCAAGTCACATTTTTTTGAACATAGGACAATGAACAATCAAATAGAACATTTCACTCTACTATGAGAATTTATAAAATATTGACTGAAGACTTGCTACAGCAAAGGATTCAGGATACATTCACTTGAAGAACTTATAAATGGTTATTAAATGAAAAAGGGTTGATGTGTTTATTTAGAATTTAAGAAAAATGCTCAAATACGAGGAAGATTTTAATACACAATACAATAAAATAGATCATTTATTTTGGACTGAATCAATGTTACACCATTCCGGTAATTCATGAGATAGTTAACTTTTTACTTATATCTCTATTAATAAGTATTCTGAACACTGTAGGAATTATTGTATTAAAAAGTATGAAAACAGCATTTTGAAAGGAGATTGAGTGTTTTATGTTTGATATTCATCTTCTAACATCCATTTAATTAAAAAAGAAAGATATTCAGTCCCACGCTGAAAGTACAAGATTTGATAATCGTTAGATAAATAACTGTTTTCTTACCCTCATTTTTGTATATGTTTTCATTTATCTTAAATGTTTTAGACTCGTTGCCACCTATTTGCGGTATGTAATTGATATGCTATAATAAACTTAGGCTTTCATACTTTTTGTTGATAATTGACC